GATCAGCAGCTTCAGGATCAGCAGCATCAAGTTCAGCAGCAGCAGCTTCAGACTCATCATCTGCACCTGCACCAGCATCAAATGCTGGATCAGGATCATCATCAGCAGCTTCATCAGGAGCAGCAGCTTCAGGTTCAGGATCATCTGGCTCAGGATCAGGACAAGGATCTGGTTCATCAGGTTCAGGATCATCTGGTTCAGGTTCATCAGGATCAGCAGCTTCAGGATCAGCAGCATCAAGTTCAGCAGCAGCAGCTTCAGACTCATCATTTGCACCTGTACCAGCATCAAATACTGGATCAGGATCATCATCAGCAGCTTCAAGTTCAGCAGCAGCAGCATCAGCAGCATCAGCTTCAGATTCATCATCAGGACCAACAACAACATCAACATCAACCAGTAACTCACCTAACTCAGCATCATCAGGATCAGGTTCAGGATCATCAGCAGCAGCTTCATCAGGAGCAGCAGCTTCAGGTTCAGGATCATCTGGCTCAGGATCAGGACAAGGATCTGGTTCATCAGGTTCAGGATCATCTGGTTCAGGTTCATCAGGATCAGCAGCAGCTTACACAAAGTATACTAATGAAGCTGGTAAAACATGCTTTTGCTATTGAATTATGTCACAAAATCTATCATCACAATAAAATTTGATTATTAGCATATGAATTCCGTTGTAATTCTCTTTAAGAAGTCTGAATTGGGTATTTTGTAAATTTCTTGGTCTTGATTTTCATTGGTTAAAATTTAAAAGTCTGTATTACACTCGATGCCTTCGAGCTTAAGTTTTCATGGTATATGGTGACTTTACCAGAATGTTAGTGCAATTGATAATATGATTCAATCAGCTTATAAAAGCTCATTAGATTGAATTGTGCGCAATTTTCGATAATTTTGTCTAACTGTAATATCTTTACAGATAAAGATGATATCGTTGATCATTATTTACATTTTCAGCTATTTCATGATTTCATGATTTCAAAATCCGATTGCACTTTCATGATTAGAATAATTACAATCAAAAATAATTTCTTTTACATAAAAAAACTTAAATGCCATTTACTCGAAAACTGCTCCGAATATGATTAAATGTATCGCATATTTGGAGTTGAAATCAGCGTTTAAATTTAGTTTAGAAAATATGTCTTGAGCATGAAAAGCAAGCCAAGTTCTCTCTATTCTTTTGGTTCTTGTCCTTTGAAAGTTTTTGCTTCTTATGCGCTGCTTCTCTTTATTTTTAAACTATAAATAAGGTATACCAGGTAAGCCTAACTATTATAATATAACTTTGTGTTGCGTTTTTGTTCATTTTAAAGGATGAAGACCAAAAGAATAGGGAAAACTGCCTAGCATGGGAAATTTTATGGGTATATGATTATATTATAATATATTTATTAATATATGATGTAAAAATATGTGCTGAATTCATTTCTCCAATCCATTTTTCAAAATACTTTTTCGTTTTTCAGATATCATGAAATAACGTTAAAAATGCAAAACAGCGATATTAATACTAATACACTCGATACGTGCACATGATTACTTATTTGCTTATACATAACATATTTTACATCTAATATTTTGAATAATAAAATGTCGGTAACAAAAATATACGTGGCGTTTTGATTTGATTTGATTTTTATTTTAAAGATGTAAAAACTAGATATCTTGAAAAAAGTCGGCATTTTGCGAGTTTTTTCGGAGCTTTAATATCATAGTCGATAGTGGATGGTCCAAAATATGTCCCTGCAAAAAACCGACTTGCAAAAGCGACTTTGAATTTGAATAATTTATCAAAATCAAGCATTTTACCCAAATTAAATGATCTTGCTGTTTGATTATTAAATATCTAATTTTAATTTCTTTGTAATTCTAGTCATTTCCGTTTGAAAAAGTTGATTAAGTTGGTGAAATTTAATTAATGAAGTTTTGAGAGTCAAATTGAATCAGCATTTTCAAATCAAAATAACCGATATTTGTCTAAACAGTAATATCATCTCATTAATTTGCACACCAGTATTTCAATTTATCTTAAGTGCACAGATAATTGTTTGAAGTTGATGAACTTTTCTTTATTCAGTAATGATTTACAAATTGATAAATTGTGTTTCTTACTGAACCATTACACTATTTAAAGTGAAAACCAAAAATAATAAAATAGTTATGAATTTATAAAATGAACATGAAATAAGTGTATTAAGTTAGTGGCTGGACAAAAGTATGTACAAACATAAAGGTATATGTTGTGGGTATTTGGATGATTAATGCAAGAAAGGCACCTGGTAAGGTTGTAACTGTTTGCTGAGTTTTTAGTAGCAATCAGTTTACAGGAAACTCTTAACAGATGAAATTGGATTTGATTGTGACAATTGTTATAAAATGATAACTTGTTGAACAATGTCAGTTGGCAAAAAGTGTGTTGGAATCAGCTCAAGAGAATTGATTTTAAGATTTCAATTCAATTTCAACTCGAAATCCTTTATTTACTAAATCTGGTAAACCGTTCAGAGGAAGGGTAATCATCACTCCAAAGACTGTAATCAATTTCAGGAAGCTCATTACAATCGATATCAGGATTAGTGCGACTTGGCATCTCAAAGACATTTGCTTGAATATGAGAATACTTGGTTGTCTTACAAATTAGACGAGCCAAAGTTGAAGTTGTTCGAATATTATTTAATTGTTCTGTAATATAAGAGATAAAATTGATTAGATGATTTCGTCAGGTTAATCAAATGAATGGTACTAACCGAGAGTAAAAGAACCAGCTTGATTTCCATGTTCGTACCAATATCTGTCTCCAAACTTTGAATGATAAAACTGCATTCCATTAATGCAGGCAAATGTTGGTCCCATGGCTGAACCTTTCATTCGTTTTTCTGAGATTCCACCAACAAACAATTCCAAGTCTTCAATGTCTCTAAATAGGTTAAAGTAAAAAATCATTTAAAAATTGTTCAATCAATAAGGTGACAAAAAGTCAGTCTCTTACTTGTATATTGATTGTAGCTTGTTAACTTGACCTTTTGGTATATATTCATAGAGATCGGTCCAAGATTTTATTTTCTGTCCAAAACAATATTCAATATAATGAATGTAACCAGGAATACCGTGATCACGGCCTCTCATCACATTAAGACCAACCAAATCCAGTCCACCAGAACGGTTTGGATGTTGATACATCCAGTCTTTAACATCGGTAACAAAATAGGGATCAACCTCATAGGCTGGTTCAGTTATTAGACCACGAATGATTCCTTCAGTTTGACCAAGATGGATCAATGACATTTCAAAGAAAACATCTTTCATTCGGAAGGTAAACGTTTCATCCTCGTTTTTAACATAATAGACATCATTAATCTGTGAATGACCAAACCTTCCAGCAGCAGTTGCCCATTCAGATATGGAACGTACATCAGTCTCAGGTTCATATTTGGAGAAACCATTTTCCAATGGAAGCAAACTAAAGTAGGATAAAAATTTACGATCAAACAGAGAAGGCAAGTATTCCGAGTAAGTAATGTGGTTGTATTCAGCAATTAAAAGACGCCGAGTTTCCCAGTAGACAGTTTCATCGGACCAGTGTGGATTCATTTTGGCCAAGTTAGCTGCATGCTGGTTATGACGACGAAGTATCAATGTTTGTAAGGCCATCAAGGCTGGATGTTGACTAGCACGGTTACCATCACCCGAAGCGAAACATTTAAACTCAGGGAATCGCGGTGGCACATTGCAAACTTGTAAAGTCAATGGATCATAAAAGCCATCAGCTGAGGGTAAAATTTCACCACCTTTGGCATCATAAGAGCTCTTCAATTGACCTGTTCAAATGAATAAAAAAGACACAAAAATTTTAAAAATCAAATTTTAAATTTCCTTTTATTGAACAACAGATTTTAATATTAAATCATAATGAAAAAGCGAAAGTTGACTTTTTCATTCAAAAATTGTCACTGTATTACCTTTGAATGATCAAAATTTCAATAAAATTTTCAAGTTATAGTTTGATTCAGATTAATCACGACACAGCTGATAACCTTCAACCTTTTCGGGTTTCCTTTCTTTACATTCTCACAATTAAAGGCTAAAATTAAACTTGATCAGATGAAAGATACAAAAATCATTTCTCATAACATGTACGCAATATAACGATTATTGTTGCTAAACTATTGAATAGAGTTAACTGATTGCTATTTAAAATATGAAAAGAAATTTGTTTCATTTTTATCAGATTTTCTGAGCTCAAATTGTCGACTCAATTTATCAATGGTCAATTGATTGACCAACGATCCATTCAACATCCTAATTAATAATTAAGTTAACTCGTTTTGCTTCCTTCTTGATCATCCCAAAAAAAGCTTAATTACAGGATAAAATTGTCAACATTATCCGTTTACATTAAGCAAAATGATTAACCATACAATTGAGCACAATTATGCGGTAGCATTTAAAATAGTCTCAAAGTCAATGAGATGTTATAATAATCTGTTTTAATTGTTTCATGAGAAATTAATGAACAATCAGTAATGATTGTAGTTAACTTACCATTCTTTAAGGTACGTCCTTTCAAAGCATCAGCATAAGTGTAACCATAAACATTAGACAAATCCAATGAATGAGTTGCAGCATTCAGCTGCTCTCGTGGTCCTGAAATGACAAATTCATTTTATTAAATTACTGGTTTACTAAATTATTTGGGAACAGATTGATTAGAATCACTAATTAAAATCGTTCAACATTCAATTGCTACCAATTTTCAACAAAACCAAATCATATTCATTGATCGGTTAAATGTTTGGGTGAAACCAGAAAGAGATGTTTTAGGTAATTGATTTGAGTTGGTTAACAGTTGGTTTGTACCTAGTAATTAACTGTCTTTGAATGTTAATCAGACTAATAATAACTGAGTTTTGTTCAATTTTTTAATTTTAATTGTAGATTTCAATTTCGATTTCAGTGATTAAATCGTTGTCAACACCAGTACTAATCATCTTTGGTTTTTAGACGATAATTGTCACAATAAATGATTGAAATGCAAGGTGTTCACTTGGTAAAAGTGCAAGAATTATCGAGTAGAAGAAATGAACATTATGATAATTGCTGGAAACGTTAATTTACTGAATCAGTTAATTCACTTCATTGAGCTTCAAGTGTTTAAAATTTCATATTAAACTTGATCTTTTATTGAGATCAATTCAATGATTGCAAAAATCATTCAAATGGGAATCAATAATTGGTGAAAAAACTTCTGGTCAAGAATTGAAAAAAAGACTAAAAACATTCAAACACCAACTTGATCTAGTTGATCAAGGTAAAGTAATTGTCACTATTAACCATTTTATTATCAACTATTATTTTATAATTGCCTTGAAAATTGCGATTAAATTATTGAAGCAGAAAAGTGAAAAATTGAAATATTGATGAGAAACTTGAAAATCAAAGTGTGTGATAAAAAAGGCCTGAAAACGATTGATTCCGATGGTCAAAAATAATACTGTAGTTGAATAGACAATTTAATAGTAAAATTTTGATTTAACCTTAAATTTCATGAAATGGTTAGATTAAGGCTCAAGCTTTCAGCAAATCAGATCAATCATTTAATCCAATTTCTTGATTTATGACAAGTTTATTATCACCAGCTGATTAATCAACTTAATGCTTTCAATTATTCACTCATTTAATGCAATCATTTGATTGATTGTGTGAATTAAACATATTCAAATTGATTGACTATAAGGGAATGAGTAAAGGCTGAAAATCTGAATAACTAAACAATTGAAATTGTTGGCTTTAATGGTAAACTAATGGAATATGTTTTATTTGCTTTTTCAAAGAACGAGATTGAATTGTAATAATCAATTTGAACTGTGTTGATGGAGTAAAATTCAGACAGATTAACGAGGAAATTATCAGAGGTTTGTTAAATTGTTCATGTTTTTAATGGTTGGTAACCTTTAAATTGAAAAATATTGAGCCTTCATCAAAAGGTAGAAGTAAATTAACATTAACCTTTTGAAATGAATTGCGCGTCTTTATTGTTGCCCAGACAGCAATAGATAGTTTAACAATTAGCTATTTTTCAATGCTAATTTCAATTTGAATCAATGATGATTAATAGTTGTTTTGAGTAAATAAGAATCGAGATTGATTGTGTTGGTAGTTGACTGGTAAATAAACAAAAAATTAACATGTTTAGCTGAATAAGGTTTTCCTGTTAACAAAGCTCGATAGCCATGATGAAGCTTTAAGCAAGCTTTAAGCAAGTTAATTGATTATCATGTTAATTTGGACACTCAACTGCAACAATTAATTGAAATAAATATAATCTGATTAATAATATTGAGGAAAGAAATGGCTTTATAACCGGAAAAATGAAGGAAGATTGGTTTGGGTTGGTTAACACTGTTTTAACGGTTAAAAAGTCTGCTCGATGATGACCCAAGCTTGAGTAAAAACAAAACAATTAAAGGTGTTAAATGATTAAAATGTTTTCGTTGACTTACCCAATTTACATGAAGGACAGGTTGTCGATCTAACATTTCGTTGACAGGTTTGGTTCCATCTTTTGGTTAGAGAGTCTCCAGGTGGGAAAGGATAAATTGTTTCACACTCTGGATGGTTGGTTGGTTTGGGTGGACAACAGAGAGGTGCATTACCCAATACCAATGGTGTACGAACCAAATCATGGACAACAAATTGTCCCCACTGCATATTCATTTGGGACATTTTCAATTCAGTTGCCGGTACATCGGGAGTGATTACATTTGAAATTAATCTGGCATTTGGCAAGGGTTCACCAGAAACCGAGGCTCTCAGCTTTTCAACACCATCAGCATAATCAGCTGGTAACAGGCGTCTATGGCAAGAATAAGCCATTCCAGTGGTTGGATGATCTAAATTGTTGCAGGTTCCATCGTATGAATGATAACGACTTTTAGGATCACAATTAAGGTCACTCAAGTCTTTACGAGGTGCACAACTGGTTGGTAAATATGTTTCCCGAAGAGATCGACTCAGGCCTGTCCTCAGACTTACTTTGGGTAATTTTACTGCTGCCTCCATCTTATCCAAGCAATATCTGCGAGATGAAATATGTATTTTTTAACTCTTTTTTTACTGTTTTTCATTTTCTTTTCACTTGATTATTAACAATTTGTTGTTAACAACAAACTATTAAATAATAAATAAGGTCAAGGTAGGTTAACTTGTTCACAAATCTTTATCAAATGGACACAATAATTAAAAAAACAAACATGTTGTTTCACTATCACAAGTAAACAATGGAGTAAACACTTGAACAACCTTTCTTTGGTGTGATATTTTAATTGTGTTCATTAATATTGATAATTGCCTTCTTATATTGTTATTTATATTATCAATTATTATTGTCTCCATTATTGTTAATGTAAATAATGTTTACACTTAATCGTAGCTGATAAATGTTGATACATGAATTACTGAATGATTACCGTTATAGCTAATGTAAATGGTTAACAAAATGTATAATATTTGAAAGTAAACATAGGGTTAAAAACTTACTCTTTAACAAGTTGATTGGTGATTAAAGTTGACAATTTACTTTCATGAGCCAATTGAGCCACAAACCGACTTGCAAATTTGGCCATCTCGATTGTATCAATGATCTCCTCATCGGCAGCCTTGTAAGCCAACAGACTAGGAATAGCTTTACGAATTGATTGGCGAATGTCTTGTATTGATATTGCTGAGGCATCACCATAGCGTCCATGACAGCGGTCAAGATAATCATTAAATTGCGGTGAACCCATATAATCATCTTCAATTTTAGCCAAATAATCAACATTCCAACGAGGTTCTTGTGCAGCAGCTTGAAGGGGATCCTAGACAACAAAGCCATATGACAATATGGGAATTATTTTCAGTCCTTTCACTTGGAATTATTATCTACTCAATTTGGTCATTGATTTACATGCCAATTTAATATTTAATAATGAATGATCAACTCACCTTTAACCTCTCCGGGTTACATTTAGTCCCATTCGGTGTTAGTCCATGTTCATTGCATACTTGCTGGCTTGTTGAAAACTGTTCACTAATAGGATCAGCTGAAAATTGATAGACATTAGATGATGCATCCAAAGTTGTATCGATTGTAGGCTCACAATTAACGAAAACGAGTAAATTAAAAACTAAAAGCTGTGCTTTACATAGATTCAAGCTGGACAGCAGCATTATAAACCAAAGGTGTCTTGTTGAATCCTTTCAGTGAATGAATTGTAAACAATTTATAAAAGTAAAACTGACGAATCTAATTGTATCCGATGATCAAATTCAAATGGCTATCTGATTCAAATCATTCGTCCGTTTATCAGTTAACTTGTAATGAACAAAGTTAAATCAAGTTGAGTTGGAGAGGACAGTTTTTAACCTCCCACCAAAAATATTAATACAAGATTGGATTGATGATGGATTTGTTGATTAGTTGATCCTAATGGTGAATTTATCTTCCCCTTTTCATAATACACTCTCACTCATCACATCAACATGAAGATAATTCATAATCCGTTTTGATTTCATGAAAACATGTAAACAAGAAACAAATTCAGTAAAGAGTAAAAGGTTAACTGTTGTTGTTTTTTAATGTAAATACTGATTAAAGGAGTAATGGTGGCAAGAGGAGGGTAAAGGTAATAAAGCAACCTTAAGGTAAAGTGGGTTGGTAAAGCAACAGAATGAACATAAAAAAAGTGAAAGTGGGAATGATATGATTTGATTGCATGTTTTTAATAATTATCATTATGATTACTATTTTCACAGATCAATCTTATCCGGCAAATTGTAACTGGTCTAGCTTAATGCTCTAATTCATTCTTCTGTCCATTTGCCCTGAGGTGCTTGTATATTTGTTGACAATCGTTATAATGAGGATCATCATCAATGTATTTCGGCCTTTATCATGCACATATCCACCCATGTTAATTAACATAACTTTTTTCGCTTCAATTTAGCTGGTTAATTAGTGGCTGATGGTTGCTTTCAAGAGTTAAATCTTCCGGTTCACAGGATTTTTGAAAATTCAAATCAGATTGACCAAGTCCATTTTAAATACACATTAGATGTCCAATCAAGTAGGGAAAATTGAAATGCAAAAAAAAACAAAATTTAGATTAGTTTGACTGTTGATTTTTTTGGTGAATTGCATTGAATATTAAACGTGAAAGTTGTTATTATTGCAAATATTACAACATTTGTTGATTATATTTGTCCATTATCATTACCTTTTGGTACTCGAACTGGCATAAAACCAATGATTAGAGACAAGGTGGATATTTTTTTGCTGAATTAAGTCCACCAACTTATAATTCGAGCTGTACATTTGTTTTGATTCATCCTTCATTTTAAGTAGACTTCAATCTAAACGTTGACAAGCAGAATTAATTATGTATTTGATTTCGTTAGCCCACCAAGTCTACTGAGCCTTGAATGGATCACTACAAATGGCAGCGCATAAAAAATATTCACCACGATTGTCGGTCCAATAATGTCCGGATCTGGCTGTCTTTAATTTCCATCTTGATTTGTATTTTTTTAATGTCCCTGGGTTAACACCATTTAATCTTGAGCTTGAAATTTGTCACTGATTGGCATCATTTATCCTGGTTACCTTTATCCAAGCATCTTGGAGTTCATATCAATTGTGACCATTCAATGTTTTTATCAGTAGATTTATTGGTCAAATTATTGAATAAGCTAAATGACTCTTTGTTGCTAAATGATATTTCATTGGGTTAATCACGTTTGGACATTTATCAGTCATAATTGATATTGATATCGGCCTTTTCAATCACCACCATCCATAACAATAGACATAAATTATCAGTTGAGAGTTGGAAATGATTTAACAGCTTTTTTGACCTCATGTCCATGAATCCATTAAGAAATAGGTATTGGTAACAAATGTATTAGATTAATCCAAACTAATTAGCCTTATGAATATTTAACTTTCCCTTTAACTGTCAGGACTGTAGATTAACTCGATAATAATTTTGGCTGTGAATTTGCATAAATCCTTTTTTTCTGCTGTTCCATTTATCGCAACTCGAAATGACCACCATAATGATGAAGATAATGATGCTGATGATAATGTTGAAGGCGATGATGATTTGTAAATTGTCCTGTCAACATAAACAATAGGGAAAACCATCAAACTTTCATGAGATCATCAATAAAAGCCATCATGACCGGCTATAAACATAAGGTTAATCCATGTTTCACCACTCATCCAATCCGTTGATCCAATCCTTCAAGGTTGAGGCTTTGATAGGTTTTAAACCCATTTAATTGAATAGTTACACTTATTATGGTTTCGTTGAACAATCTTATTTAATTTCAATTAAATTATCATCACAGTTAAATAACATTTCAACATCTTCATTTAAGTGTTGACCCTTTCACTTTGACTCACTCAATAAATTTCCCTCCAAACAGCAAACATGGAAAGCCAATCAAGCATCGATAAAATATGAAGCGGGTTTTTTGTTAATCATTTAAAAATTTAATTGTTTTCCCATTTTTATTCCTTTCCAAATTGATTTCAAAATTTATTAAAAATTTAAGGTCAATCTGAACTGATTGATTGACATGGTTATTTTAATTAACATTAACAACAATATAATGAAGATTTTTTGTTGTTTAATTTTTCTCGTTTCTCCAAATTTTCAAGCGATTGACCCCAGATTAACCTTCAACGTTGGGTGTGATACAATTAATTGATTATCATATCAAGGATTGAACATCAAAGTCAATACATTTTCAAGTAAATTGGTGATCAACAGTTTACCCTTATATCTATTAGCATGAATCTAGCTTCATGAGGCTTTAATCAGCTATCGACAAACTTAGCAGTGATTACTGTTCATTTTCATTTCTTTTGTATTTCTTAATACTTTCATTACCATTATCTGATTAAATTCAGGTGATTCAATTATCACGACAATCCAATGTGTTAATCGTTTTTGTAGCAACAATTGAACTTTATCATTGTGATTGCTTTATATTTCAGGTTAATTGAACAAAACAGGCTTACATATATTTTTGGTTACAACAATACTTAAGACTGGGAAAAACTATAATCATAATTTAACCAAAATCAATTGCAATTGAGAAGTAAATTGAAAGTTAAACACCCAATCGAACCAAAATACCTAGAAATATCGCCAATTGGTCAAATCTATTTGGCTAGACTTTCGATGTTAATGTTTCCTTTCAAATTGAGGTTTATTGTGAATGGAAATAACAATTATTTTCTTAATGATAATATACTCTCTTGATTGCACTTTCATCTGCGAGAAGATTCAAGTTTTCTTGAACACGGCAAAGTCAAGTCCGGAAGCGTACTACATCAGTCTCTAATTTGGTTGATTGTTGAGTTTGAAAGATGAAATAATTGGTGTGAAATAAGGCTCAATATTAATTGTTGTGAATGTCACATCAACATGCAGACAGATGTATTAGGAAAAGCCATCGATCCATCAGAAATGTCTCCAATCTGATCGGTTTCCATCCAATCACGTCTAAATTTTCAAATCTAATTGCTATCAAGCCAAGAATACATTCAAAGTCTAGAAATATAATCAATGTTCAGAATTTGTTTCGATTAAAACAAGAGCGAAAAAATGATCAGGGAATTTGTCAAACAAGTGAAACATTTTCAGGTTTCCTTTACATTTGTCACAATTTCAATATTTTCATGAATGTATCGATATTAAAGGCACAAATGATAGTCAATAAACTCTGATCAGTCCAAAATCAATTATCAGACCATAATTATCAGACTGATCATTAGATACTTGAAATTGTTTGCATCAAATTGCAGTGGCACATTAACATTGGGTGTCACTACTTTTCATGTTTTTACCGGGCAAAGTCAAGTCCAATTCAAATTGTTTCATTGATAATTCAATCATTCTTGTTGATTAATCGATCGACTGACGTGTCCTTAAGTTTCTTATCAGCAATTAATCAAGAATTATTGCAAGATAAATTCAATCTTAACCATCAACAACAACAAAGACACGTTTCTTAAGCATTTCCATGGATACAAAATGATAGTTAAAGACACGACGAGTGAACTAGAGTATTATTTGGATTCATATGTCCTAGGATCAATTTAATATAATTGAGCGACTCTTTGATTCTTAAGAGTTAATCTGTAATCGCATTTACAATGCAATGTTGGTGGTAATAAAGATTATCACCTGTTGTAACACGAATTTAAAACGCAAGTCTAATCACAGATAACACTATCTGCTTCCAGATGCTGTGAGGATGAACCAAATGATAATGTTTATTGTCTTTCATCTTCAAACATTATATCGTAAATCTAATTGAGCACTTAATTGTTGCAAAAGTCAAAAAATGCTCGAAATACAAATGCGATTAAAATAAGTTTACTTAATTATTCTTACATTGACAGTTAACTGAGCAGAAGCAGTTGATTATTTTATTGAAATCGATGTTGTCTTTGTTATAACCAAGACAAGGAGCAATCGATTCAAATTGGGATAATCGTTGAATCTTTTGTTTTTAGACTGTATTTGCATTGATAAGATGAGCTTGTAAGTCATAAGTTATAAACATTTTTAGATTGTGCTTTCATCTTTAAATTGTGTCTTTTAGCTTTTTAAAATGTATATATACCCATGTAAACAAACACCATTATTTCAGTTCCTCGTGAATCTGTCAAGAATAATATCTCAGACTATACAGCTACATTCATTGAATAACTTGGTAATTGAAGAGCCTTCCTGAGTTGATCAGATTTTAATATTGAGATCAAATTGAAGATCACAAGCTGAAAGATGAACTTGTGTGAATATTTGCGAGTAAATAGGTACAAGATATTCAAAACCATCCTGACTTACATTACTTTCGCTGGTCTCGGTGGTGTTAATACTTTGGTTGGAAGTTCACTACTTGATATTAAAACTTATGTTCAGAGATCATTTGAAGCCACATCTCGACTTGTCCAGGCTCGTTCATTGGGTTATGTTGTTGGAGCCACAGTTGGTAAGATATTTCTAAATTAGATTGAATGACAATTTATTATTATTTATTATTAATATTTCAAGGCATTGTTCTTTCTTTTCAACAGCTGGTTTTTTTGAAAAATATTTCGATGACTATTTGGTACTTTCGGCGTCAAACCTTCTTGCTGGAGTTTTTCTTGCTCTGGCTCCATGGTTCAGATCATTGGAAACTGTATTAGTTTTCATCTTTATTGCTGGCTTTGCTCTCGGAGTTTTTGACATATGTAAATATTTCTGAATTAACATTGTGATATTTCAACTTGCCTCATCTTTTTATCATTTATAGACTGTAATGTGATTATACTCCGAATCTGGGGTAAAAATGGAGTCAACTGGTTACAAGTATTGCACATGTTTTTTGGGGTTGGCGCTTTAATTGTACCAATCATCACTCGACCTTTCCTACTTCCCAATACCGAATCAGATGGCTTAAGTAATGACAACGCTGTTACAACCACTTCGCCAGAAACAATCGACTTCACAAATATAACAGACATTATCAGCGCAATAAATACAACCACCACAATTACTTATACACCAGACGATGTAAAAGTTCAATATGCCTTCTTGATTGTTGGTATGGTTCTCGCTGTAGTAGCAATTCCCTACTTTTTTTGCTATCTCCATGATAGAAAACAAAAATCCAAAGATGAAGAAAATAGAGAAAACGGAGAAACTGGAGAAGAGATCCCACAATTCGTGCAAACAAGTACGCTTAAAAAGGTTCTAGCAGTTATTATCACAGCTGCCTTAGCAAATTTCTGCTTCGGAACTGAAGCAGTCGTCGGTAAGTCTTTAAAATTCATCATTTAAACATAAAACAAGGTAGCAGTTGAAGTTAATGATTGACCATTTCATTTCTTTAGGTAACTTGAGTACTTCGTTTGCTGTTAAAGCTGATGTACATATGGATAAACAAAATGCTGTTCTTGTGGCAACTGTATTTTGGACAATGTTTTCATTTTACAGATGCATTTTTATCCCGTTAACTCTGGTTATAAAAGAGAGTAAACTTTTTTATATGAATCTGCTAATCATCGTGGCAGGTGTGGTCACTTTGGTTCCTTATGCCGCATCGAAAGAGCTTTTTACGTGGATTAGCTTCACTTTACTGGGAATAGGTTATTCGCCAGTATTTTCAATTTCATATGGATCACTAGGACATTATTTTCCTGTTACAAATGCAATGACTTCGTTTATTTTTGTCAACGGAGTAATTGGCGAAACAATTCACACGACAGTTTTGTCAAGATTTATTGCTACTAAGCCAGTACTATTTACTTATTATCTTGGCGGCATGGGGATTATCTATGTCATGCTGAGCTTCTTGTTACCTTTATATTGTCGAAAGGTTTTCAAAGGTCCGAAGAAAAGAGATGAAACTGTTAATGAATCCAACGAAATGCGAGATTTACCCAAATATTGATTACATATCATGTATTAACTTTAGTTTTTTTAATTTCAAAATTTATATCTTTTAATGAGATTTACATCTTTCTATTGTATTACTTATTGTGAACAATCATTTATATAATACCTCAAAGCTATGAAATAAATTTTGAAATAAATTTTAGATTGCAATTCAAACAAATTGAATAATTTACAACTTAAAGATTTTATTACTTGTTGGATTTTCAGATTCCATGTACTGTAAGCCTGTGGCTGGATTATTAAATTCAGTTCTACATTCGGCAAAGTTTCAAAACAGCAAAAATAGAATAGCAAAAGCCATTGCGGTCTAAGGCAAATAAGCAAATCCATCAAAATTAAAAAATAAACTACACAACTACTAAACTGATTTAATGGGAAAAAGAAACATTTTCAAGTTTAGTTTTCTATGCACAATTCAGTTCAATTAAACCAAGACTCATTATTTTTCACCGAGACTGATTAACTGATTTAACATGAGTCGCAATTATCATTTCATCAAATCTAATAAGGGTGCTTTACTTGTTTGGACAACTACATTCATCGAAAAATGTTCATCTGGACAAAAAACATATTAGGTTTATGATAATGATAACGCCTAGGTTTATTTACTTAATTATTCTTACATTGACAGTTAACTGAGCGAAATCAGTTGATTATTTTCTTGAAATCGATGTTATAGCCAAGGCACAATCGATTCAAAATTAGGATTATCGTTGAATCTTTTTCGCTCACACTGTATTTGCATTGATAATTATACGATAAGATGAGCTTGTAAGTCATAAGTTATAAACATTTTTATATTGTGCTTTAATCCTTAAATTGTGTCTATTAGCTTTTTAAAATGGATATATACCCATGTAAACAAACACCATCATTTCAGTTCCTCGTGAATCTGTTAAGAGTAATATCTCACAATTGTCAGATTACACAGCTACATTCATTGAATAACTTGGTAATTGAAGAGCCTTCCTGAGTTCATCAGATTTTAATATTGAGATCAAATTTAAGATCACAAGCTGAAAGATGAACTTGTGTGAATATTTGAGAGTGAATAGGTACAAGATATTCAAAACCATCCTGACTTACATTACTTTCGCTGGTCTCGGTGGTGTTAATACTTTGGTTGGAAGTTCACTACTTGATATTAAAATTTATGTTCAGAGATCATTTGCAGCCACATCTCGACTTGTCCAGTTTCGTGCATTGGGTTATGGTGTTGGAGCCACAGTTGGTAAGATATTTCAAGATTAGACAAAATGCCAAATTATTTTTTGTTGCTCTTGTGATTATTCCAATAATTATTTCAAAACATTGTTCTTTCTTTTCAACAGCTGGTTTTTTTGAAAAATATTTCGATGACTATTTGGTACTTTCGGCGACCAACCTTCTCGCAGGAGTTTTTCTTGCTCTGGCTCCATGGTTCAGATCATTGGAAACTGTGTTGATTTTCATCTTCATTGCTAGCTTTGCGATCGGAGTTTTTGATATATGTAAATACAGTAAACTATGCATGTATTCTTGAAGTAACATTGTGATATTACAACTTCCCTCATTTTATCATTTATAGATTGTAATGTGATTATACTCCGAATCTGGGGTAAAAATGGAGTAAACTGGTTACAAGTTTTGCACATGTTTGGTGGAGTTGGCGCTTTAATTGTACCAATCATCACTCGACCTTTCCTACTTCCCAATACCGAATACGATGGATTAAGTACAGTTACAACCACTTCGCCAGAAACAATGGACTTCACAAATATAACAGACATTATCAGCGCAATAAATACAACCACCACAATTACTTATACACCAGACGATGTAAAAGTTCAATATGCCTTCTTGATTGTTGGTATGGTTCTCGCTGTAGTAGCAATTCCCTACTTTTTTTGCTATCTCCATGATAGAAAACAAAAATCCAAAGATGAAGAAAATAGAGAAAACGGAGAAACTGGAGAAGAGACCCCACAATTCGTGCAAACAAGTACTCTTAAAAAGGTTCTAGCAGTTATTATCACAGCTGCCTTAGCAAATTTCTGTTTCGGAACTGAAGCAGTCGTCGGTAAGTCTTTGAACTTCATCATTTAAAACATAAAACAAGGTAGCAGTTGAAGTTAATGGTTGACCATTCCATTTCTTTAGGTAACTTGAGTACTTCGTTTGCTGTTAAAGCTGATGTTCATATGGACAAACAAAATGCTGTTCTTGTGGCAACTGTATTTTGGACAATGTTTTCATTTTACAGATGCATTTTTATCCCGTTAACTCTGGTTATAAAAGAGAGTAAACTTTTTTATATGAATCTGCTAATCATTGTGGCAGGTGTGGTCACTCTGGTTCCTTATGCCGCATCGAAAGAGCTTTTTACGTGGATCAGCTTCACTTTACTGGGAATAGGTTATTCACCAGTATTTTCAATTTCATATGGATCACTAGGACATTATTTTCCTGTTACAAATGCAATGACTTCGTTTATTTTTGTCAACGGAGTGATTGGCGAAACAATTCACACGACAGTTTTGTCAAAATTCATTGATACTAAGCCAGTACTATTTACTTATTATCTTGGCGGCATGGGGATTATCTATGTCATGCTGAGCTTCTTGTTACCCTTATACTGTCGAAAGGTTTTCAAGGGTCCGAAGAAAAGAGATGAAACTGTTAATGAATCCAACGAAATGCGAGATTTACCCAAATATTGATTACATATTATGTATTAACTTTAGTTTTTTTAATCTCAAAATTTATATCTTTTAATGAGATTTACAACTTTCTATTGTACTTATTGTGAACAATCATTTATACTGCAAATATATTTTAAAATAAATTTTGAAATAAATTTTAGATTGCAATTCAAATTTCAAACAAATTGAATAATTTACAACTCAGATTTTTTCGAATCGACTCCATGTATTGTAAACCGGTGGCTGGATTATTAAATTCAGCTCTACAGTCGGCAAAGTTTCAAAACTACAAAAATAGAATAGCTAAAGCCATTTCTGTCTAAAAAAATGTAAGGTAAATAAGCAAATCCATCAAAATTAGAAAATAAACTACAAAACTACTAAACTGATTTAATGGGAAAAAGAAACCTTTTCAAGTTTAGTTTTCTATGCAATTCAGTTCAATTAAACCAAGACTCATTATTTTTCACCGAGACTGATTAACTGATTTAACATGAGTCGCAATTATCATTTCATCAAATCGAATAAGGGCGCTTTACTTGTTTGGACAACTACATTCATCGAAAAATGTTCATCTGGACAAAAAACATATTGGATTTATGATAATGATAACTGCGAAGATTGATTTATAATACTTTATGGTGCATAGTTTATGAGACTATTAATGGTAGTTGTTTAATAAGAAACTTATAATACTTCCACCAAAATTTTGATATTTTCATCCATTCCAGCAGAAAGTTATAAAAAAATCAGAATCAAGCCACCAAGTGAAAATGTATGGATACAAAAGCCAAATGACAAAAATTCAAAATTTTGGCCGCAAGAAAGAAAGATTTGTTTTGAAACAAAACAAGCACTTTTTTCAAAATGAGTTAAAATAATAATCAAGAAATTAGTATGGAGCTAGTTATTCACAATACAGCTAATTTATCAATGTTAGCTACTTTTGATCTCCTTTTAAATACACAATTGCCAGTTACTACTTTGAACAAAATTCATCGCGTTCACTATTTAATAGTAATGTTCGTAATAATGGTATCAATAGTGTTTAACAATTAGGAAAAGTTTTATTTTACTCATTATACCAATTTTTTACAACTAAAACTAATAACAAGCATACAATAATTCACCAAAATTACACTTTACTGCATTTATCATCGATTCTGATATATTTCGACTTTCTTTTTCTCTCTCACTTGGATTTTCAATTTTCTCACCAGAAAAAATAGCCGATCAAGTAAAGTGTCATTGTAAGACTGTTGTTTAATTGACTAATATTAATAGATTGCTCCAAAGGTTTTTCAGTGCTTTTCAAATTGTTTTGGCCCATTCTTTGAACAAACGAACCAAAAATATTACAAGTTCTAGTTATTTTCATTAGGGTCTTTATATCGTAAGGCTTTTCTCTCAGAGAATCCTAAATCAGCAAACTCTTGCTTCTTGAATTTATAACCCACTGATGGATAAGCAGGATCACCAGGTAAAGCCGTTTCTCTACGAAATATAAACATTGGCCATGATGATCTACTTCCATCTTCCCAGGTTCTTTGTTTATATTTGGCTATATAGTACAACCAAAAAGTAACGCCATAGATTCCAATTAAATAAGTGATAGAACGTCTTATAACATTGGCACGATGATGACTCTGAAAATGTTGATAAAAACAGCGATTGAGAAATGAATAAATCCAATTCTACTAAAACTTTGATAACTTATGATAACTTACAACGTAATTAGTCAATTGCCTTTCAAACCAATTCCATGGAGCTCGATAAGCTCTTCGGATGGGATTATATAATTCACGTTCCAAAGCTTCAACATGTCTCGGTTCAGAAGGGTGAAGGGTTTGATCTTTAATCCATTGAGCTCTCCATTTTCTCCATTTATCAGTAAAATCGTCCGTTAGTCTCTGTCGTTCATGTTCAAATCTACTTCGAATGCTCATAGGCATCACACCACCCGTCTGTGAGCTAGGAAAATTAGGATATTCTCGAGATTTGGCCATTGTAGCTCGAGCAGAAATCTTTTCAACATCAACAGATGAAGTCTTGACCTCTGTTGGTTTAGACGGTTTGTCACCTCCATGTGATCCATCTGTTAATTTAACCATTTTAAGTTTAACAAAGATCTGTACATAAATAGAACAATGAAAGTGTAATTTATGAATATGCAAAATAACAAATGAATAATGTTCAAAACATTCCAATTAAAATTAAATTAAATAAAGTAAACAAAAAAAATTTACCTTAATATTCACACATCAAGTTCACGATTCAAAACAGATATTCTTACGGATCCGAGTATGGATCTAGTATCTTATATCTTTTAATTCCGTGTAAGATTTGAAAAATTTGAAAATTAAACAATAAATTTTTAATTAAAAGTAACCTTATTGAATTTAAAGCTGTGTATGAAGTTTTATAGATTGGACTATTTTGATTTATTGTGATTTTTATGTTTGTTAAGCGAAGATGTAAAAGATCTTTGATGGGGAAAAGATGCAATGTTTAAATAGTCCCTAACATAAAGTGTACAAAGAAATTGGAAATCACATGAAACTGTTCATGATGTTTGCCGTGTTGAACTGATTTCACTCATCACTATTTAATCCATAACATTGGCCAGTTTTCTTACTAATCAGGCCAAAAAGTGTTTCTTCATCTAATCAAATTTCCATTAAGTGTAACTCAATCACAGAGGACTTTATTTTTAATACTACAGATGTCTCGTTATTTAATTTTTTCATTGCCAATTTTTTCTGTTTTTAGTTTGATTCTCCTGTTTATTTTTTCATTCATTATTTACCGGTATCGACCGAAACATAGAAAACCTGGAAAATTTGTCAGAACATGTGTTATACTTGGTCCTGGTGGACATTGTCGTGAGATGCTTACTTTACTGGAGAAAGTTGATTTTGTGCATAAATTTAAACCTGTCATGTTTATCATTGGTAAAGAAGATAAAATGTCTACTGAGAAATTGAAAAACAGTAAATTATCTATCGAGGAATCTTCAGTAAAATTTATCAGACGTAGTAGGCACGTTGGACAAAGTTATTTCACGTCTATTTTCACCACATTAAGCTCTCTATTTGACTCTATTAAGATTATTTTAAATTTCAACTGTGATCTTGTGATTTGCAATGGACCAGGAACTTGTATTCCGCCAATGGTTGCAGCATATTTCATTCACCGACCAACAATTGTTTTCGTCGAAAGTTTCTGTCGGACGAAATCTCTTTCATTATCCGGAAAAATTGCAAGCTATTTTGCTGATCATGTTCTTGTTCAGTGGCCTGAATTGATTAAAAAGTATCCAAAGTGTAAATATATCGGTTTAATGGTTTAAAGTGGATTTGCTCATTAAAGTGGAGTCGAACAAAGTCAAAATTAAATAAATTTGATTTAATTTAATGATTGGTCCCTTCAGAGGACATGAGGGCTTTGCCCTGAGAAATGAATGATTACATTCAAAATTATACTATTTTAACTTCAAGTTAAAATATAGCAATTATATAACAATGACAATGATGGAGGAGATATAATATTATAAAATATATAAATTGGACAGCTATGATCCAAGGCTTAATAAAATGAAACCATGAATGGTTTCAGAACACGTTATTAGACATTCAACCATCTCTAGTCAGGCAATGATGTCTTTGGGACATCTCGACTTCACGTTCCGAGTTTTTGGCTGCATTGGTTGTTTTTGGATGATTTCGATAAAGATTTTATACAATTTTGTGAAAAATGTATAGTTTATAAATGGTTTACTTGTTTGGGATTTGTGAATCTTGAAAATTGAGTCTAATAAATTTATATTTTTGTACATATACACGTATTTTAAAGCGTATTCCTTAATTTTCTCCATTCAGCTGCACCAATCCTCAGCAGAAAGCATAATGAGATTAAGTCTGAAATCATGACCATGTAGAAGACATTATTCCAACCATTTTGCGACACAATTCCAGCTATAAATGGACCCACAGCAGCTCCGATTGAACCCATACCGTCAATAATAGCTGTCACTGTGGCTAAGGCATTACTGGTTGTCACTTTGTTTCCGAGATCAGCTGCTACAGCAGTTGTAATTAAAGCGTATGGACCATTAACGAGCAATCCAAGAATTGATTGAAAAATAAGGTTGCTCCAATAATTGATTGTTCCCAGAAGCTCATATGCTATCAACTATGATATGATATGAAAGATAAAAATTTAATTAGAATAAAGATAAAAGTTACCGTTTTTGCCAATTTTGTTTTCAATCTGAATATTTTTCCCTGCATAACCTTGATATCTAATTCTATTATTAATCAAGGCTTTAATGAGCTCATATTTTGGTGATTATTTTAATAAATATCTGATTCTTACCCCGGGAATTGTAAAAAATAACATGAAGATACAGGTTAGTCCAGGAGCTCCAGTTTTATCGGCGACTATCCCAGCTCCAACTGCACCAATGGCACCTCCAATATCGAAGGGGGTTGATAGAAAGGCCGATTCCATAGAAGATGATCCAGCTTTATTTTGAAAGAGACGCAATAAATGAATCATTTAATATGCTTATAGTGACAATAAAATTAGTTATTTATAAAATATATTCAATACATCAGATAGTTATTGTATCAATTAATACGCCAATTAAGATGGAATAAAATAATCTACGTCATTAAATGCATTTTAGTAGATGACATACACGATTTCAGATCAATAAATGAAATAATTATATTTGAAATATCGATAATAGATAGAAATTTCTTTTTTGATTGAAAGAACAAGTCTGAATTTTCTATTAATTAACTGAAACTCAGCGAAACTGGCGAAACTATTTTTGAGTCTATGGTAATAAATGAGTATCACTTACTTGAATCGTCAAGGTACTTTGGTAGCCAATAAAGAAAAGTATAGCTAACTAATTTACAAAAAAAGAGACTTAGTGAAAACTCGATAACACCCTGTAAATAATAAAGATGAAAGAAATGTTATTAAATAATTATTAATGAATAATAGTAAATAATTAATTGTTTACTAGACGATTGATCAACTTACGGGAATTTTCAGTGCGGAAAGGAAAGAAACAGCTCCTTTGTCGACAAATTCAACAGCACTGTTGTCAATGAGAGGTGCCTCTTCGCTAGTCTAATAATGGATTCAAAAAAGAACGGAAATTAATAAGAGCCATGAGATTAGAATATAGGAATCGGCAGTTTGGCAAGAATTAATTCTTACATCAGTGTTTGAACTTGAACGCTTTGCTGTTTTACGTCGATGAGAGCCGTTAGATGGTTCAGAACTGCTAGATCTTGGTTGTTGACCATCCTAAAATGAAGAAGTTCAAAAAAATGAGATTAGTGGTTTTGTTTATTTTCCTTTCAATTATCAAATAGGAAATTCTGTTTGATTAGACAGAAATAGAAATGAAGAAATCAAGTTAAATCACTGATCAAAGTTGAGTTTATGATAACTGCTTTATGTTAATATCAAAGGGCATGTATATTGAATCAATGGATGTTGCGAATCAATTGTTTAGTTAGACATCTATGATAGTGATTTGTAACAATAGAAAGAACTAAAAAAAGTGACACACCACCAACAATTGTGATAACCAATAAGCTGATTAAAAATATCACAGAATGCTGTGTTTGACGATAAAGAGGATAAAATATTTCTTATCATTGTCATTATCATTATCGTCTATTTGGTGATGTGTGTCTATTCAATTCCTCATATGTAGCTTGTCAAACCTAAATAAACATCAAAAACACTGTCAGCAAGATAATCAATAAAGAAGTTTTTGCATATTTAGACTATCATTAGCAACGAAAGAGGTATTTCATGAGTCTTATCCACCAATTAATGGAGATACTTGAAGTTTATCTTTTTTCTAAAGTAATAAGAAATTGAAAACAAGATTTTGTTTACTCAGGAAGCTACTTTTGCCTAGAAGGCTTTACGCAAATAACTGTCATTGACCTTACGATCTAATGAGCAAGTAAGTGAATATTTCATGTTTCAAAAAGAAATATTTTTGGGTGAAGAGAGAAACAAACCTCGAGACTTCCACTAACTGCCCGTGTTCCACTGTCAATTTCACTATCAACAGGTGCTAGTCCAACTTCTTCAGGATCTGGAAATGGTAAAGAGTATAAAAATGAACGTGACAGGTTTCATGATATCAACATAAAAGTAAAAAATAAATGTTAGGATGGTAATTATTCTGTTGATACTTACATGGAACCAAGAACAGAAAATGCAAGAAACCAACTGATGCTATTATTACACCAGGGACTATGAAAGATAGACCCCAATTATATTCAACAAAAGCTCCAGCAATCAAGGCTCCAAAAATGTTACCAAGATTAGTATGAGAATTCCATAAACCGAAGATTAATCCTCTAGATGACTTAGGAAACCAATTGCCCATTGCTGCAACAACTGCTGGCCATCCAGTAGTTTGACAGGCTCCCGCAAATATTTGTACAAATAAAAAGTAATAAATATTGTGAATATCAAAATAAAAGGCAAGTCCAAAAAGATAGGTAAAAATACCACTGAACACCATGCCTAATGCAAGAAAATATCGTAGATGACAACGTTCTGCGATGAAACCGCTCATAAACATGAATATAGCGTAGGAGATGAGAAATGAAGAATCAAGAAAGCCGAGTAATGAGTTAGCATTATCTTTGTCAAAGGGCTTCCAACAGCACCAACAAGGGTCACTTGTATCAACGTCAGGTTCTGGTATAAGTTGACTACAGTTACGATTAAGAATAGTTTTCACAACACTCAAAGGTCTTCTTGATAAATGGTAACTCATGTAGGCCAAATAAGTCAACACTAACACAGATGTTTTGTAACGGGTAGTCTGACTAATTGAATCACAACTCGGCCATATTTTACGTAATATGATAACACCGATGGGCAAAGAGTGGGGAGAAGCCATTTACAATAGATATGTGATCAGGTATTGATGAAAAAATAGTTGAATTAAATCACAAATATAAAAAAATAAACAAAAATATCAAACTATGAGATATTGTTATAGTGATGGGTGCAGTAATGTTGATGTTGACGATGAAAATGATACTGAAGCTGTTCAGTAAGATTGAATTACTAGCGACATTGTGTTGCTTTACTTGAACTACCAAATTTTTGGAGCTGAGTTTTATCTTTAACTTTACAGAGTTGATAAGGAATAGGTCCTGCTCTGGAGGACTAACCCTCTTTTAAGGCGTTTTAAACACACATTTAACTAGACAAATTAAAATACAAATGTCGTCCAATGTTTGCACAGTTAGAGATTTGCCTTGAAAGCAGAAAACTTGAAACTCTGGTTTAACAGTTTTTTTAGCTTTAACTAATCACGATGTTTACACGATGTTTATTGATGATACAGAAGGTTGATAATAGCTTAATTGGGGGCTCGACCTGCAGACCTTTAAAAATACATCCGAAAACACTTGATTGTCGCATTTGGATTGGTAATGATTGCAAATATTCATTCAAAAGTCAACAGTCAACACTTTTTGTTGTAAGAAATTCAAATTAACCGGTCATATTCCCGCCATGAGTAAATAAAAATTCCTCTTGGTGGCGCTCTGCTAATCAGCATGAGTAATTTATTAAAAAATAATATGTAAAAGATGTAAACAGCCTTATTTTTGCACAAATTTTTGATTTTTTAACCAGTTTCTACCAAATTTAATTAGTTAATTTGAATCAATTAATCAACTGACCAATCTTTAAGAATTTGTGTAACTATGTTGGAAGAAAGCACCGGCAATTTCAGGTAATCTTCTATAAAAATTTCTATCTATTGTTAAGACCGGTTATACCGGTGACCTGTGATGTATGTAAAAATGTACAGATCAAAAACAGCTAAAACAATTAATAATCGTCATTTATAATTAAATTTCTTCTACTTGTTGATTCACTTATAGTGCTGCTCGAAATGTATACGACTGGTATCAAACAAACACCCATGTTATCATCAATATTATGATTAAGAACCTCAAGGAAGCTGATGTCAAAGTTAAATTAATTGATGAAACCCTTGACGTTACCTGTGATTTAGCTGATGGTTCAATATTTAAGCTTCATTTTAACCTTTTCAAATCCATTTATGTACAAGACAGTAACTGGAGTGTGACACCTTCTAAACTGGAGATAAAATTAAAGAAAACTGACCGAAAAAGGTGGCAATCTCTTGAACAAATACCTGATAAAAGTAAACAACGTCATAGTCTTTCAAATCAACATCGTCACCATTATCATCATCAACAACCACATCTACAATCACAATCGCAACAACAGCCACCACAATTACTACAATTACAATCAAACCAGAATCCAGAAGAACCACAGGAATCACAAGACCAACTAGCATCACAATCCCCTCAGCAACAAGGGCAACAAGAACATCAAGAACCAATAGACTCAATTGAGCCACTTGAAGCTCTGGAGCCATTAGAATCATTAGAACCCCAAGAATCCCAAGAACTTCAAGAACTCCAAGAACTCCAAGAACTTCATGAACTTCACGAAACCCAAGAACCACAAAAATCAATACAAACTCAAGAACCATTGCAACTAGAACCAGAAGAACCACAAGAACCGCAAGAACAGCAAGAACAAATAGAACAAATAGAATCACAAGAATCAGAAGAACTACATGAACTTCAAGATTCTCTCGAACCACTAGAACCACTAAAACCGCAACTACAGCAACAGCCTCAACTAGAACCATTAGAGGCACAATCGCATCAAGAACCATTAGAGGCACTAGAACCACTAGAAGCTCTAGATACGCAAGAGCCTCTACCACAGTCACAGCAACAGTCTCAACAGCAGCAACACCAAGAAACATGCTATACAGACACAGACGTGTATGAATATTTTTTGACTGATGATATTTCTTGCGTCCTTCCCTATCCTGGTCAATCATCTGTATAAAGAATGGTTGGATATGTAATCAAACCAATTATGTATAATCAAAGACGATTAAAATTCAATAATCGGGTTTTAATAAATTAGCTAATGTTCAGAAGTTAAATACAATGTTTGATATTTTAGGAGAGAGAAAATGAGAATATAAATGAAAAAATTGTTTGGCAATGAGGATGATTATTTAATAAATAGCTTGAATGAGTCAAATTTTATCCCTGTAATGAAAGTATAAGATTGATTTTTGCGTTTATCGAGATAAATTATTATTTACATAGCAAAAAGGTAAAGGGAGATAAGACAATGACATTTCATCAGATCAAATTGTCTTCAGCTGTGATCTATCCAAGTACAAATGATAGCTATTTAAAAATTACATTACAATCAACTTTTTCGATCATTTAGCAAACTTTGTTACATTGGACTCCAAATGATGAACAGAAACATTTTTTACACGATGAGCTTAATTCGTCAATTACTTGATCAACTTTGTAAAATGTACCATAAATATTACAACCAGAAACTCGTAAAGTATCCCACAGACTTGGAGCCATTCCTGTTGGTGAATCCGTTTTTTCATCGAGTGGTTTAACAGGTTCGCTGACATCAGGCTGCTTTGATGTTTGATTTAAAACTTGAGCAAAGAATGGATCGGAAATAGCTTCATCAAATTTATTGTCGGTTAATGGCTTATTAACTGGTAATGAAGGTTTTACAGTTGAAGAGAGTGGTATTTGTGGAGCTAAAGATGATGTTGTATCGGATGATGTTGAAGATGAAGGTGAAAAGGGTAATAATGATGATGGCGCTGGAGATGAAGATGAAGGAATGTTGAATGCTGTTGCTGGTGAGTGTGCAATGTCTTTTTCGGTGGTTGGTTTAGTTAATCTAAGTAAATCAATTGATGTAGTTGAGATTGAAAATTCGGGTTGAGATGTTGGAATAGCAAATCTATTCGCATCAGATATAGGTTTGTGTTGAGGTCCCGGTCTAACTTGAGGTCCCATTGAAGGCCAAGATGGCTTTTTGTGATTCATCGGAGGTCGCTTCTGATTTGATCCTTGTTGATTAATATTGGTGTGAGGACCATTGTTAACAGTTGATTGCTTAAATAAGTGAGGCAATAGATTGGGAAAGCGATTGGGTAACATAGCGACTGGCTCTTTGTTAACATTTCCGTTGATATCTTCGGACGATTCTGGTTTTCCTGCCGGGAAATGAATCCTATTTTTGCCTGAATTCTCACTCATGGTGGAACCACTAGAAACTATCTGTTTGTTAGTTGATTGCTGAGGCTGAGGTGGCTGTTGCTTAGGTCGATTATTTTTCAACGGTAAATCAACAGGAGGAATCAAAGAGACTCCAGTTCCATTCATCTTTTCTTTACCATAGTTGTTAGGCCTTTGATTATTTAGATGATTAAGTGGCGGAGCAACAGTTTCCTTGTGAATTTCAGATTCAGCAGACATTGGTGAGCCACTTAAAGGAATATAACCCAATTTTGGTGGTTGCATGGGAAGAACTGGTTGAGGAGATTGAAATTGTGATCCAGGTTTGTGGAATGTTTGTAAACCAGGATTCATAGCAATTGCTGGGTTGATAGAGCTAGTGTCATCAGATATTTCTGTAAAATTAAAATGTAAATGACGATAAACATGATTAAACTCAATTAAATAAAAAATAGGACAAAATATTGAAAACTTACTGCAAATATATCTTGGACAGCAATAGCCTTCAACAAAATTCAATTCACATCCATGTCTTGGAGGTGGAGGACATTTTTGTTGATGGCACAGTTCGCGACCATAGAAGCATCGGCAACGAACACAAGGATCTGCTTTGGCTATCATTGCTCCATTGGTGTAATCTTGATCACCAATTCGGCATGAAGCTAATAAGAAGATTAAAAAGAAATATAAATATTAATAAATTTCACTGATATTTCGTTTCGTCAATTTAACTCACTCATTACGGGCGGTTGTTTCTGGTGATTACTTTGAGGTTTACGGTTTTGTGGTAATCTAATCGTGAAACTTGAATTGGGTTTATTATGAGAAACAGGGAAATTAGCTGAAACATCTCCAGAGCTAAACGGAATGTATTTTACATTATTTGGGTAACCTGGGCCTGGATGCAGGGATGATGTTAGGTCAGATCCTTCAGAGTCTGTCTCTGAACGAGACTTCTTTTCAGCATCTGTTGAGTTATTTGATAAATCAAAATCTTCAGACAAGTCCATATCTTCCGATCGATACTTGCTGACAAACGATTCAGAAGTGTCAATATCTGACTTTAATGGTCGATGGTTGTGATTAATTACTTTCCATTCATCATTTCCAAGATTATACATTGTTAGAGGTTTTACAAGATTGGAATCAGTTTGGTTGGTCAAGTTCACAGAGCTTGTAGTGTCAAAGACAAAACTGCCCTGTTTATGAGAGCCATTATTGTTTAACTTTTCATCTCTCAGTTCATCGGTTGAAACTTTGAAAGAGGTTGAACTTAAATTGACCAATATTGAATCTGGTTGGCTGATATCATGAAGAAACGGAGTTGCTGCGGTGATTATTTCAACATTAGAAGTATCAAAAACACTTCCACTATACTTCAAGTGTTCATCAGCTTCCGGCTTGACCATGATTGTGCCAACAACCGGTTTATCAGAATTAAAGGTTCCGTTAAGTTGAGACTCACTTTCATTCAGTGTTACACCACCATGGTTCATTGACGGTTGTGCTAAATTGTGAAAATCAGGTAATTTATCAACATGATCACTTCCACCATTATTTGTTTCACCGTCAAGTTTATTGGCTTTGTTAAACTCCTTCATTTCTGTCTCTTTTTTATCCATCGGTAATCTAGACTCTGCAGGTAAAGAGTTTTGTATGCGACGCTCCAAAGCCTCAATAATACCACCTAAAAAGAGTTCGACTCCATCAGGTTCATTCTGACCATCAAACCTCAACCAAGAATCTGAAGACTTCTTATATGGAGTCACCGTTGTTGGTGCTATTGTCGTTGTGGATGATACTGGGGTAGTTGAGGGTGAAAATTTGGCTGGTAAATTGGTTGACAGTGTTGATGATTCAATAGCAACTGGCGTTGGTGCTTTGCTTGTGGTAGAGTTGGCAGTAGTTGACACACTAAGGACCGTGGTAGCATCTACGTCTTCGGTTAACTCAGTTGAATCAGAATCAATGCTACTTCTTGCTTCAATGTTGCCAGAATTGAGTGTTGAAAGGTCACTTTTGCTTGGTTGAGTTGTCCCTTCAATGGGTTTGTTTGTGCTAGAGTGAGGTAGGGCATAAGAAATGGGTTTTTCAATTGCTTTGCCAGATTCAATTGATCGATCAATTGATTCAAGTACTTTGTGGTTTTCAATTTCAGGTAAATGAGTATCTTTAACTAAATCGGCCGATCTAAGTTCAACACTGACTGCACTTGTTGATTCAACCAATTCCGAGTCAACAGGATCAGTAGAGACATCAATGTCGGACAATGTAGTCAATGATTGAGAGACTGAGCTATTCATCGGCATTTCAGTTGTAGTTGTTTCATCAAGGATCGGAACCTCTTTCTCAAGGGATGTATCCGCACGGGCTTTAGTACCTCCGTCTGTCAAAAAATCAATAATAACCTCTTAGAGAAAAACGAAATAAATATTCAAAAGTATATACAAGAATTTAGATTCCGACTTTTACCACATGCACTAAAAAGATCAACTGGATTTGGTTAAATTATAAATATTTTTTCTGTTTGAATTGGATTATCTTGGTAGGATAGCTTGAAACAGAGACATCAAATTGGTGCATTTAAAGTTTACTGGTAAGCTTTGGTTCGCATGTCATTCATAACTGCATGAGGTAATTATGAGATTCAAAGATTAAATGATTACTTACGACATTTATACTCAACAGGACAGCAATGTCCTTCTGGAATAATAGGAACGCATCCTTCCATAACCGGAGAACAATGGATTTTCTTACATCGTTTAACACCTCCATAGGAACAATAGCAATTTTGACAGGCAACATCATTTGGAACATGATCACCCAGTTGATAAATTACACCATTAACTCGACAAACTGTAGTATAAAGGCATTTCAACGAAACAATCCAATATTATTATAATAAACAAACAAATAAACAGAGAAATTAGCATTTAAATTATGACCAAAGACGATGAGAAATGAGTTTATTTCCAGCAAGTTAACCAAATAACACAACAATCTCTTTTACTTTTTACTTTTTTTTTTTACTTTGTCTTGACCATTTTAGCTTTTGGACTTTAAATAAACCCTGAAGTTGCTGCTACTTTACTAGCTAATAGTCCGATCTCATTTCTTCTTCATATTAGGTGTTGTACTTGTTATTTCATTCTTAGCATTGATTATATTGTAAAATGACATTAGAAACGGCAACTTCCCTAATGCTAATCCCTAAATAAGACCAAGATTTTTAACCCTCGGTGTTAGCCATCATTAAAGAAACCTCATTGACCCAAAATATTGTGTAAAAGTATTCATTTTTCATTATAAAACAATAAACTCAATCATAAATCAATGCATTTGTTGCTGAAAAGACACAATAAACACATTTGTAACATTTTTGCATCAAACTTGTGAACAAAATGGGCAAAAACGGGTAGAAATTGATTTCTTGCAAATTTGAATTATGTTGGCTTGTAGGGAAATAAAAACTGTGTCTTTTAGTGCTATTAAAAAATTTCTAAGTTCGATAGTTTTCATGAAAATCGAGGTCAAAATTGTAACTTCGATCGCATTTTGTACCATTGCCTGACCAGATTTTTTTATGAAACTCATTTTCCCTAATGTAATTTTTAATGCTTAATCAGGAAATGAACTTATTTTGAGAAATAAAGTTTTATATTTTCTGTAAAACCCATAAGTTCGATTTTGAATTAAACGGACCGATTTCTGTGACCACAATAGTTAGAGATCTGAAACTTATTTTTTGAGCATGAAAATTGTTTACACAAATCATGAATTGAATATTTTTCTCAATACATAAACAGTTCTCTTGATATCGGCCATTGGCCTTAAAAGTTTGGGTCTCGATATTTCGAGAATGGCATTACTTACAGTTACCATTCTTCGACCAAATATTAGATTTTATTATGGGCTATAATATGAAATGAATGAATACCCATAAAATATCAAGTAATTCATTCAAAAATGATTTGTCTTTGAGTACCCATTTAACTTGATAAACCAAGTCTCAAATATGGTAACGTAAGTACACCAATGGTATAACTTTTCTTGTAGAATCTCGAACGTTTTTTTTATTTCAATATATTATAGCCCATAATAAAATCTAATATTCGGACGAAGAATGCCGATGATAGAAGATGCCATTCTCGAAATATCGAGGGTCAAACTTTTTAGGTCAATGGCCAATATCAAGAGAACGGTGTATAACTTTGAAAAAATTTTAGCTCCATGCTTTGTGTAAACAGTTTTCATGCATGAAAAATAAGTTTCAGATCTCTAACTATTGTGGTCACAGAAATAGGTCCGTTTCATTCAAAATCGAACTTATGGGTTTTACAGAAAACAGAAAATTCTATCTATCGAACTAAGGGCATTTTCTAATTGAGTATCAAAAATTACATTAGTGGAAATGAGTTTCATTAAAAAATCTGGCCAGACAACTGCACAAAGTACGATCGAAGTCTCAACTTTGGCCTCAATTTTCTCGTAAACTGGTGATCGGAGAAACTTTTGTTAGCACTAATGGACATAGTTTTTGTGTCCCTAAAAACTGACAGAGTATAAATTGAAAGAAACTGATTTTTACCCGTTTTTGGCCACTTTGTTCACAAGTTTGATGCAAAAAGCTTGCAATTGTGTCAAATGTGTCTTTTTAGCAACAAATGTGTTGATTTATGATTGAGGTTATTGTTTTATAATGAAAAATGGGTAATTTTACACAATATTCTAGAAAAATTAGGTTTCTTTGTAATGCATCGCTGCATTTTCTGGTTGGGCATCAAAATTCAAATCATTTAAATCATTTTGATGAAAAAAATCTGGCCAGAAAACTGTACAAAAGGCGATCGAAGATTTAACTTTTAACTCCATTTTCTCGAAAACTAACGATCATAGAAATTTTCAAATCGCAGAAATAGATTCAGTTCTCATTTCCCTACAAACTAACAGAATTTAAATTTGCAGGAAATCAATTTTTACCCGTTTTTGCCCATTTTGTGTACAAGTTTGATGCATAAAGACACAATTGGGTTAATTGTGTCTTTTGGTAACAACCAGAAAAACTTTGCATCTCTGTGTGGTTTTATTTAATGTGGGCAATATTTCTAGAGCCAAGCCTACATCGTACATGAAATTTAAACTTAATAAGAGTCTAGTAACCACTCAATAAGGATATTCAAACACGGAGTCAGTAAATCCCGTGCTGCTCAATTTTCATATAATCATGTTTTTTCCTGATTCTTTCTCTATTATAATATTATAATAATAGCTGCCAAGCTATGATGTGAAGGGATGAAAGCCAAAAAGTAGACACTTATTAGTAATAAGTTGATGGTAACAAATCACTTAAGACTTAGGAGTTATACTGACAAGGCTTGACTATCAAGATCAAAGTAAATATTGCTGGTAAAGTTTACTTTTCATAATCATTTCCCATATTCATCATCTTTGTTCATTTAGTTTCAATTGTTTGCTTTGTTAACCAACCTTTACGGGAGAAAGCATAATCAGATCCTGATGTACTGGCCATCAAAGGTCTTGTTGTCATACTCATTGTTGGTGTTCCCGGAGTTGTCGTAGTTGTAGTGGTAGTTGTAGTTGTGGTGGTTGTGGTTGTCGTTGTTTTAGATGTGAATGTTGACGGTAAAGTAGTCATTGACTTAACTGGTGAAGTAAATCCTTGAGAGGGTGAAAGAGTTCTCTCATCTAAAGATATACTTGGATTGGGTGAGTTACCTATTGAACATCAGATTGAAAGACAAATTACAACCTTTTTCCTTACATCAACCCAACAATAAACTTACCACAAATGTAGCTTGTTGGACAACACGCATATTCACTTGTATATCGAGGTATACAGCCAAGGATAGCAAGGTGACAACGAGGACGGATACACATCTTTTTACCTCTTATACAGTAGCAATATTCACAGTACGAAGAGGACATGACAGCCGATCCTTCAGCATATAATGTTGAATTTAAATAACAATCTAGGAATAAATAAGACAAAGTAAATGCAATTAAATTGATGTCAATTTGCTTTCAATGGTACAATGGCTTGGTTTTAGTTGCCCATCTCAAGACTAATTTCCTAGCATAAGTTCATTGAATTGCAGATTAATAATTGTATCCCTGGATGGTTATCAGGAAAAAAAGTGAAAGGCTAAAACTGAGTGATTTTAAAAGGTCATGTTTGTCATCTTAATGAGATGAAAAGTCTTGATGATTGACAGATTTCACTTCCTCTCTCTCCTACATATGAATAACTTTACATTGATGTTAAAGCCATCCTTTGAATATACACTTTTTTTAAAACAAAATTCAACATTCAAAATGAATTGCAATTTGAATGAATCTCTTTGTGATCAGAAAAGTAATTGACGAAACTTGCTTTCACCTTTTCTTTTGTTACCTTTCGTTTCTTGTTCATGCTACACTTACAGACATGATGATGAGTAACAAGACTATGATTGATGGTTACAATGAGCAAATTGGGCGGAGATAAGGTGATGATGATGGAAATGATGGTGAAAGGTTTAAAGATGATATAATGATGATGGACCATCTGAAGACTACCATTATCTCATTCACCTCAATGTTGACCACAAGCTTGATTGAGAAATTAAGCTTAATTTAACATTAACAGTTAATTCTTGTCTTCACTTCTTTTCATACAATTAGCAATTGTTGCTGTAAAGGTTGTTTCTTGCCTTTCAACAAACCTGAAACCTATGTAAAACCCATCAAGCTGATGATGGCTAAAATATTTTATTCCGTATCAACAGGTAATAAGCAACCCTTTTCATCGTTGTTATTGAACCACCCTTATTGACTGTTATAAAAGGTGAAATCAATAGATTTGATTTTTTTCTGGATAAATTTTACCACTTCCTTATAGCCTTCAACTTTTAATCAGAATACATTTTATGATTTTCAATATTCAAACAATAAGAATCCCAGAGAAAAACAGTTTTACATTCCTTTGCTCAGCTTTAATTTAATTTTACCCTTAAAATCAAAATTGTTCATTTCCTACTCTAACATTATTTACAGTTTACTCATTGTAAACTCACCTGCAGCTTTCAAATTTAACCAAAAATGCAGCAATTTTGTTGGTTAACCTTTCAATCGTTTTTATGGACGAGCAAACATCCGATTTCAATCAATGAAGGATTCACTAACGGATTGTAAATAGGTTTAAGTGTGGATATTTAAAGGGATATTTACCTCGATTGATTCGGTTCAAGATGGTTGGGAAATTGTCAATGTCGTCTTTAGAGTATGAATAATGTCCAGGACTTGATGTGACCAGTTTGGGTGAATCGTGAAACACTGTTGTTGGATTGGTCTGGAAAATGGTAGTTTCATTGTTGTGTGAAACAACTATCCTGTTATTGCTACCTTTGGCCAGTTTCGTACGTAGTGCTGTATCAAATTCAGCATTCAACTCTGTAATTGGAATCAATATAAAATGTTTCATTTATTGGTTTGAAAAAAACAAAATCAATAAGGATTGGCCAAAATTTTGTAGGCCTTGATGCATAATCGCCGGTTAATTTTGTTACTTTGCTCATTGAGAGTTAAATCATTATTTCAACCAATATTTCACACTTACCAGGAGTCAAGGAATTGGGTACTTCCTGTGGTGCTGAAAAGGGTGTTGTTTGTGAATCATGATCTCCACCTGATTCTTCTCGATCTTCCGGCCATGGTTCCGTTGGATCAGTGGTAAGGGTTACTGGGGCAGCGCGGCTAGTACATCTAACCGTAGGGCAGCATTGACCAGGTTCCCTAATTGTTTCACAGTTTTCATCGATATGAAGATGAATCTGTGATGGACAAACTCTCAAGAAACAAAGCAAAACCCCGCGTTTACATGTACAGTTGAGGCAAGGTTCACTTGTTATAACCTGTTCACCATGAGGATACTTTCTTCCCTGATAAGTGCAGCCTAAAATTGTTGATAAATACAAATAATAAATGAAATCAAGTTTAATAACCGGAAGATAATTTAACTTTTAAATAAAAATGTTGTTCTCTTTTTTATTTTTCTAGGTAAATTGAGCATAAATTGAAAGGTAAAAGCCATTACAAGTACAAAGCACAAGAGTCAACATTGAAACAACAATTAAACTTGAACTCCATCAATACTTACTCAAAGGTGGACCAGAAAGTAAACGGGCATATGACGGCCTTTCCGACCTTATGGTACCTAGAATAAAAGTAATTATCATTAATCAATTATCTGTATACAGCTTCAGGGTGATGCATTTAAAGTTGTTGATTGTTAACGATTGTTTCAATGTGATGACAAAATTAGATTCAATCATCAACCTAACCTTTCACTTGAAGATGATGATTTGTTAATTTCATAAAAAACACATTAAGATTGATCGTCGCTCACAGAGCGTTAAATTACCAAAAATTTGTCTCATTTTTTTCTCCTTAATATATCTTAATTTTTCACCTCTTAATCTGAACACTTCCTACCAAATGATACAAATTAACTTCACTAAACCACCATTAAATTGATTTCAGGTGAACAGGTAAAACGGAGAGTGAAAAAAAAGCAACAACAAAGTGAAATCATTTTCATGGTTTCAATGAAGCATCGACATTTTATCCAACTATTAACAGATTGAAAATGGGTATTTCTGGTAAATTGTTGGTTAATCTATTCTCTATGACAATGATTGATTTAAAGTGTTTAATATTACAAGCTTTTAATAAGCAATTGTGGCCAAGACACAATCAGGCCTTTGGGGTTGATGTTGAACTTGTATCAAGGATTGTAGCTTATTTCATGTTTACATCGATCAATTTTACTGACCACACAAGGAAAGGCCCAATGTTATAAGAAATTTGGTGTCAAATTGTCACTGGTTAAGTTGTAATTAAAAGCCAAAGTGAAATGAAAAGCCACAAAATGAAAGACAGAGAAGCTTGAAATATATAAATGACAACTCTTGAGTCTAAACTTTTGATTGTCACCTAATGATTAAAGTTAAATTAACCCAACCAAAGGGAATACACCAGAATGGCTTAAGGGATTTGTTGGATATTAAATCATCTTTGACAACTTTAAACTGACACTAATAGTGAACGATATAAATATCAAATGCTAGAGGCAATCATAATTTACTCATCATCGTCATAGCCAACAGTGTTAAACACTTGATTGCTTTGCCCAGAAAAAAACAATCAAAAATTGAATCATCTTGAAATGCTGTTAGCTAATTTGTAATTTAACTTTTCCCTTGATAATTGTGCATGTGTATTGTATCTAAATGTTTGTTACAATAAGGTGATGTAAACAAAATTATTTTACCTTGGCAATCATCTTGGCAAAAATAGGTCAGATACAAGGTAAAAATAACAAAGGTCATGGACTTAATTTACTAGATTGAGTTCATTTTTAGGTTAACTTGCCTTGTATTGAGGTCATTGATTATTTTCATGGTTGTTTGTAAGGCCAATTTGAAATGAAATGCAGGACAAATGCTCTGTTCAAGGGCAATCAGGTTTAATAAACTTGAAATTGTTGCTCAAACCATTACATTTCAAAATTTACTAGCATTTCAACCTATTTAGGCCTACAATTTGTTCAACTTAAATCACTTCAAGATTAATAATAGCATTGATATTTTGTTATCCCGGCTACAAATGAGTAGTAATCAACTATCATAAATCAATTGGTGTGAACAGTAAGACTACAATTAACTTGTACACAAACATGCAATTTACAAGTGTAAGCTTAAGGTTAACCTATTTGCTTCGGATATTTTGATTCAATTTAAAGACTGATTTAGATTCATCCAGAATTGTTTAAGGCCTTAACCCGACTTGTTAGTCAGTAAACATTGATAATCAGATGAATTTTTAAGGTAACATTTGGCAATAAAATCGTAACATTGTTGGCGTAACAATATGAATTTACTGTAATAACATGTTTGATGAAGGTTGATTTGGTTCATTCAAAATGATCAGAATAGTAAATTTGAAGACGGAAGCTAATCACTCTTCCTTGATTATGGTGAATGAATGAATAGATTTCATTGAAAGATTATTTTGCAAAGTAACTCTATTCATCTTTTTTTTCAAAGTCAATCCTTATTTTAAGATTCAGCTCAAATTGAGCTTGAAATCAGTAAATGAACAGTGTTTGGAATAGAAACAAAAGTTGAAAAGAAGCTAAGAATTTGTTGAAACATTTTCCCCGGAAGTTAATGGTGATTCAATTGATCATCTTGAATGACTATCAAGAGTGTAAACTGAACTCTATTGAACAATAGCAACAATCTTAACCTAGTTGCAATAAAACAAAGCTATTAATTCCCTGGTAACCTTAAAATTATGTGACTTCAATATTTCATTTTTTATAAGATTGTCTGGTGTTGGAATGAACTTTCATCCATCTCAAATACTACCTTGATCACTTTACCATTGTTATCATAATTAACAAGAAAGTCTCACAATGTTTCCCAAGTTAAATGGTTAAATTATTTTTTTATTGTTATCTGGTGTAAATGGTTTACTGGGAATGTCATATTTTTCATTTTATTATGGGAATCTACAGAGTTTTGAGCAAACACGAATTGGTACGTAATTGTTATTGATGTTAAATTGTACAAGTTGTTAATTGTTTAATTTATTTCCAGGTTAATATTCAAATGTGCCTCCTAAATGTTTACCGCCAAATGACAATCTTTTCATTGGCTACTCAACCCGTTAGCAGCTGTATTAAGTTAAAATTAGCTAATCATCCTTGCTTCAAATAATCAACTAAATTCGTTTTAATTCCTCTCATTATTTATTTCTCTATTTAGTAATCATAATTGGGGAGTTAAGGAAGCCTGGTAAGTTAATCATCATAAATTGTTTAATGTAAGTACTATGATTATTATTGCTAGCGTTTATCATGGCAGCTAATCTTTGAAAAGTGTATTTATATACTTAACCTTGATTCTGTTTTTTACATCTTTTTCTTCTTCTTAGTGTTAAAGGCATTAAATTGTAATTTAATCTCATATAATTATTGATTTAAGCTTTCTCTGTCAGTCAAAAAGAAACGGAAGCAATTAAACATCACTTGTCGCTCGATAAAAAATACGATGATGATGGTAAACTGGCTAAAAAAGTGAAGAAAAGGAAAGAGCTTGGTCATTACAATACTCATGGACAGTGGTGATAAAAGATATCAAATTAAATAACGACTAAATTGTCACTATTTGAGGATTGCCATCTTTATTATTATTGTTATTGCTAGTGGATCAGGAAGAAGTCAAACTGAAGATTTAAGCTAATAACAGACGTAAAGCCTCAACAACATCTTAAAAGATCTATTGCTAGCCTCATCACCAAATCATCATTATCATCATCACCATCATCATAGCAGCAACAGGAGCAATAATGACAATAACATGATTATCATTTCCTTTAGATGACCATGAACCCGCTAGTCACGGTTAATGCTGATGACAAATATAAATCAGTTAATTTTGTGGTCATCTTAACCATTTTTTCTGCATTTCTTGACTTGTAATCTCAATTACTTTTTACACAAATCCACTTTAGTTTACATCGATATACAAGAAATAGTGGTAAGTGAATCTTCCTATCATCACAGTCATCGCCATCATAATTTTTTATTATTTTTCTTCTTCCCTTTCCTCTCAGGTCATTGTCATATTCCGTGAGATACTAAGCTAACTAATTGGCTACTAACTTTCACTATCAAGATGGAAACATGCAAGCAGACAGACAAAATATGAATACACAGTAATGCCTTGATTATCATATGTGAAGTAATGGTCACGTAATCAACAGATAATCTGGAGAGCAAAAAAAGTGAAATTTGAATTTAATTTTGATTACATTCATTGGTAATGGTGAGAAGTTGCAATTTGATAACAAATTTAAAGACGCAAATATTGTCAAACAAGTTCCGTTACAAGCATAAACATACACTTTACAAATGTAAGTTGCATTTTCCTTATTACTTTTGGCTTGATAATGATTCAAGATTGATTTAAATGACTAGAAATAAAAGTAACTTTTTTACAAGGTAGTAAATAATGCACAATTTATTTATTACAATAAAGTTTGTTTACAATATTCCGAGGGAAGTTGTTCAACTTGGTGAAATACTTGACCGATACAAATAAGGCATTAACCTTGTAGGATAATATAGTCAAGTGAAACTCAAAATGATAATAATGGTGATGGACATGTTAATTTTTTTCTTATCTTTTAATATTTTTGAAATATTTAACTCTTTTTACATCTATCTACCTATTCTAGAAGTCGATCATTACATGGGCATTAACTGTGGTCAAACTGGAAACTCAAGCAATCAAAAGGTCACTGGTCAACATTGGTTAAAATTGGATAACCGTTAATTCATCATTATTCACTGAGTTGGAGATTTAATTAGGAGTGAGAAAATGGTGACAATGAGCTAAACTTGAAGACAATGAGAGTGAAAAAGAAACAACAAAATAATTCTGTGAAAATTGAATTCCCATGTTTATGATGATAAATGTTGGGATGTTTTATTTTCCATCTTATCCGGCAATTTTTCTGTTGTATAATTAAACAGGTTGACAGAAGCAGCTAACAATTATTCAACTAATGCAACTTTAAAAAGCGACAATCAACCAGTTAAAGCCAACAAAAAAAGGACAAACCAACAACACTAAACTAGGAAGCAACAAACTTTAAGATTTAACTACGAGCACCTTTATCATCATCATTAACTTCATCATCTTCACCATCATCAGCAATCTTATCTTTTTGAGCTTCTTCATCTGGCTAATAACATTTCAAGATCACTTTTAGTTTTTTTTCTGCTTTTTACCTCAACATCATCTTTTTTTCACTTCAATTTCTTTCTCCTATCAAATTTCAACTTTGTTCTGATCACTTTAAAGTAAATTGTTCAATGTTAATGCATGGCAATTCACAATTTTCATTCCCAACTGTATCACGTTAAGGTTGAGGCTAAATTGTTCAAGTTATTGGTACATACAGTTTTGCATGGCAATCAAAATAAAAACAAAATGGCAAAATGGTTTTAAACTTCTCACTCTGATCATTATTAATGACGCCATTATGATTGTTAATAGTTATAACAATTTGGAAACATGAAAACTATTTTCATAGTAAATTGTTTATCAACTTTGGTATTATATTTATTCTGATTAATGGCTTAAGCAAATCAATGGAATACAATTACTTTTTCTCCAATTGGTTTTGCTTTTACCATTTAAATGCATAGTAAAATCTGATTTATTGCGCTAATTGAAGCTTTTACTTATACTTTTACGAATCGAGCAACAATTAACTTATTGCTATAATACGTGTATATTGGTGTAATAGGTTTAGATTCTTGCCGTGCAATGATTCCTTAAATTGTGATTGTAAACCTAAAATATCTGACATTCATGTGATGAAATGATTCTATCGTAAATTGAGTTTCAGAAACAATTATGATACCTCTCCTAGCGATTAATATTGTCTCATTAGGTTTGAATCAAGTTCTTGGTCTAGAGTTGTCATCTTATGCACTGAGTTATTGTTTGTCAATTAACCGATGACAAAAGTCAACCAATACATCAATTAACCTGTTGATTAACCATCGATAACATTACAACTCAATACGGAAACTTAGAAATGAAAATAAATTCTTACCATTAGTAGATGTTGAATCAATATTATTTGGTAAAACAATGAAAATGACAAAAATGATGGCAACCAAAAAATGTAAACATTGTATAAAATATGATCCAATTGGTTCCATTGAATAATCAAAATGATCAAATTGACCACAAATGGACACAGACAAGTGGCAACAACTTGATAATATCAAAAATTAAGTATTAAACAGCAAAATTAAACCAATATCAAGTAGATTCCAATCGATGTAAACTGTTAGTGAAACAAAACAATAGGAAACATTGAAACACACACACTTGAAGGTACAAAGGAGATTGTCTATTACTAGTGCTAAGTCGCTATGAAAGATTTTGAAACATTAACAACATCTCGATTGAAAAGGTAATGTTTTAATAGCGATCCAAGAGAAAGATGTTTCTTCTTATCATCCAATTCGCCTCACCTTTCCACAGGGTGGACCTTGGGGTAAAAGAGCGAAAGTTAGGCCCGAAAGACCGCCCCGTTACTGAACAGGTAATATCATCCGAAGAATCAAGTTTATCTTTCTCTTTTTTTCTTCTCTTCCCTTCTCTTTCTACCTTAAATCTTCCCTCTTTTCCCCTCTCCTTTGCTTTCCTTTCTTCCTTCATCTTATTTACACCAAAAAACTCTCATCTCCTACCAAAAATGAACCCTCTTGTTCAAGGTTGTCCCTGGCCTTATCTTACCTCTTCACCTCCTCCTCCACCTCCACCTAACATCTTCCCTTTTCATCCTCATCTTCTTCCTTTCTTGTTGCTCTTCTCTATGACCATTTCAAGTCATCTTTCACTCATTCATTATCCAGACTCTCCATAACATCCTTTGTTATTCCTGGTTGTGTGTGAACTTCATTGAGCAAAAAATTTTCAGCCAACATTTTTCTCATTATTATTATCTGTTTACTATTAATATCTTGTTTTACCACTTGAGCCGAGAAAATTTGTCTTACTTTATTATTTCATGAAGGAATTAAATTGTGATAACCGGAAATTAATATCAACATGATGCTAACAGAATGAAAAATAATCAACTATCATTGTAATGGAAAAATGAAAAGGAAATATTTTCTCCTTTCCTTACCAAAAATGCTTCTTTGCAACTTGTCCATTGCTCTTTTACATATTAATTTCAAGTTTATATGCATTCAAATTCATTTTGAAACATTAAGCCAAAATGGTGATTTAACATGATTATAATGAAACTAGTTATTATATGATTAACTTGATAATAAATATTCAATGAGAAAAAAGGTGCAAAAAAGGAGTTTTTTTTGCGGGTAAATCATTTAAAACAGATGGAACCGGTAAACTCCCAATGAACAACATCTTATTGATTATCATATTAATTATTCTTTACATTAACCTGTTCACACCTTGTACTAAAAGTTAATACAGCAATCATAATCGGACATAATCAATGTCATTTATTCAAAGCTTCCCTTGGTTATTGACTTGAAGTGCTGCAACTGATTGGGCTTATTAAGTCGCGATTTGAGTCTTTGATAAAAATGAAGCTCGGCAGTCAGTTGAAGTCAATTGCTTGAACCCCTTTTATTGTAAATGGTCTTTAATAATGCCACCTTGATTATTATTTTGGTTATTTTCACAATTTCCAAGGTTATTTGATGTTCCTTTTTGATGAAATACAAAAAAAGTCATATTAATAGCGTGTTTCAATGGTAAATAAGGTTTGGAGTAAACATGATCAACGAGTAAAAAGGCTGGAGATGGAAACGGCGATTAGGTGACTTTAAAGGTTTTAGAGACACATAGAGAGGTAAAATGGTTATGATTGTGATTGACAATGATTCAATGACAATTGTTGAGATTTTTTTACAAATCATTATTCAGTATTTTTTCGCTCTATCTATTTTTACCTTTTTACTATGTGCACCTTCATCTGCTTTTTAAGTGAGTTTTTTTCCCTTGAAATCCTTCTTGTCGCAGCATTACTTGGTGAGTGTGTTTATTTTACTTGTTTATACCCGATTTTTTCACCATTTGCCAATGAAAAAAAGGTAGTTGCTTTAAGGTGTCACAAATAATTTTACTCAGTTTTAAAAGTTGCCAAAATTTGAACTCAATCAACCGTTAAGCCCCATTGAATCTTTTCTCACGCCCAACATAGCAGAAGAGCTAGAAAACAGCCGACACTTGAAAACAAATAACAACGGACAAATCAACAGATCAGCGGCTTGGGTAAGAAATACCAAATTTTTCAAATTGCTTATCCTTCAACAAATAATCACTGCAATCAAGATTAAATTTGCCTTCTCCAACTTGGTGTAATGGGCGAAGAAAGTAGTGGTCATAGCTTTTTTGGTAAACGGTTTAAAATTTTCAGGTTAATTTGAATGATCACTTCTTGGGACTACTAATGGATTCCTATTCGTGGAAAGGGTTCTCTATATTTCTAGTTAAATTTATGATACTGTCGAAGCAAAGTTGTAACATTGTTTTTTATCTGTTGAGATCGCATTGTAAATCAGCTGGTTCTTGATGATCACTTCAGCCTTGAATTTTTGATTCTGACTGAGTTAACCTTATCTCTTTGCGACAATCACAGCCAAGTCTTAATTTGAAGTCATGATTTTGATTTGATTGATATGTAGTCCAGTGTCATGTTTTGTCTTTATTTTGGTAAAGTTGTTGTTGTTTAACTGCGATAAAATGATAATGATGTTGATGATGTTGATGGTGATGATGGTGATGGGCATAATGGGCATAATGCTGTTAATGATTGTAACGGGATTCAATTGTTTCACTAGTTTTTCTCAGGGTCATTTAGACGGCTAAATGGAAATTTTTGTTTCCTGTTCACCTCACAGTAAGGTGAAAATTCAGAGGTGACCAGATAGAAAGAGCCCCGATATTGAGACTGGAAAGAATAAAAACCCATTCGAGCAGTCATGGTATCGGGATAGGAACAATTACCTTGAAGATAGGTAGACCAAGAGTTACATTTTGTCGCTACATAGGAGCAAGTTTTTATCGAAGAAATGTAGTAATAGATTGCCGCGTGATGATTACAAGTGACATCAGCTGTATTCTTGGCACAGTTAGGTTGATCTTGGCCACCATTAGGAAAAAAATCGAGATCACCTAATGGACTAGCATAACCAAGATGACCGATAAATTGATTTTCAATATCGCCTCCATTAGTATGAATAGCGTCAACTAACGCTGCATCGCCTATTTTCAATGAATATTTCGTACCACCAATAAGTGGGCCAGCGCCATCTAATGCTGTAAATGGTTACAAAGTTATTGTAAAATCAAATTGTTCCCAAATCTAAGCTTTTAGCTAAAATTTATCCAATCCAAATCTAACCAATTTAATCAATTCAAGTTCAAACATTTTATTAAGTTCTTATGTTGATACCTCAACTAGCTAAATCAATCTTGCATGAATATGTGACCTACAAGGAAAACACTCCAAATCATCCGAACCAATTTCAATGACCAGAGTGTCTTTCAATGTGTATTTACTTGATGTAACGTTCACTCCAACTACACTTTGCTTAAGAGACACTTCATTTTGATTTTGGTTATTAAAATACAGACGAATTGGATTCTCAAATTTTTTAAGAGTCGACGATGTTTAAAATTATCACCTTACCTGTTATACGAGCTACCTTGCTGCTGTATTTATTTGAAAGCCAACGACCTGCTGCACCAGCAACATGAGCTCCTAGACTAAATCCAATGAGATAGACTTGATCTGGCTCGATTTCGCGTTTATCTAAGAGTAGCTTGATCAGATAACCCGTTTCACGACCAACTATTGCTGTATTCACAGCTGATTGCGGGTATGAATCAGCGTCTGCTCCATTACGCCAATCAACAGAAACAACTGTTTCATATTGGTTAAATAATTCATGTCGCAGTTGAATGTACATCAATGAATCTGATGCAATCACCCAACCATGGATAATAAAGACAATTGGAGATGATTTTTTCACTAAGGACAGTGAGGATTCATTGCGATAATGTATTTCTTTAAAACGAAATGGATTGGGTTTGGTGAAAACTCTGAACGATGTTGCGATTTTTTCTGGTGGCTCTGGCAGATACGTTTTATTGAATACAGTTAATCCTTCAAAACAATCAATTATATCGTAGCAAACCTCTTCATCGCTTTTAGTCAATAACGCGACCATAACTATTATGAAAATACTAAGCTGGAACATAATCATGATGACAAATTAACTAAAGAAAATTCACTTCAATTCAAGTCAAATTACAATTCAACCACAAAGAACGATCTAATCTGGTAATTCGTCAACTAATTAATAAGCACAGCTATTATTATATTTTATCCTTCAACCTCAATTCACCAATAGAGCTGCAAATTAAAACATGGACGGAAAATCACAGATTTATGTTAATCAAAAAAGCAGCTTGAATATTAATCAAGGCTAATAAACTTTCTATCCAGTAAATCATCAAAAAATGAGGGACTCGTGGAAAATTTGTTATGTCAAAGTAAAGGATGGTAACAATGACCTTCTATGGACTTTATTTTATTCAGTTAAAGATATTACAATTACAATTAAATGACATGTACAATTGTAAACACAGGGATGGACATTATCGGAGCAAAATTGGCTAAAGACTAACCATATAGATATTTACGTTTAATTGATCCTTTAAAGGCTGGTGCTCGATCCTCTGAACCCAAGATTACTTCACCATTTTCATTGGCATCCATTGACCAGTCCTTATCAGCATCCAGTTGATCAATAGTTACTGCCACAATTAGCAAGACAATGAAAATCAATCCAAGTAATTTTCTCATTTTACAAATTTTACGTTTCTCGATGTTTGATTCAATGTGTACCAGAAAAAAAGCAACAGCCACTGATCAAGAAACGTGTTCATTTTTATATTGTAAAACAAAGGACAATTAATCACAGAATACAAGTGAATTGTAGTAAACAAACAATTATAGTTGATTAATTGTCCACAAACACTATTATTTGAACATTTTAAAAAGATTAATAGGTTGTGAATAACGTAAAACAGTAACGTTGTTTTCACATACAAATTCACATGCATTAACCGATCAATTGAACAATTGTTATAGAGAATCAAATAATAGATCAAAATGAAGTACAAATGTCACTAAACATTAATAACTGATTAAGCTGTTTCACCTGAATTAATGTCTGTGTTAAAATTGTTTGCAATTTTTTGATATTAATGAATTTATTGCCCATAAGATGTCAGAGTTTTCGCCTTTACTAACCTTTTGTTTTGTTTCTCATGTTGCTTCAATCAATTCCAAGTTTTAAGTTGAAAGTTTACTTAATTTGTACATTTACAATTTATTGATTTTACAACAATTTTCAATTTCTTATAGTAATTATAAACTCTTAAATGAGCTTACAACATTTAATTTAATTTTGTGCCCAAGAAAAACATTTTACTTGATTAATAACATGCTGAGCTGCCTTTTTTGTCATGCCTTCAAGTTGTATTAAAATTTAAGCTAATGTTTGCAACTATAAATGTTGATTGTAAAACTTAGTTAACCTTATTTTTCATCACTTATTAATCAATCACATCAAAAACAATCAAATTTTAATTTAAATATGATATTTAAATTCATTTTCATTCATTTGTATACTTACAGGTAAACATGTAAGCAGCCTTTAACAAACGCAACTGGTAAGGCTCGACCAACTATTAATAGTTGATACTTTTTTTTGTAACTTTTTGTGATTAATTACTTTCAATTTAAGTCCAATGTTTAAGGATACAATTAAGCAATTTCTTGGTACAAACGATTAAAAATAACATCAAGTACTGATAAAGGAAAAGACAATGCAATAGCTACATTGATGAGAAAGCGTTTTTTATTTACAGCAAACAAATTTCTTGTTCGTATGAATTAAACAGCTTATTTTACAAAACAATTAAAATCTGATATGGTGAGTGATGAATAAAGCTAATACTGGTGATTGGTCAACATTTTACCTTTCATGGTTAATAAAAGCTTGACAAAATACTGATCCGATTATTCAGCCAAAGCAATCCATTCATGAATAGTTCTCCAGTTTTCTTTTCAGCCTTTGTTTGTGTAAATTTTAATGAAATTAACTAAATAGCTGGTTTAAAGTCATTTTAAGTTGTAACAATTGAAAGTTATTTGATAAAAAATTAATGATTTTGTCAGTAAATTGTTTAACTTTTAAGGTTGGCAAAGGCTTTGATGGAGTTGAATTCAAAAAAAGCGGTTAAACGGTTATCATTCGTTTCAAAAATCTGTTTACATGGTTACCATTAATCAACCGATCCAGGAGTTTTGATTTACTCTTAGCAATGATAACTCACTTTTTTTCAGTTATTTGCTGTTTTGGGGGGGAAAGGTGTCTTTTTGGGGAGTAAAAGTGACAATTTTACTTCAATGACTTTTTAAACACCATTTTCCGCTCAACCTTCTCATTTAATACTTGAAAATAATAGGAAAAAAGTGAAATTTTCATAGTAAACAGTTTAGTTTGACTAGACTTCTCTCCTATTCACCACTTTGATTATGAAGTTGAAAGTGTAAAAGTGTCAAACAAATATAATCGTTGGTACAATGTTTGTGCCCATGTTATTTGTCCTTTGGGCAAGGAACTATGCTTCATATGAGTGTGGTTCCAAAGTAATTGCTGCTAATTCAGAGGCCGAGGGAACACCAAGGATACTCAATGAAATGATGGATGAATACCTGTTAAATCCTTGTAAGGCTCAAATCTGGTTTATAGTTGAACTGTGTGAATCTATTCAACCGTTAGGCTTTGAACTGGCCAACTATGAGCTTTTCTCGTCCACACCTAAAGATTTTACCGTCTATGGAAGTGAAGTTTATCCCACCCGTGAATGGGTTAACTTGGGGTCATTCACTGCTCATGATGTGAGGACCATTCAAAGATTTGAATTACAGTCACAGTCAAGGTTTTTCAAATATATGAAAGTTGAAATGAAATCTCATTATGGTGCTGAACATTATTGTCCACTCTCAGTTATAAGGTTCTTTGGTACCTCTATGGTCGAGGAGTTTGATGCCATAGAAAATGGGGGAAACGTTGATAAGAACATTCATTTCACTGATGTCGAAAATCTAGCTACTCATGAATCATCATATACGTCATCTCAAAGTCATTCTGCCAATCTTATTGGTACAGCAAGAGAAGCCGTTATGAATATGGTTCGTAAAGCAGCTATGGCTCTGTCAAAATTTCCTTCTCAAGAGGCCGAAAGTTTCAACAAAAGTGATTTTGATAATCTTTCAGAGCAAAGAACATCTGACGTTCTGCAACTGTCCTTGAGCTCTTTTAAATTTATGCCTGTACTGGATAATATATTATTGAGTTGTAATGACTGTGGTGGCTTGATTGAGGTTGCTGGTTCTTCGCCTTTAAATCAAAAGCTTTGTGATTATATTAAAGTGCTTTTAGGCATCAAAACCTATGCTATCCTTTGTGAAGAAATAAGCAAAGAACCTATGCTCCGTTTCAGGTGTCCTCTTTTATCTTATTTTATCAACACAACTCACCCGTTGTCCATTGATATTGGTCCTGATGAGCTTTCTACTGAAATTTTGGTGCCATCTTATTTTTCCACTAAAGAGTCAACTTCTGACTCTTCAACTAACCTCCACGAGGAAGACAACTTTACCCAGGCTCAAGATTCATCAAACCAGCCATTATCTCAAAAGTCTTTTATTGTCGAAACTGTTTTGCCATCATCTGTTATTGAAGGGTCTCTCCTTTCATCCATTACTAGTGTACTAATTGAACCTAATCATAATGAGAGTGAAAATCTTAAACCGAGTGAATTCATCACAGATTTAGTTAATAATACGATGGATACTCCATCCATCGATAACAACACTCAAAATCTTGCTGATCAATCCATTGACTCTAGCTCTTCATCTATCAATTCAAATGGAGATAAAGTTTCTGAAGAGACACCAACTCTTTCTACACCCTCACCGTCCATATCTTCATCCTCATCTCAACCACCAACACCTCAGTCACAACCAGCACAAGCTCAACAACCTGTGCAACCTCAACAAACAGTGACTTCAGGAGCTTCTCAACCTACTGCACCCACTAATACAGCTAATTGGGTTCCTTTGAGTGCGAGTCAAGCGAAGGAATCATCCGTTTTCATTAGAATGAGCAACAAAATTAAAGCTTTAGAGGTCAATTTAAGCTTAAGCAATCAATTTTTAGAAGAGCTTAACCAAAGGTATCGCAAAAATGCTGAAGAAATGCAACAAATTATAAATGAAACTCTGGTCAAATTGAATGAAACTGCTCAATCAGCAGCCGAAAGGGATGAAAAGAATAAAGAAATGTTGAACGACTTACAGTCGCGTCTAATTTTAGCTGAAGATCAAATAGCTCTATTTATCGCCGAAAAAGAAACGTTACACTGGTCTTTTATCGAGATTCATATCATTTTACTAATTATTGAGATTATCATAATGTTTAGTATTATGTCTTTATGTATCAGACGAGCTTCAGCAACTTCATCGTCACCATCTTCTTCAGTGACGTCTCAAAATAATCTAATGGCGGTTCCATCTTCATCAAAAATAGCTGATTCTTCAACATCATCTCTTTCTCCTTCCTCATCAAACTCTCATTTTACATCTTTGCCAGAAAATCAGCATCATTCTAATCCTTCATCCTCGTGTTTGATTACTCGACCTGCATCATCTTCAAATCTTGCCACTTTATCGGCAAATCCAAGTCAAGCATCAACCATCTTCAATTCCAAAGATTTTTCTTCATCACCAAAATTTCACAATACATTTCCACGATCAAGACCAGAAAAGCAACGCCAAAATCTCTGCGATTTAATCCAAAATCATTTTAGTCACAAGTTAGTTAGCTGATAATAATAATCACTCTTTATCCAAGAGAATATATAAAATACCTAGATTTACATTATATATTAAATATCAATCAGTCTTTCTCATTAAGACTTAGCCATTAACAGATCTTATCGAAAACTTGCCAAGGCAAAGAAACTATTGATCTAATCAATCCATTTGAAGAAGTCAAATCAAAACATGGTCATGTGTATAGCAGATCTTGGAACAATTGATTCACAAGAAGTCAATCGAGTTCATTTAGCAATTTGGTTTTCATGCTAAATTGGAGGTCAATCCATTTAATAGGATGACTCAGGTTGAGAATTAAAAAAAAGCAAAATTAACAAATGCAACATTACATTGTAATTGTCATTCTCATTGAATCCTGTCAGTCGTTTTACCATTTTATTAATCTATGATTAATCTGTTTCATATTAGTGACAAATATAATTATTGAAATTGTTATTTCCTCATTAAAGAGCTTTTGTTTTGTTTATTATTTGTCCTTGCCTCATTTCATTGGTATTACAATTTAATAGAAGCTACTCGAATAATCTTGATCATGAATTTATTTGATACAATGATATAAAATGATTAATTGTCATGCCACCAATCAAACTAAAGCTTCTATTGTAGCTTCAAATTGATTACTTTCCCTGTAATGTCACGGTATTATTCAATTTCTTATTCAACCCATCACTGACAATTACAATCATCTACCAATGTAATAGTAATACGTGTAATAACGTAAACGCCATGATCATAACCATGGCGTTTCTCAATCTTTCAGTAACTTCGATAATTTCATTTATATTTTCACATCTTGCGTCAAAAATCATTGATTATAAAGTTGTCTATGGGTCATTGTTTTGACTTTAAACACTCCTAGAAATGGATGACATCTTACATTGCTACCGTGATGTTGATTTACCGAGAATCCCCCTTCTTATGATTATTATAATCAGGGAATTATGTTAATAACAGGATTAATTTCATCAGTTGGGAAATTTCCATGTAAATACATGATAGACAGATGTTGAGTATACAATATATTGATCAAAATATTTGTACAAATAATTAATACCTTCAATGTTTACAAAAACAGAGATCACTTTGATCCCTTTTTACTGTGATTTTCAATAGATTTCAAGATTGTCCAATTCAAATGTGAGGTCTGATTAATAGTTGTATCGAATGTGATTCAGTATTAATTGATAAATCAATACATCATTCAATCATTAAGCAAATATTAATATTGAATATATACGAATATAGTCAGTGGTGATTTAAAAGTTACCACTATGTTGATCAACCCTACATTTGTTTTTATTTGCTGTCAGAGATAATCAATTTCACCTTGTTTGAAAATTAATCAATAAATCCATAATTCAATGTATACCGATTAATTTTGCATCCTTGGATTGATGATTAATCTGTTCTGAGTAATTGATAATTGGAAAACAATTCCTTTGCTATAAGTAACGTCATCTATGATCAGATTAAATTTGAAACTGAAATGCGAGTTGATTTGAATTTTGCCTTAGAATAGATTGATACATGATGCTTGTAATATCAAGAACTAAGAATTAACTCGATAGTTTACAATCAATGTAGTTTGGATGAAAAATTGTAAGAATCAATAGACGGATTGATTACAAGAAATGAATGGACAAAAATAATTTTGATTCAATTGACTTTTTATATTTAAATTCAATTCGAGTCAATGACATACATTGTATCATGTTTACTTTGTTAATCAATTTTAACACCTTTCGGTTTACAACCTTAATTTTCCCTGATTAATCCAACAACGATTTATTATTGCTATCATGCTTACTAAACAAGATGATTGCGATGCAATGTTAACATTAAAAAAGATCCGACAGAAAATGAACAGCAATTTTGGGACAAAAAACTATCGCTTCGGGAAATTTGGATGTAAAATATTGAAAGAAGTGATCAGTTATTTACAAATTAGAAAGTAAATTAGAGATTTCATGCATAGAGAGATCAGTCAATAAATAAGAATGTTTAGAAAAAAATCGATATTAAGAAGACTCGAGAGCTTGATCCAAGTTTACTTTTGTTCATCATGTTAATCGACGGTGACCCGAAGACTTAATTATCAGAGCGATTTTGATTCATTTAGACTTTCCAAAAGCCTTGGATAATTAATGGAATGTTTCCAAGTTGATGATTCATGTGTGGCTCTGGTTCACCATTTACTTCTCGGTTTGATCCACCATAAATAGCTCGGTTGATTACATGGACAGCTCCATTATCGGCCATAACATCACATTTCTTAACAGTGGCCATACCATTAATCACAGGTGACCAGAATTTAACATTTCCGTGAAGATCACGATGAGCATTCAATGTGGAACCATCCATTACTCGGAATCTTTGGAAGTTGAGCAACAATGGAGCCTGTCTTATGGATGAACAGCAGATCATTTCTGGTAAAATGTGTTTCTGGAGAAGACGTTCAACCTTTGAAGGATCAGATGTGAGTTCTGTTAATTCCTTTTCAGTAAATTGTTGATTCAGTGAGGCATCATCGACTGCCAAAACGGTGAATGGACCAGATTCTTCGGTCAACTTTTTCTCAAATGTAGAGTTGCGAATAAGAGCTCTAAACAGATTGAAACCCTCCATTGATTCAAGAGCAGTGATGATATTTTCTTTGGCTGGTTTTATAACAGAGTCCACCATGATAACTGCCCCATTACACACATCTCGATTAAAGTGAACAATACGAGCACATTGGATGGTTGCTCGGCTTATTAGACCGGGAATCTCTTCAATTACGTTAAGACGAAGCTTTTGACCATTGGAAGTTTCAATGATTTTATTGTTGAAAAAGCTTGATTGAGTGATTAAATTTTTGGCCACATAATAGCCAAAATCAGTTGTGCTGTTTTGCTCATTTTCATCAAGCTTTTTATAGGCATTGTTAGTTGGAGCGATGATAGTTATATTGTCCATCGAGTCCCACTCTGAGATTACTCCCGATTCATTGGCAAGCTTCAAGAAATGAGATGTAAATCGATTGGCAAGATTTGCAGAAACTGGTTTAGCATTATCGGGAATCAGTACATCACTGATGGGGTAAACTAAACCATTGGTTCCAAGTAGTTCACTTCCTTCAACGGGTACATCATTGACATACAATTTGTTGTCCTCATTGCGAGTCAAAACAATCCTGTTGTTGGCCTGAGATCGATGCCAATACATGGTTGTAATGGCTGAACTGCAAATAATATTTGGAATAACATGATTTTCAAGAACAACGTTATAACAAGAGCCACCATTTTGTAATCGACTCAAGACGGATGGATCAAGCTTCTGGAAAGCATCATCTGTTGGTGCTAACAAAGTAATTGTCTTATCAGGATCAGCCAATTCATTTGAAAGATTAGATTGTTTGACGACTGCAAAGAGAAATTAAAAGAAACATTAGTAAATTATTTAAGGCGAGAAGCTGTTTAGTGAAACTAAGTCTTGAACACTTACGGCTCATAAAGATTGTGAATCGAGGATCATTCTCAATTAAACTTAAGATTGTTGATGTTGGCTTGGGGATAACGCGTCCAACCAGATGAATAACGGCATTTGAGGCAAAGTTGTTGGGCATTGTGATTGGTGCACAATTGGCAGTAATCATTTTTTCAGGATAATGGTAAACATTAATTCGGATGGTTGATTCATTGTTGACTGTTGATAGAACCATGTTGTTATGGAAGTCACCAGTTTTGTACAATCCGTTAACAATATGATGGCTGACAAGATCGTTTGTATCAGCCTCTTTGGGCTCAACATCCTTAGTATCGTCTCCGGATGCTGGAATTTCATTCTGTAACAATAAAAGAGCAAACATTAGTGAAAATGGATATAAACAAATTTACCAGAAATAAACAATTTCAATCAAATTTAAAGCCATTCTTGGAAAGGTTGAAATCAAATCAACTTACCGATTGTTTATTTTTATCATCTTCATAATCCATCATTTCTTCATCGGTGGGACTGAAAATAGTTACATTTTCTCGACTATCGGCTCGAAGTAAAGGTAATGTTGATCGACTGAAAACTGATTCCATTTTGGCAGCACCGATCTCCTTCAAAGTTGCTGTTATATTTTTCAAGTCAACCTCAACACATTGCCCAGTGGGTTCAATTCGACGAGATCCATGGCAACATTGGTATTTAATGGTCGAGGTTTTGCTTTCTTTAGGACTTCGGATTTTAGTGACACAAGAATAGGCGGTTTCACTTTCCATGCATTGTGTTGATTGTAAGGTAAACGGTATCAGACTAGAAAATCCTTCAGTTTTATTGGCATCATTTGAATCTGGTGTTTCCTCGGCAACTTGTCGTTCAATACATACATTTGGACTAAATCAATTAAAAATACAAATTAGGTTAATTTGGAACTAAATTCATTAAATTACCAGTCAGTCATACAATGAAGTCACCTCCGAACAAAATTTTAAACCAGAAAAAAATGAATGCAACCCAGATGGAAGAAACCAAATCAAGATTGATTAACCATTAAAATTGATTTACAAGCGATTTCTCCATATGAGACAACAGCTAATTAAACTATAGATTGATTATATTCGGCAAGGTAAAAATCTGGTAAAGATTAATTGCTAACCTTTTTAAATTATAACTTGGTAACAAGCAAACTAGTGATTTAGGTTCCTCAATCAGTTTTATCAAGTTTTAGTAAATTAATAGCCTAGTTTATTTGAATTCAACTTTCAATAAAATGATTCAAGTAGCCAGTGATTAAATCAATAAATGTTAATCAAACAATGAAATGGAATTGGAAAATTATTGAGAAATAAAGGTTGAAATGATTGGAAAAACAAACAATTTAAAAGGGAAAAGTGAAAAAGAAACAATTGATTGCTGAAGGTAACCCACACGGATGATTGACTGGAAACAATTAACAATTAAAAATTAGACTTACCCTTTCCACCAGGGTCGTCTAGGAATCAAAATTGAATCGATTCCCTTCCAAATCCATGGATTGGTGATGCCTCTGAAAGGCCAATTGGGTGTTATTGGTTCTCTTGAAGGTTCACCAGTGCCTTTGTCAACCACAACAATTTCAGGATTGAATTCTTGTTCACCAGTTGTTCCTTCAGATGATTCAACAGCAGATGAACCAGAATTGGACAGAGATTCGCCTTCCTTTTCATAAGCCGATCTTCCAGGAATTGTATGCCGTCTATGGATAAGATCATCTCTCATTGAGTTGAACCTAAATTTAATAAAGCCAAAAATAACAAAAAATTAGTAAACATTTCAATCAAAATGGGTTAAATTTTAACACAATCAGCTTAACCCAAAATTGTAAACAATAACTAAATTGCATTTACATACAAACCAATACAAGTCAGTAATACAATGAAAGAAGTCAATTGTAATAGTAAATATTAACCCGAAAATGTTATTTAATGTTAATTTTATTACGTGTTATTTACGTTATTTAACTCGTCTATGTTAACATTATTACTTGGTAACAATTTTTCATGGACAAAAAAGGTTCAATAACAGACTTTGATAATTGAGTTGAAATGACATTTAATGTCGGCTTGTAAAGTGTATTATTTTGTTCACATGAAACCCAGAATTAGCGTGAAAAACAATAATTTGATTACAGTGAAAGAGTTACAAACATTTAACAGTGAATCAATATGAAGAAGCAAAAGTTTCAATAACAATAAGTTAAGGATGGTTCAACACTGAATCACTGAAAGTTGATCATGATGATGATAGGGTTGAAATAAATTCAATTGAATTGCGTGCATTTAACCAAGCAAATCTTAATTTCATAATAATGTTATGATTCTCATGAGATTCAATAACAATAAAGGTTTGTCTCTTTCAAAGCTAACCGACTGAATGGAAACAAAAACAAATGCGAAAAAAAGGGTTAAAACAATCACAAAAAATACTCAGAGATGTACCCAGGTAGGTGACCTTGGCCTTGAAAAAGTAAAGACTTAAAGTGAAACTTAAATTGAAAAGTGAATCCAAGTGATTACACCATTAATTCAGGGTGGAATCAAATAGCAACTCGACAACAGTTTATCAAGTAAACATGATTATAAGGATGATGCTTTTAATGGTCATTATAAGGTTGATTATGATTTAAGGGATTGCCAGACATGGCTTTCAGGTGGGTCAATTGTTCATAAGCTGTTGATTATGATGGGACAAGTGTTCCAATTTTGTCATGATGTGCAAAATGGTTTGTCATATTGTTGATTCAGTGACCCTAACCTGTCCGTGAATCGTTTAGTTGCTATTTATGGCTTTTCAAAATTACTTTAACAGTTTTGTTTTTTGAATTATAATTTTTCAGGTAAGCAGACTGAAATTAATGTCAAGTTGATCGACTAATCATCTTAATCATCTATATTTAAAGCGTATATTTTTGGGTGAATCTAAATATGTTTACATAAAGTGATTGGATTTATTTTTACAGACATTTGCAGTCTATACAAAATCTGGTCATTTTCTGGTTGTCTAATGCTGTTGCCATTGAATTTATATTTTTTAAATCTCTGATCTAACGATCGTAAGTGAATAATTTGATTGTTATGGCAATTTGGTTTCAATGTTTTCTGATTTTGTATGGAAATAAATCGCTATTACAGTTGCTTGGTGTTCATAATTGAGGTGACTTTAAGAAATATCTCAGATGAAACGGATAGTGATTACAAATCAAGCATAACTCAATCAAATTTTTACAGTAGATTGGTTGTGACTGAAAACTGTTCATCCAGAATGATATAACCATTCCTTGATCATCATTCAAATATATTTGAATGCTTGAGATGAGAGCTTACACAAAATGAATTTTAAAAGAGAAACAGAGCAATTTACAATTTACAATAATAGTAATGGTAGAAAGATCACAATTTGATTATTTGTTTGAATAGACGAGTTAATAGATGCATTACCTAGCAACTTCAACGGCTGATCAAGCAAATTTGTATGTCTGACCGAGCTATTGATTAAAGCAAATAGAGTTGCATGAACCAAAATTCAACTTCAAGAGCTATGCTTAAAGTTAATGGATAATGCATTTGTCTCTATGGAATCAGGTCTGGAGAAATCAGAGAAAATTTGAATTTAAGTTGATAATTTGACTGAAAATCATTTGTTTTTAGCTTAATCCTGTGATACGGAAGCGTTGACCTGCTAATTTTCAACCGTTATGCATGAAACTATTTTCTGGAATACACACAAAAACAGTAATTCAATGGGCATTAGTTAAGGATTTACGTTATTAACACAGATGAGGAAGTGACAAGAGCTTGTGCAAAGGTTGAGATCACTTCAGTGACTATTATTGTTGTTTATTTTCTTGCTGAACAAAAGGGTAAATAGTTAAAGTAGTTAGGAACAGGTAATTAGATAAGATTGTAGACACCATAAAAGATGAGTTATGCTAGAAAAAAGCTCAACAAGTAAACCTAACAGACAGTTGAACTTGCTGTTAATTTCATCTCGATATTAACTACAATTAAATTGAGGGTTTAATTTATCCCCTGAAGCTAAGCAGAGACTCGAGAAAAGGAAAAAAATGATGGAATGAGAAAAATCAGGAAAAGATTGAAATGAGAAAAATCTAGAAACATTAAGATGGGTTCACAGCTGATTGTGTAAAATCAAAACAAAAGTTGAAGTTGCTGCTTTTGATTGCAGTCAACTTACTTGAGTTAAGTGATTTGTTGGTTAAAATTAATTGATTTTGATTGACAATTTAAACAAGCAAACTTACCTATCCAATATAGATGACCATCCTCCAAGGAAAGTGTCCAAATTAGCTTCTTGGCTGTCTACTGTCCATGATGAGAAAGACAACACGAGAAGAACCAAGACAGTTGGTGTTAACCTGTTCATTTTTACACCAAAAGACAGATCACTGAATTGAACAATCAATTTGATTATTAATTATCAATACTATTAACCAGAATAAAGAAGACAGATTTTAAGTTTAACTCGATGTCAATAGTGAAACAAGGTAAGCAAGAGCAGAGATGTAGTTAGTTGATCAAGTACGCAATTGTTGTGAGCTCAAGTTTATTTTCCCAAATCTTCACCTAACAACAGCTCGATGCTTTTTATATCACATCTTCCTTTCCCCCAGTCAATATCTTCCAACTAGCGTCCTTTTTTCCCCCAAAAGGTTGGTCTTAATCTTCTTTCTTTTCAAGCCTATTACCTGCTAACTCGTTCATCATCCTTCATCATCGTTCATCATCATGTTATCATCATTCTTATTACCATCGTTTGTTTTCACCTCTTTTCTTCCCTCTTTTTTTCAGCAAATCTTGATCTTCAACAATTTTAAAACTGGTCTATCACTCCATTGATTATTGACATTATGCTAATTATCTTGCCAACTTAATTGTTCCCTTAAACTGTCTATTGATTTAAATATCTTAAAATTCGTTGATAATCTTAATCAGTATTTCAATTGATTAATGGGTCGAGAATGCGCAAGTAAATCTGGTTTGATTGCTTCTAGAAACTTCTGGTTACCACAGGTTTGGGTCATTGTGGTTAAACAGTTTAGATTTGAAAATGATCGTGATCTCCTAAATATTCACCTCAGGCTTAATTACAATTTCACTGTCAAATAATGGCAACAATCAGTTTAACTATTACACTGTTTACCAGTAACTCGCTGTCTTCAATCATGGGCAACAAAGACATTAAGCTAACATTTTAAATCACTGATTCCATCAAAGTTGCTTGATTAGAAAAAAAAATCCTCAATTTTTACCAAAAGAATAGCAAATTCTGGTTTAAATTTACCAGTTATTGAACCAGCATTTGTCTACTCTACCAGATAATCAATGGTCCATTAATCAAGTAACAGGTTTAACTACAAAAACCATTACAAATCAACAATAACCAAACAGTTTATTGTCATCATTGTCTCGTTAATTCTCGATTCATTAATTACCGACAATGTGCTTTCTCTGTGGTTACTCTAACCTGGTTAAAATCTGGTAAAAAGGTTATTCAATCATTGTTAAACTTGTAACCATTTTGAGATTTGATTAGTAGCAATCAGCTGTTGATTTGATTAGCAAACTGTTGATGATTCCAGGAAATTGTAAACGACTTGTTTGTCTATGTACTTTAACGATCAATGTGATTGCAGTTATTTGCAAATTGTCAATGATGTTGCTTGCCAACTAATCGTTGCTAGAGTTTAATTTGGTAAAATTGAAAATGGGAATTACCCTTTTAAATTGAGTTTAATTGTTCAAGTTTCTCAGTGCCATTTGAAAACAATCAACAAATGAAAATTAAAAAACATTCAACATCAATGTTCAAGTTAACTCTTTTAGTATGACAATGTTGGAAAGTTGATTGACTATCAATTGACTTCCTTCCCAACAAACAGTTTGCTAGGAATTCAGATTCATCTCGTTTTCTATGTCAATTGTCTCTATTATCATCAACCATCATGCTACTATTAACTTGATTGTTGGCAAGAGGAAATCATCTATTCATTGATTATCTTGACTTTAAATTGAATCAAAACAAACCTCTCATTAGGCTGGAAACAGCTTTTTGCTGGATAGACATTTTTACTCTTTCTCTGTAATCATCTTAATTGCTTGAACCTGATTTATTTTTCATTCAGATTGACAGATCTTGCAGATGAAAATTGTAAGAGTTACAAGGTAATCAATAGAAGCTTCTAGTAATTAGTAATTACTAACAAGTATTCCTATGATTTAATCGACATTGTTTTCATTTCAACTTTCAATTTGAAATCCGATATTAGATGAAATCAGTGCATTATTCTAGATTATTTAATTTCACGCATTCAATTCTTGATTTTAGATTTGCAGAATATTTAGATTGATAATCAAATGGTATAAACAAATCAATAAATATAAAGGTCACTTGATTGTTTGAGAATCAGATTTAGCGCTCAAAAAGTTAACCGCCGCAAACAGCAGCACCAGTTGAGAGGGAAAAAGAGGGTACAGGCTAAAGAGCCAGAAATTTCTGGCTCTTTAGCCTGCGAAGACTATTTATCCAGAATGTAAACTAATGCCACCTATCGAGCGTAAATGAGAGATATCTCGTCAGACGATATCCGTTAGAAGTTCTAGTTGTTTCAGTCGAAGTTGCTTTAGTGTGAGAGCTCAATTTAATATCTCCATTTGATATCTCAATTTAATATCTCAATTTAATATCTCAGTTTAATATCTCAATTTAAGATCTCGATTCAAGATCTCGATTTAAGATCTCAATTAAAATGAGTTCAAACAGCGAGCTAGTTTTTTATGTTGGTCAACGATTTGAAAGTGCAGCGGAACTTGAGAGTTTCATCGAAGAATATGAGAAAAGTGAGAGTGTACAACTCAACAAGAGAACATCTAAAAAACATACCGATCCCGTAATAAAATATAAAAATTTGGTACTTTGTTGTAAAGCTGGTGGACGTGAGTTCCATACTCGATCTAAAGGGTTGAGACAATCACGGTAAGTAAAACATTAATTTTTTTCTCTTTCTCTTTCTATCTATTCAATTTTTGCTTTTCTTGCAGTACTTTCAAAGCAGATTGTAAATTCAGAATTAACTTGAATTCACCAACTAATCAACAGTATTTGATCGTCACAAGTATGGAAGAACAACACACTTGCATGATTGCTGGCAATCGCGACATTTATGCAAGACTTCCTAGGCAAAGAAGACCTGATCAGGAGGCGATAAAGTTGATTAATGATGTGAAAGCGTGTCGCGGGAACACAAAATCTTTAATTACAAAATTAAAAGACGAATTCGGCAAGTTTATCACAACCAAAGATATCTCTAATATTCTGGCTAAAGAAAGCCTGGCCAATAAAGCAACTGATTTAGAAAAGCTGTTGGACGCTATGAGAGCTATTCGTGAGAGCTCAATTTTTATTGAACATGAATCCAATGTGGTAAACTGCATTTTTTTTCAAGATAGATACATGCGAGATCTCTATTTGAGTTCTCCCGAAATTTTATTTGTAGACGCAACCTACAAGTTAAACCAAAACCGTATGTGTTTAATGGTTTTCATGATCGTCGATGGCAACGGTGAATCGGGAGTAGTTGGGTTAGCATTTTTGAAAAGTGAATCCGAATCTTGTACAATGGCTGCGCTAGAGAGCTTCAAAAAAGCTGTTGGTTCGATGAGCGAAACAGATATCATCATGGCGGATAAGGACATGGGAAACAGGAATGCATTTGAAGAGGTAAGTGAGTTTAATTCAATTGGAATTCAACTTTTAATGGATTTGTTTTTCTATTTATTGGCAGTCACTTCCTCACTGCAAGATTCATATTTGTATCTTTCATGTTATTCAAACGTTTATAAGAGAAATAACCTGTGGAAAGAGAGACATAAGTGCAGAACAACGAGACAAGACGTTGAAAATCTTGAAAAACATGGTTTACAGCAACACAGAAGAAAAATACATGAATCTTTATGACACACTTAGTCAAATGGATATTCCCAAAGTTAAAGAATACTTCGATACAAATTGGCATGCAATCCGGGATCAATGGGCGATGTTTGGTCAAAATACTGTTTCTCACTTCATGAATAGAACAAACAATAGACTTGAACGATTCAACCGAGAGCTTCAAGAAGTAGTTGGAAAGTATAGTGAGATCTCTGTTTCATTTACACACATCATGCAAGTTGTGAGGACTCTTCGAGATATACGCAGCCAGAAAGCTATTGAAGGCATCTTGAAACACAGTGTTGGTGTGTTATGTCCAACATTGAAAAAATACAGTGAACACCTCACAGAGTACGCTTTTAAGAAGCTGCGAATACAGTACGATATTTCATTCGATTTATCCAATTTCAATATGCATGGAAATACCGCTGTTCATACTACAAATGGTAAAACTTATAATGTAACGTTGGATGGTTGTACCTGTTCATTTTTCAACGTCATGAAGTTGCCTTGTCGACATGTATTGAAGCTGCTGAGATCTCTGGATAAAGATGACTTTATTCCAGAGCTGTGTGATCCAAGATGGACAATGGCGAGATTCCGAAATGTCCAGAAAAAATTGTTAGAAGTTGATGATACTGAATCGTTTTTTATTGAAAATAAAAAACGAGATCTCAATTTGAGCTTACGAGATCTCAATTCGAGCTTCCGAGATCTCAATTCGAGCTTCCGAGATCTCAATTCAAGTTCACGAGATCTCAATTTGAGATCACGAGATCTCAATTCGAGATCCTTTTTCTCAAAATTCAGAGAGCTTAAATCTTTTCTGCTTGACATTGTGGATATAGTTGCTGCTCAGCCTGATCCCATTTATGATTATATCTTCAATGAGATGAACTCATTCAAAGCAACTTTGGACCTTAAAATCAAGGAAATAACGAGTGAGATCAACGGTTCGCGAGAGTCCACTACCAACGAAAAGTGTTTCTGTGGAATAGAGAACCCGGATTTGACCATAGATTCATTCATGTGCTTGCATTGTAAAAAAATAACTCACTCTATTTGCCACGGAATTTTGAATGCATACAGTGCTAACTATGATTCTCGTTTTGATCCAGAAACGAATTTTTCTTGTTGGCGCTGTCCAATAACAAAATATTCCGACAAAAATTTGAAGAATATGCTAGCAGATGATTTACGAAAACTGGGATTAACAAGATTGGCTATAAGAAATATGATTGTTAATGGTAATTTTACCATTGAGCCAGCTATTCTTGAGCTTCAAAACAAGTTGGATACTTCTAATATAAAAAGCCTAGTGCAAGGTTTTTTCACCAAGATTGATCTTGTTCAAAATCTAGATCAGATTCAAGTTATTTATGGTGAAGAACGAGATGATTCAGAATCTCAACCTGAGATCTCAAATCCATCTAACCGTGTTTGTGAACCAATACCAGCTAATATCGACCATTGCTACGCTAATCAAGATGTGTCGCAGTTAAGCTTGCCTCCAATTCAAATTAATGTGCGAACAAGGAATTCACAAAAAACTACAAAGAGTGTTACTGTGAAGACGTATAATGAGTTGAATTCTTATAATAAAAAGAAACGTGAGTTCCTATTCATATCTGCGAAGACTAAACAATTTTGCATGATATATCTTGATTTTACCATTTAACTAAATTCTATAACTTTCTCTTCTGTTCACAGGTATGATCTCATGGCTGAAACTCCCAATAAATTGTGAAGCTATTGTCATAGAAAATGTCAAAATTACTTCGGAACATGTAGCTGCTATCGATAATCTATCGCTTCAGAAATTCCGGAATGATTTCATAGATTTGAGCCTGATTGAGCAGTTTTTTGAGACATCTGCCTTCATTGAATTTGTCAATAAAGTCAATTCTCTCAAAAACAAGCGATGGCTTTGTGACTCCTGTCGTAAAACTACTGGGCCAAAGATTGTTTTACAATGCGATGTCTGTTTGGCATGGTACCATCTAAGATGTGTTGGGCTGAAAAGTGTCCCAAAAACACAATTCTACAAGTGCCCTGAATGCAATTGATAATGACTTGTTTTGTATAACATTCACATATTCATCATTCTTAATTACGTTTCGATATTCCTTATTTTGTATTACATTTTGATATTTTATATTACAAATAACTTTCATCGTAAGATCTCATATCAAAATCCCATTTCGAGATTTCATTTTGGGATTTCATTTCGAGATTTCATTTTGGGATTTCATTTCGAGATTTCATTTTGGGGTTTCATTTCGAGATTTCATTTTGAGATCTCATTTCGAGATTTCATTTTGGGGTTTCATTTCGAGATTTCATTTTGAGATCTCATTTCGAGATTGCATTTTATTTTAATTATTAATCATATCCTATTAATGTATTGGTCATAGTATCCTTAATTACAATTAAATTTTCACTTCACTTAACTTCATTTGTTGTCAATTTTTTAATAAAAATGGGTGATAATATTCATACTGATTGGACCTTTGATAGAGTGAGAGAGCTTCAGAGACTGAATGATGAATTAACTGAACAACTGAGTCAAGCTCAATCTAAAATTGAAAAATTAACACAAACAAAACAAGATCTGAAAAATGAATTGAAAGATATTAAAACCCAGATGAAGGAACATTTCAAATATTTTTGTTCAACCTGTGCTTATTTTACCTGCAAGAAAGCTAATTTAGATCGTCATCAAGTTTCGTGCAAAAAAAAAATTCGTTTTACCCGCCATCAATGATGATCTTCAACTGTGGATATTACCCATTACTCTATCCGATCCCATTTCTGGTTCTATAGCTTTCACCGAAAAAGAGAAGACAATTGATTTTATTTTTTGGGTATTTGCAATTTTCATCTAATTTGATCAAATATAGTTAAGAACTGGTTCCTTGTTTAGTCACACATCTTGATCTTTCTCTTATTGTTTCCAGTGAACCCTGGCGATCTCGTTATTTATGTAATAATAATGTATACATCAACCATCATGTTTAAAGATTTGGCCAATTTTACATGGTCAAGTGTTTCCTTTAATAAAGAGAATCACTTCAGTTGATGAGAAATGATTTATGCGTCTGATCAACCTTACCCTGACCACCTAAAGGGTGATTTAGTTTGTTCAATGACTTGTCATCTAGATTTTTTTCAATCATTATTCACTATCATTGAATTGAGCTTGTCTGAATTAACCTCTATCTGTCCTGAATCGTTCAATTGTTAAGCTTCCAATCCGGTCATTTGAAAGCCTCTTTTTTTACCCAGTCTGGCGTATTTTCAACAGTCCTGGAGTTATATCTGTTACATCAAAGACAATGTTCTAGTCTATCAACCGAATTAAGGCTTATTAGACTTAAAGACGCCGATCAAGATCAGTAATTCCTCAACTTATAACAATAAATAGGAAACCATGGTCTACATAGGAGCCATTTTGAGTCTCAAATTACCAAAGCAGTCAATTTAATTCATCTTTACTTTGGATCATTCAGCTCACAATTAGGGCTACTGCAGAGGATAATCTATCCCTAATAATATGGTTTAAATGTTATAAAGGTAATGATAGCTTATAATCTTACATTTTCAGGGTTCAGGAAGCATTTTCTTCCAGAAGCCAAAAAGTCTAATGCTTCGTGTTAGTTTATATTACCTGTTGACCAGGCAAGGGCATCGACCGGACATAAATTTGACTATGTTGATTGTAAGCTATTATCGCTTGAAAACCATCAAATCAACTTTAATGGCAACAACAAACAAAACATCAAATCATTGAGATTAATTTAAAGGCGATCAAGTTGAACAATGCTGAATTGGAATGATGTACTTTCCTAATTGGCTTGCTTCACATTCTGAATCTCAGTTTATTTCATTTGGTTGGATGTTAAGTGTTAGATCCTATTCAATAGTTCATGCAACTATTAACAGTTCCGTTGATTACAGTTTTTGCTACTTCTATTATTAACATGCAATTTGTATTGCCTTAAACATTTGCCCGTTAATTCCTGTGGTTAATGATTCTATTGAGTGTTTAATGATAAATGCTTTACAGGAAGTTGACTGAACATTCAGTTGGCTGAATTTTCTAATGGTAATGAGAATTTTTCATTGATCCTGTTAAGCTGATTTCTGGCTCTGATCATTTGATCATCTTGCTAAATTTTGATGGATATAATTGTTCAAGAAATTGATCTTAATAACAGCCAGTTGAGAACGGTGCTATAAATTGAAGTAATGAGATGATCCATAGATACTATCAGCTTTTTATTGTCTTAATGATTGATTCAATGGATAAACATTTTTTTCATTTTCTGTTGATCAATTGATGAATTTAAAAAATTTGATTGTATTTGTTGCCATCACAACGAGTCTGTCAACCTCTTACTGTCAGTCATCTGATGGTTGAATTGCTTCTCTCTTTTTCATCCTTGGCTCTCCTTACCTTGACATACGCTGAATCTGTTGCTGTTTTTCATTATCACTGTGACTGCTATAATTAGTGTCTGTTTTCAAAAAACACATTATCAGATTCATTGACATTTCAGCTTTAAATTTGGTGTTCTGTGACAGTTTAATCTCAAAGTAATCATCATTCCTTCTCATTATTGGAAATGAGGATGGAGAAGGAAAGAGTGACTCGTTAAAACATGTGTATTGCATGAAATGCTGTAGAAGAATCAAAATTATTGTCTAATTTTAATCTTGTGTCCTGTTAATTATGGCTACAATCAGTGAGCGCTCGATACTTAATGTTAATATTGGTTTACTGGGTCATATTGACTGTGGTAAAACAAGTTTGGCTCGTAGTTTGAGCAGTAAAATGAGTACTGCCTGTTTTGATAAACATCCTCAAAGTCAGGAAAGAGGAATCACATTGGATCTTGGCTTTTCTGCATTTTTCATGCCTCCGTCCGATAGTATGAAGAGGACTTATCCTGCATTGGAACAATTACAGGTTACTTTGGTTGATTGTCCTGGCCATGCTTCACTCATCAAAACAATCATAAGTGGTGCTCAAATTATTGATCTCATGTTATTGGTAATTGATGTCACCAAAGGTCTGCAAACGCAAACAGCTGAATGTCTTGTTATCGGTGAGATAACTTGTAATCAGCTTATTGTTGTCCTCAATAAGATTGACCTTTTACCAGAATCTACTCGTTCTGAAGCTATTGAAAAGGTGGGAAGATGATCTCAATTTGACTTCGAATCCCTAAACATCTTCTTTTCCTTCTAATTGAATTGTCATTTTTATCAGATGACTCGACGAATGACAAAAACGTTGGAAAAGACAAAATTTGCTGAAGCGCAAATAATTCCTGTTAGTGCCACCGAGTCAACTGACAAAGATAGTCGACAAAAATGGGGTATCGAAGATTTAATTGCTGCAATTAGAATGGATATTAAACCATTCGAGAGAGACTCTTCAGGGGCATTTTTGTTTGCTATTGACCATTGCTTCTCCATCAAAGGTCAAGGTACAGTTATGACTGGAACTGTGATTCAAGGCTCAGTAAAAGTCAATGAGGTTTGTCTTATTTTCAGTCTATTCAAATTCAGCTTAATATCACATTGATGAGTGTCATTTCACTAAATTTTAATTTTTTATTTCAGATTATCGAAATTTCCACGCTGAGTTCAAAAAAGAAAGTTAAAAGCATTCAAATGTTCAAAGAACCGATCATGAGCGCTATGCAAGGAGATCGTATTGGAATATGTGTCACTCAATTTGATTCTAAAAACCTGGAAAGAGGAATTGCCGCTTCCCCTGGCTATTTGGAACTATGTTATTGCCTAGTTGTGTCTCTTAAACGCATTCAATATTATAAAGGAACCATCGAAAACAAAGCTAAATTTCACATTACCATATTACATGAGACGGTTTTAGGCAGAATCGAGTTGTTTACGGGTTTGATACCTTTTGATCCAAGCTGTGAATATCTAGCGATAGATTCCTATGAGGAAGGTGATGTCAATAATGAAGCACTAGCCGATAATGTGACCTATGCTTTGATCCATTTAGAGAGACCAGTAATTGCTTCTAAAGGATCTCTGATTATTGGTTCTAAACTTGATACAGCTATCAATGTCAACACTTGTCGATTAGCCTTTCATGGTACTGTTTTGGATAAAGTAACAGATAAAGATTATGTCGATAATTGGTTGCCTTCATTGTCATTGTACAAAATAAAAACCAAGAAAGGAACCATTGAAAGAATACCGGATGAATATGAGGCAATCGCGAATATTTTCAAAAAAGAAACAAACATTGCAACTTTTAAAGGATTCGAAGTAACTTTTAGCACTGGAGAAATTGGCTTTATTGATGGCTCTTTTGGACAAAAAGGCAAAGTGAAAATAAGGATTCCAGATGGGATTAAAGACAAATCGTTGATCAGCAAATCCTCTAAAATCAGTAAATTTGAAAAAGAGATAACAGTTAGTATTTCATTTAAGCGTTATATACACGATAAAGAAAAAAGAGTAATGAAAATATAGAAAGTAAAATTAATTTTATCATATGTCAATATGGGTTAGCCAATAGACTGAAAGATGAGTCACAATGATTATGATGATTTGTTCAAGATGATTTAATTGAATTAAGAATCGGCCATTACGAACTGGAATCCTGAATTAAACATATGCGCACTTTTTAGTATACATTTTCAATGTTGCTTCGAGATGCGCTTTTTGCTGCATTAACTCATGTAGCGTATTCCGTAATTCAACATTACCAAGTTCTAATTCCTCAGTTTCACGAGCCAATTTATTGGTATACTCAATACGTCTCTGTCTACATCGAGCAGCAGCTTGTTTATTTCTTTCCCTGCGAATACGTTTTCTTTCCTCTTCATCAACAGGAGCCTAAATAAGCAACAACATAATATTGTAAAAATAACATGAAAACATTGATACAGAGTAATCACAAGGCAAAGATATGTAAAAGAATAGTTAGAGGCTCAATTGAAATCGGTGAAAGTTGATACTCACTTTATCCCCACATGAACTGTTACTGTTGCTGTTACAGTTTTCTGGATTTATCTTAAGATTTGGTGAGGCATCTCTCGAAAGATCATCACTGTCAAATTGTGAATCATAACCTGTAATGAACGGAGCTACTATTGGAGGCACAAACCCAGCTTGATACTGATGTTCCATTTCTAACTTTGTACAATATTCACTGGTAAAATTAAGCACTGAAATGATAATTTACACAATAAAATAAACACAGGATGAAGTGAATTAAATTAACCAACCTTCTCACGGACACTGTCAATGAGTCATCATCGACAATCATTTCAAAGGTAAAACTGCAAGTAACTCCATCTAACGTTATAATTAAAAACCTCAACCATAACAAAAAATTAAATTTTCCTCAACATCTGGCTGTACATTTTGTATCTTTCAATACTATTATACTGTTAATATAACTTATATTTTTGCTTACACATATTTACAATTAATAAACACTTTTGCTTATCTAATTGCTGATAATTAAGTTATTAATTGATTTGTTTTGTTCACCATTGATTCTGTGTTTCCATCAAATAATATTCACCGGTGAATAAACTTGGATGTTCATTGAATAGTTACATTGACACTTGTTGCTGCTTTTCAATATCTTATCAAATGTAATGTAATGTCGATGAATACAAAGTGACTTGTTTCATGTGTTATGTTAATCATCAATAGATGTTGTTTGTTTCAATATTCAAGTATTAAGATGAATTGAGTTGGTTTGCATCTCGAAGCACCTTCATCTGTATTGTGAAAAGAATGGAAAAATAACTCGGAATTGTTGTAGGCGAATTAATGTTTAATGGTTGATGTACATCAAAATGGTAAAAAAGCAATGAAAAGATGGTATAAACATGATTCAAGTAAGAAAATAAGGTTTTAGGTGTTAAACTGCTGGTTAAGCTCACATAAACCATCTGCGGCGAAATTGATTATACAAGAATATTCGGCTGATGGCAACATCATACAATTTATCGGACAAGAAATCTGGATTTAAAATGTTCCAATAAATGTAGCCAAGCAAGGAAAACATGAGGTTAAATTTAATTTCCTGGAAAAGGTTGTTCTCATTGTCAATGGTTGAATCAAAATCATCTGAGACTGTAGACCATTCTGTTAAATAATATCCAATGAATTCACGTATTTTTGCATCGGAAATGGCTTGAATTTTTGATGGTGAAGTGGTTAAATTGGCTCGAGTAGTAATATAATTGTTTTCTGCAATACTGAGTTCAGAAAAAAAGTTACCCAAATCAAGTCCTCTGAAGCCAATCTGACAATTTTGAAAGTTAATCAACAATAAATCCTCGTGAAGTCTATCTTGTGGAGTCTCACTTGGCACAACTAATACACTGGTTGGATTCAAGTCAAAATGGCCACAAACTTTGCGTTGATCAAGATCGTCCATTTGGTCGTAAATAGTATTAAATTGATTTGAATTGACGAAATCTGCAATTTCATTGATTAACTCAAGTTTACCAGGAGAAACATCTGAGTTTAAATGGTCATCCATTTTCGGTATACATTGAGTCTCGAAGTATTTAAACATCTCGTAATGATCAACCTCTGCAAGTTCAATTTGAAGAGCATGGAATCGGGCAATTTTTATGGCCAATGAACGGAGATAAGGAGTTGATCGAAGTGTATCAACAGTCGTTGTTTGAGCAAATGTAGCAAATCCAGTTGAATATTGATGTTCCATTTCTAACTATGTACAATATTGACCAATTAAGTACTGAAATTAAATTTACACAATAAAATAAACACAGGTTAAAGTAAATTAAACTGACCAACCTTTTCACGGACACTTTTAATGGCAAAGGGTATAACTTATACTCTTTGGTTAATCAACGACAATTATTTCAAAGGTAAAAAGTAACTCCACCTTCTGTTATAATTAGAAACTTGAACCATAACAGAAAATTAAATTTTGTTCAATTACATTTTGTATTGAAATTGCTGTTTTTGCAGGCAATTATGCCAAGACATTGAAAATCTAACAGTTCAACAGTTTTTTACTAAATCTTCCTGACACTAACTTGTTTCCACCATGTTTATCAGTTGATTATTTGTTTCTTGAGCACTAATTACTGTTACATATGTTGTGAATGCGTCAGGACATTAATCCAGTGGCATTATCCTGACACACTTTTGTTTTTTCATTGTAATCATAACTGAGAATAATGTGATTGAACTTTTCTTTTAGAGTTCATTGGTAAATAACTTAATTCAAAGGCAATGATGAGTTAATAAATACGTGAAAATATATCTTTAAGCAATCAACTTACGCGCTGAAGTAGAAACAGTAAACTGATACATTTATTTGATATGAAGTGTTTAATGGGATTCATAAATTTATGGAAACATCAGAACAGATTCACTGATTTTTACTGGTTCCTTAAGTTTCTAAATTTCATCATTATGAATGCCATGAAATACCTTAATAGAATCATGATAAATCTTTTCTTCCAAATATTCCTTTTAAAAACGATACTCAGCTTCACCTTGGCTCTTTTTACTTTTGCATGAAATGGTCGTTGAAATGAAATGTCCCTTCAACAAGATTATCGTTTAGAATATAAATTCTGTTTTTGAACTAATCTAAATCTGGATCTGAATTGATTGTCCAGGCAATGCTTCACTCATCAAAACAATCATAAGTGGTACTCAAATTATTGATCTAATGTTATTGGTAATTGATGTCACCAAAGGTCTGCAAACGCAAACAGCTGAATGTCTTGTTATCGGTGAGATAACTTGTAACCAGCTTATTGTTGTCCTCAATAAGATTGACCTTTTACCAGAATCTACTCGTTCTGAAGCTATAGAAAAGGTGGGAAGATGATCTCAATTTTACTTCGAATTCCTAAAACATCTTCTTTTCCTTCTAATTGAATTGTCATTTTTATCAGATGACTCAACGAATGGCAAAAAAGTTGGAAAAGATTTGCTCAAGCTGAAATAATTCCTGTTAGCGCCACCGAAGAAACTGACAAAGATTATCGAAAAAAATAACATTCGAGATAAATCTAGAGAAAACTCTAGGGAAATTTTTGTTTTATATTGACCATTGCTTCTCCAATAAAGATCAAGGGGCAATTATGACTTGCACTGTGACTCGATAGACAGTAAAAGTCAATGAGGTTTGTCTTATTCTTGGTCTCAATTTAAATTTAACCTATTATTCACTCGATGAGTAATATTTCCCATAATTTTACCTTGAAATTTCTTCGTTAAATACAAAGACACAAACATAGAAACTTTTAGCTCTGGAGAAATATATTTTAATTTTGAGTCGCTTTTACACAAAAAGGCAAATTTAGATTTCAGTTGAGATGGCCTTTGGACAGAAAAACCTCTAAAAAAGAGCTAATTTGAAAAAGAGAAACATTTAGCGTATGTTTCAAACGTTATGTACACGAGAAGAAAAAAGAGTAATGAAAATATGTTTCATCATGTGTCAATCCTGTGTTTGAGCGATAGTTTGAAAGATGAGTCACAATGAGTATGATGATTTTTTCAAGATGATTGCGTTATTGAATTAAGAATCGGCCGATATGAACAGGAATCCTTGATTAAACAAATGCGGAATTTTTATTAAACGTTTCCAACATTGCTTCCATATGTGCCTTTTGTTGCATCAACTCGTGTAGTGTATTCCATAATTCAACATTACCAAGTTGTAATTCCTCAGTTTCCCGAGCCAATTTATTAGTATATTCAATACGTCTTTGTCTACATCGAGCAGCAGCTTGTTTATTTCTTTCCCGGCGGATACGTTTTCTTTCCTCTTCATCAACAGAAGCCTAAATAAGTAACAACATTGTAAAAAACATGAAAACATTGTTACAGATTAATCACAAGGCAAAGGTGATTAGAGGTTTAAAATAATAGAAAGTTGTACTTACGTTCTCTCCAAATGAGTTGTTACTGATGCTGTTATAGTTTTCTGGATTTAAGTTAAGATTTGGTGAGGCATCTCTCGAAAGATCACTGTCAAATTGTGAGTCGTAGCCGGTAATGAACGGAGCTACCATTGGAGGCATAAACCCAGGTTGATATTGATATTCCATGGTAATTTTGTGTTATAGTCACTGGTAAAATTAAACACTGAAATGGTAATTTACACGATAAAACAAACTCAAATGAAGTGCAAAGAGTAATGAGTGAGCACAACAATGAGAGCAATAGATAAGAGAGATAAGGAGTTAAACGAATCAAGAAAAAAGAGAGAGCTAGAAGCACCAAACAGATTGACAAAGAAAGAGACGAGAAAAGGACAAAACAATAAATGTAACAAAATTTTTTGATGAGAAAAAGTTCAAGAAAATTGGAGAAAAAAAAGGATTTTTAGTGGCGCCATCGCGTCTTTTCTCAATTCTTATCACTAAAAGATAGTTAACATTGTACCTCTTGTTAGACTGTTTGATGAAGTTAATTAAAATTAAACTAAATGCTGGTTAATTAAATTATTAAATTAACCCAACCTTCCCACGGACACTGTCAATGAGTCATCATTGACAATCATTTCAAAGGTAAAAAAGCAAGTAACTCCATCTAACGTTGTAATTAACAGCTTTAACCATAACATGACTTAAGTACGAACAGATTCAATTAAAATGACAAAAAAAATAAATTTTCCTCTGGTTTTACATTTAGAATGGTTACAAAGATAATGTCGATCAATACAAAGTGACTTGTTTCATGTAGGTTAACATCAATAGAAGCTGTTTGTATCAATTGTTCAAGTATTTAAGATTTAAAGGTTCATAATTTTAAACCGATTTGCTATTTTGCCCTTTTGCTGAATTGCCTTTGGTGTTTTGTCATTTGCTATTTTGACCCACTACCGGAATCTTTACTTATTTTATTCACAAATCGTTATTGTTTTTCAAATAACTTTAATGAATTTAATTTCTTAGATGCTTAATGAGCTGATTAGAAGGTATGAAAAACAAACAATGTGTTAACCGATCCAGATGAAGAACCAATTTATGTACTGAATATGTTCAAGTCAGGTTTCAAAATAAGACTCTGAAATATTATATGTTTAAAACATATTTTATTGAATTTTTCAATTCATCTAAATTACATCTATTGTATTTTATACAGCATAAGGATTTATAATAGAATCGAGCTTATTTTACAATAAATGCTGTTTAAATTGTTTAATACTGACTTAGGAACAGAAAAAGTTGATGAACTGGGTTATGATTAATGCTAATATAATTTGGACTAACACCATTCGAGTATAAAAATGCATGTATTTGATACAAAGGCAAAAATAACTCGAAAATTGCAGGCACATGGAATACATGGTTGATAAACATTAGGATGGCAAAAAAAAACCAAAGAATAAGATAATGTTTGGATCTAAAACTATCTTTAAACATGGTTCTAAGCAACTAAGAAAATACGGTTCTAGGAAAGTTATTAAATTGCTTGGTAAGAATCAGGAAAACCATCTTTCGGCAAATTGATGATACAAGATTATTCGGTGGGCTGTGACATCGAACAATTTCTTGGACAAAAAATCTGGATTCAAAATGTTCAAATAAATGAAGCCAAGCAAGGAAAACATGAGATTGAATTTAATTTCCTCGAAAAGGTTGTTCTCATTGTCAATAGATGGATCAAAATCACCTGAGATTGAAGACCATTCGGTTAAATAATATCCAATGAATTCGCGTATTTTTGCATCAGAAACTGGTGAAATTTGTGATTCTGAACTGGCTACATTGGTTCGGGCAGCAATATAATTGTTTTCTGCAATACTGAGTTCAACAAAAAATTTACCCAAATCAAGTCCTCTGAAGCCAGTCTGACAATTTTCAAAGTCAATCAGAAGTGTATCCATTGTCGGTCTACCTTGTGGAGTCTCACTTGGTAAAACCAATATATTGGTTGGATTCAAGTCGAAATGGCAACAGACTTTACGTTGGTATAGATTGTCCATTATACCGAAAATAAAATTAAGTTGATCTGAATGGATAAATCTTGCAATCTGAGTGATTAGCGCACGTTCACCAGGAGAAAGATCTGAGTTTAAATGCTCATCCATTTTTGGTATACATTGAGTCTCGAAGTAATTTAACACCTCGTAATGATCAACATCTGGAAGTTCAATTTGAAGTGCATGGAATTGAGCAATTTTCATGGCCAATGAACGGAGATAAGGAGTTGATCGAAGTGTATAAACAGTCGCGAGTGTTGCATTTTCCAGAAACTCATCGATACGACCACCTTCGAAGGTAGCATAAACTTTAGGTGCCCTTCCTATGGACGATAAATGGTCCAAAATACGACACTCTAATTCATCCGAGATGGATCTGTACTGATTACCTTCACCAGTGAATTCACTTCCATAGAAACGAACGATAACTTTGTTTGGAACTTGACTTTTCTTTAATTCGGTGATGACTGATGTTTGATTAGAGATGGTTGTTGTTGTGACTGGTGACAAAAAGTCATCATCATGAAACTCAATCTGTTGACGATTATTCAAACCATCATAAGACATCAACTCACAAATGTAAAGACGATTCGATTGTCCAGTCTTGATTCGACTGCAACGTATTTGGTCAGATGAGGCTCGCTTCCATGAACTTGAGGGTAACAATTGGCGACAAATAGATTTAGCTTTAAGCTTGAAGTCATCTTCAGTTAAACAATTTAAACTCAAAGACATGGTCAAGAGAAAGTAAGGCAACTGTTAAAAGAATGAGAAAAACTAGCAAAAAGTGTGGAAAAGGGTTACAACTCTTTGAATGCAAATGTTGGTATGTAAACACCTTTCAACAGGTAGATCCTTTTTATACAAATTTTTGCCCCAACTTCCCCAACCGTGTTTTTTTCATTCATGCACTGGTTCGATGACGATTTTTTATTAAACCTTATTATCAGTGGAGGTAATATTTTGTTCACAAAGTAGGAAGATTATTTATCTCAAGGCTGCCTGAAGAAGAAGAGAAATGTGTATTAATTTGTTATTCTGCTATTAGTATTATAATTTAAGGTCTTTGCCCTATTCCAAGTTGCCCTTCGAAGCATCTGATAACCTAAAACTCTTTCGATCCAATGTAACAATTTTGTGTTGGAAGGAGGGACGAGAGTAAATTATCATATTTAAGATGAATTGAGTTCGTTCGCATCTACAATAACTATCGAGTAAAAACTTTGCTTATTATGACATGATTCAAAGCCAATATAATGGTTAAAAATAAATGTTTATCAGCTGATTATTTGTTTCTTGAGCACTAATTACTGTTACATATGTTGTAAATGCGTCAGGACATTAATCCAGAGGCATTATCCTGACACACTTTTGTTTTTTCATTGTAATCATAACTGAGAATAATGTGATTGAACTTTTCTTTCAGAGTTCATTGGTAAATAACTTAATTCAAAGGCAATGATGAGTTAATAATTACGTAAAAATATATCTTCAAGCAATCAACTTACCTGATGAAGTGAAGACAGTAAACTGATATGAAGTGTTTAATGGGATTCATAAATTAATGAAAATATTATTACAGATTCACTGATTTTTACTGATCTTTTGAATTTCTAAATCTAATCATGTTTGTCATGAAATACTTTAATACAATCACGAATCTTTTCTTTCAATTATTCCTTTTAAAACAAATAATCATCTTACTTTAGCTCTTTTTACTTTTGCATTGAATTATGCCATTGAACTAATCTAAATCTGAATCTGAATTTTTCGATTGATTGTCCTGGCCATGCTTCACTCATCAAAATAATCATAAGTGGTGCTCTTATTGATCTCATGATGTCACCAAAGGTCTGCAAACGCAAACAGCTTATTGTTGTCCTCAATAAGATTGACCTTTTACCAGAATCTACTCGTTCTGAAGCTATAGAAAAGGTGGGAAGATGATCTCAATTTGACTTCGAATCCCTAAACATCTTCTTTTCCTTCTAATTTAATTGTCATTTTATCGACGAATGACAAAAACTTTGGAAAAGACAAAATTTGCTGAAGCTCAGATAATTCTTGTTAAAGCAACTGAAGCACCTGACAAAGACTGTCGACAAAAATGGTGCATCGAAGATCAAAATAATGATTCGAGATAAACCTAGAAAAACTCTTTAGGGACATTTTTGTTTACTATTGACCATTGCTTCTCCATCAAAGATAAAGGGTCAGTTATTCTCCGTTTGAATTCAGCTCTATTATTCACTCGATGAGTATTATTTCACATAATTTTGCTTTGATTGTTGAAATTTCTTCGTTAGATACAATGACACAAACACAGAAGCTTTTACCACTGGAAAAATTGATTTTAATAGAGTCTCTTTTGGTCAGAAAGGCAAAATTTAGATTCCAGTTGGGTTTAAAGACAAATCTTTGATCAGCAAAATCTCTAAAAAAGAGTAAATTTGATAAAGAGAAACATTTAGCGTTTCTTTCAAACGTTATATACAAGACAAAGAAAAAAGAGTAATGAAAATATGTTTCATCATGTGTCAATACTGTGTTAGCCATTGTCTGAAAGATGAGTCACAAGGGTAATGAGGGTTTATAATGTTGTAAAAATCGGTCAATAAGAACTGGAATCCTCGGTTAAACAAATGCACATCTTTTAGTAACTACTTGTAGAGATTCTTCTAGCTCTGCTTTTAGCTGCATTAATTCATGAAGGGTATTTCTGAGTTGCATATTTCCAAGCGCCATTTCTTCAGTTTCTTGAGCCAATCTATTCGTATATTCAATACGTCTTTGTCTACATCTAGCAGCAGCTTGTTTATTCCTTTCCCTTCGGATTCGTTTTCTTTCTTCCTCATCACCACCAGCCTAAATAAAAACAGAAAGTATTGTGAATTATGAGATGATTTGAAAAGATAAGAGTATTGCAAATGTCATATGAAAATCAGGTGAATCAGAAAATTTAATTCAACTTCACAAACGTCTACTTACCACCTCTTCATTTAAGCCATTATTGTTGTTATAATTTTGTGGATTCATCTCAAAACTTGGCAAGGCATCTCTCGAAAGATCATCACTATCAAATTGTGAATCATAATTGTAATTTGTCACAAACGGTGATACTGTAGGAGGCACAAATCCAGCTTGATATTGATATTGGTATTCCATTTTGTTCGATGTTACTTTAAAAAAAAATAGACAAAGATATATTTTTTGACACTTATTCAGATAATTTTCACACTAAAATAAACACAAGTGAAAAATTAACTTAAATTAAGCAACTTTCTTATCGACGCTACCAATGAGTCATACATTCCAAAAGAAAACAGCTCCATCTGCCGGTGTAATCAACAACTACTAACCCTAAATTTGTATGTTAATTTTTTGATTCAGCTGCAGTCAATTCAAAACAATTTATTTTAACTAAATTTGTGACTTTTATAACCTTCAAAAGCCCTGTAAATCATTATGTTAGTTGAACTTCTCCCCATCTGTATTTAAAACAAAATAAGGAATTGCTGTTCATAATCTGGTCTTTTGTCAAGTTCTGTGTCTAGCTTCAAAGCTTTGTGATTGAAATATTTTCTGTTCTGATAATTTTCTGGTAACATTTTGAATCTTTTAAACTAATTAGTGAATGACTATATAGACCTGATCTTGTCGGCGGTACAATTCACTAAACGAGATTTATACAATGTATTTCATTTGAAATATATATCTAATTTATAAACCAATTATAGCCATAGAAGTAAGAAGTTTATTGATGTTAACCGAAAAAAAATGTGTATAGTAATATTTTTGACTTCCAGTGTATTTCAATCCTTGTTAAAATAAATCACTGGAAATTCATATCTTCAATCAATTTTTGATTTCTGTTCTTTTTTAAATATTTTAATGTACATAATACATGAAATAACGTTTTCACAATTCCTATTGTGCTATCTTTTCATAAGCATTGCTATAAACCTTTCCTAATCTGGGTCTTGATGCCCAGGTCTTCATAACTGGCAGACCCTTGATGTCCTCAAGGGAGAGCATGTATTGGTTATGACTTATGTGTAAGCATAAGTAACAATGAAGCAAACTGGCTAAATATATTATTGGATTATGATGACTTCAGTAATTGTAAAAGATTCAGATCCAGTGATAATGAATAAATTGATACATTGTAATAAAACATGATGGATAAATGAGTGATAATAGGCAATAACTAAAGCTGTTATTCATTAACACAATCTTTGTAGTTACACATTATGAAGAAACAGAAGATGAAATCCAATTTAATTATGTGCTTCTATCTCATTGAATGACTTTATTTAACAATGCTTATTGGAAATTGTTTCATTGAATATTATCTTCAAATCATTCTTCAACGAAATCAAATGTTTAGGTGTTTAATGAGCTGAGTGGAAGGCATGAAAAAAGACCGTAATATTATGTTTGGAACATTATATTTTATTGAATTTTTCAAGTCATCTAAATGAATCTAATGTATTTTATACAGCATAAGGATTCATAATAGAGTTGAGTTCATTTTACAATAAATGCTGTTTAAATTGTTTAATACTGACTTCAAGTAGGAACAAAAAGTGTTGATGAACTGGGTTATGATTAATGCTAATACATTATATGTATAATTTGAACTAACACCATTTCAGTATTCAAATGCATGTATTTGATACAAAGGCAAAATAACTCGAAAATCGTTTTAGCAAATAAAAAATGGTTGATTAACATTAGCCTGGCAAAAAACCGAAAAATAAGATGATCTTTGGATCTAAAACTATCTATAAACATGATTCTAAGCAAATAAAAAATACGGTTTTAGGAAAGTTATTAAATTGCTTGGTAAGAATCAGGAAAACCATCTTTTGGCAAATTGTTGGTACAAGATTATTCGGCTGGCTGTGACATTGAACAATTTCTTGGACAAGAAATCTGGATTTGAAACGTTCCAATAAATGATCCCAAGCAGGGCAAGCATGAGATTGAATTTAATTTCCTTGAAAAGGTTGTTCTCATTGTCAATAGATGGATCAAAATCATCTGAAATTGAAGACCATTCGGTTAAATAATATCTAATGAATTCGCGTATTTTTGCATCAGAAACGGGTGAAATTTGTGATGATGAACTGGTTCCATTGGCTCGAGCAGCAATATAATTATTTTCTGTGAAACTGAGTTCAGAGAAAAATTTACCCAAATCAAGTCCTCTGAAGCTAGTCTGACAATTTTCAAAGTCAATCAAAAGTGTATCCATTGTTGGTCTACCTTGTGGAGTCTCACTTGGTAAAACCAATATATTGGTTGGATTCAAGTCGAAATGGCCACAGACTTTACGTTGATCAATATTATCCATTTTACCGAAAATGAAATTAAGTTGATCTGAATTGACAAAGTTTCGAATCTCAGTGATTAGTTCACGCTCTCCAGGAGAAAGATCTGAGTTCAAATGCTCATCTACTTTTGGTATACATTGAGTCCCGAAGTACTTAATAATCTCGTAATAATCACCCTCTGGAAGTTCAATTTGAAGTGCATGGAATTGAGCAATTTGCATGGCCAATGAACGGAGATAAGGAGTCGATCGAAGTGTATCAACAGTCGCGAGTGTTGCATTTTCCAGAAATTCATCGATACGACCACCTTCGAATGTAGCATAAACTTTAGGTGCCCTTCCTATGGACGATAAATGATCCAAAATACGACACTCTAATTCATCCGAGATAGATCTGTACTGATTACCTTCACCAGTGAATTCACTTCCATAGAAACGAACGATAACTTTATTTTGAACTTGACTTTTCTTTAATTCGGTGATGAGTGAAGATTGATTAGAGATGCTTGTAGTTGTCGTTGTGACTGGTGACAAAAGGCCATCATCATGATACTCAATCTGTTGACGATTATTCACACCATCATAAGACATCAACTCGCAAATGTAGAGACGATTCGATTTTCCAGTCTTGATTCGACTGCAACGTATTTGGTCAGCTGAGGCTCGCTTCCATGAACTTGAGGGTAACAATTGGCGACAAATAGATTTAGCTTTAAGCTTGAAGTCATCTTCAGTTAAACAATTTAGACTCAAAGACATGGTCAAGAGAAAGTAAGGCAACTGCTAAAAGAATGAGAAAAACTAGCAAAAAGTGTGGAAAAGGGTTACAACTCTTTGAATGCAAATGTTGGTATGTAAACACCTTTCATCAGGTAGATCCTTTTCATACAAATTTTTGCCCCAACTTCTCTAATACTTAACAACCGTGTTTTTGATTCATTCACTGGTTCGATGACGTTTTTTTATTAAACCTTATTATCAGTGGAGGTAATATTTTGTTCACAAAGTATGAAGATGATTTATCTCAAGGCTGCCTGATTATTGAAACACAAAGAGTAAGAAGAAGAAGAAGAAGGAGATAAGGTAAGAAGAAAAATGTGTATTAATTTGTTATTCTGTTATTCGAATTATAATTTCAGGTCTTTGCCCTATTCCAAGTTGCCCTTCGAAGCATCTGATAACCTAAAACTCTTTCGATCCAATGTAACAATTTTGTGTCGGAAGGAGGGACGAGATTAAGAAGGAGGAGAAATATCAAGATGATGAAGAAGAACTGGAAAAGATGAGGATGTTTTTTGATACTGGATGAAAAGAGAAAGTAAAATAATCAGATTTTATTGTATCCTATGCAACCTCTAAACAGATATAAATCACACGATTTCACTGATTAATCAGTCTTATCATTTTAACCTGAATGCTATTGAGAAATACTCTATTCCGATTTGAATTGAAATCATTTCTTGATTCAATTTACTTTCCATTTCACTATTGAAATCATTATTTTCAATTTTAACCCAAAATTTGACCAAAAATGGGTTTCAATGAAAGTGAAACTCATTTTAAAATATCTTGCCATTCATTTACCACTAAATCTAGGTCATTAACTTTACATATCTACTTACATATATTGATAATTAATATACACTTTTGCTTATCTAATGACGATAATTAAGTTATTAAGTGATTTGTTTTTTTCGCTTTTAATTGTAGATACAATTCTGTGTGTTCAATCGAATCTGAATCCTGGTGAATAAACTTGAATGTTCATTGAAGTATCACATTTGAATAGTTACATTGACACTTGTAGTTGGTTATCAAAGATAATGTCGATGAATACAAAGTGACTTGTTTCTTGTGTTATGTTAATCATCAATAGAAGCTGTTTGTTTCAATTATTCAAGTATTCAAGATGAATAGAGTTCGTTTGCATCTCGAATCACCTTGCATTTATCTGAAATATTTCACTCGAAAGGTTCATGCAACTGTTCAACATCTTGAGATGGTGAAGGTTGAAATTTCTGTTTTTATCTCTAATTATTGGCGGCCTTTTCGATTCATCGTCAGTTTTCTTGATTTTGTCAAATAGCTTTTAACAGCAACATGCCAAGAATGATAGCACTTACAATCACAATTCTCGGACTAATTTTCATTTTCATTCCCTATTCTACTAAATCAGGGGACTAAGTTTATGTTCGTTGATATCTTTTCTGCTATTTAGATGAATAGGTTACTTTGTGCTCTTAGAACTGTTTGGATGCAGACTCACTCCGATCCTCTTCACCAACAAATATCCTTGTAAACATCACAAGATTGTTGAAAAGAGTTAACTTCATAAATAAAGCATTTACCTGAAAGCACATGTAATACAATGGTAAAACTTGTTTTTGTATAAACTTGAATAACCTCATATTTTGGCGTATTTCAGTAAATAGTAAACATTAAAATTTTTTATTATTCAATATCTCAAGGTTAACTATTGAGAGGCAATAAAGAGTAAGAAGATAAGGTAAGAAGATGAATGTTTAGCAATCCTGAGATTCTGTTATTTTTATTTTGTAACTTGAGGTCTTTGCCCTTCAACACATCTGATCACCTAGAACCCTTTCAATCTTTTGTAAAAATTTGTGTCAAAAGGTCATGATCAGTAACAATATAACTGGAAAGGGTTAAAAATGATGATTTATGTTAGAAAAGTTTGAAAAGATATTGAGAATCCAACACCTGAACTAGACATTACTTAACATTTGAATAAATATTTCCATTTTGATCAGCATCAACTTTTTCCACCATGTCCTTTACATTGCTGATTACTATACAAGGAGCATAATTTCTGATCATTAAGAGTTGCGCTCCGAAAATGTTGTATAATTTGATGGAAAGTCTTCGCATTTCATGAAGCAAAAAACAGACTAAAAATAAATGTTTATCAGTTGATTATTTGTTTCTTGAGCACTAATTACTGGTGCATATGTTGTAAATGCGTCAGGGCATTAATCCAGTGACATTATCCTGACACACTTTTGTTTTTTCATTGTAATCATAACTGAGAATAATGTGATTGAACTTTTCTTTCAGAGTTCATTGGTAAATAACTTAATTCAAAGACAATGATGAGTTAATAATTACGTAAAAATATATCTTCAAGCAATCAACTTACCTGATGAAGTGAAGACAGTAAGATGATACATTTATTTGATGAAAAATTTAAGTTAATTAGTGATTTTGATAGTGGTATGTCTCGTTTAGACCTGTCAAAAAAGTATAGAGTTGATAGAACAACAGTATTTCCGATAATTAACAAGCGGGAGGAAACTCAAAAGGTAATATGTCAAAAAATGTTTGTCTATTTTTTTTACTAATTTGACCTTTTTCTTCAACAGAACTCAATTTTTTCAAAGATGATTTTGATGAAAAAATTTCAGAGTTTATGTCGAAAAGTTTGTCAAGGTATGCGTGTGAATACTTGCTTAATTAGGCAATATGCAAGTAATTCAGCGGACGAGACAAGCAAAGATTTTAAGTGTTCGAATGGATGATAGAAAATTTCAAAAGCTTTATGATATAAATATGGAAAATTGAGCGGTGAATCAAATGCTGTGGATATGAAAATTGTGAAAATTATCGAATTAATGTTGTTCCGAAATTGATTGCAACCGATAAACAACTAATTCACAATCGCGATGAAACATCATTTTCTTATAAAGTAAGTAATGTAAGTACTATTCTTATTATGTAAGTGCTATCCAAGTAATGCATATTTGCAGCATCAAGAGACATAATTTGAGATTCCTCAAAGGCAGAATAACAATATTACTTACTATTGTTAGTGTCAATTTGCTTTGAAATAAGTTGGAACCATTTTTCATCAAAAATCTGCAAATCCTAAACGTTTTAGTGAGCAAAATGGAAACAATTTACTCTCAGAAATTGAGTATTCTTCGAATAGTAATACATGGATGACAAAAGAATTATTTCATAGGTGGCTAACAAAATGGCATGCAAATTTGGAAACCAAAACAAATAATTTTTGTCATGGATAATTTTTCAACTCCTAAATTGGATCAAGATGACTTTCCATTAATCAAATTTCCTTTTACACCTCCGAACACAACATCTCAACTTTTGGATCAAATACTGGATCAGGATCATCATCAGCAGCTTCAAGTTCAGCAGCAGCAGCATCAGCAGCATCAGCTTCAGATTCATCATCAGGACCAACAAAAACAGCAACAACAACATCAACCAGTAACTCACCTAACTCAGCATCATCAGGATCAGGTTCGGGATCATCAGCAGCAGGAATCATCAATTGTTTAAAGAAGCGATATCTGACCCGATATTCAATTGAATATCATCTAAAATTACTACAACACGAACTGCGCACTAGAGAAGTAAGCAATAATGTCTAATGTCTAATAATTTTCGGTCCTCTGCCATATAAACCTAAAAAATAGTATACGATCATACCACTTGGGATACTTAGTACGAGTCATTAAACCCATATTCGTTAACTTAAATGTACCACAGACAAGCATTTGAAAATTACAGATGACTCCATCTCCCTTCACAATTAACAGTTATTGGCCAACAACTTTTACGAGATTTACTGATCGGGATTATTCTGATAACAAAATCGGCATTTCCTATTCCGCCTTATACATTGTACATTAAATAAGTCTATAAAACTAGGAAAAAAATTCGATGCTTGAATCTGAATTGAATTTGAAGAGTCGACATAAATTTATTATGATTAAAGAAAATTGCGAACATTTCGTTTGCATAAGGTAGTGCAACCAAAAATTGACACATTCATATTTAACAGTTCAAATGAAATTTTAGACAGAATGTCTAGACATAAAGGCACCATTTTTTCAGGTATCGAGTCGGCAACCTAACACAAGCTAAATATGAAATTTGAAGTCAATCGGTCAAACATGGGTCAACTATGTCTTCATTAAGTGAACTATCAAGAGAACAAAATGAAGCAAAAATTGAAGACCAAACAGCTAGTTGGAAAAAATCCCATAGAAAATAATGTTAAATATCAAAACTTGAAAAATTTGACGTAGATCGCTTTCTTTGATTTTTTTCATGAAATAGAATGAACATAGCAACAAAAGCTAGTTATTGTATATTATTAGGACTTAATCAATGAAAATTAAAAAAAAATAATTCTCTAACTAATCTGATTGTTGAATAATTAGCAAAACAATTTATGTGTCAATTTCTAGTTGCACTACCTTAGTAATGAAGTTTTTTCATTATTGATGATTTATTGACCGCAAAATCAATGTTGTCATTACTATTGTAAACATTGAAATTACGCGTGTGTGTACAATTTCTTGTCAAGTTGACTCTGAAGTAAGTAATTAGACATTGGATTTCAATTTGATTTAGTGATAAAAAAATTCGTTGGCCACATTGTAATGATTGTAGTAATAGCAAAACAAATATTCAGAAAATATATTAAATATTTTATTTTATCGTTTCAATTTTTCATGTATTTACAAGCATATGAAGGCATGATAAAGTTGGACTTAATTTACAATTTTATGCAATTTACATATTTTAATACTGACTTCTTCAAAGAGAGTGAAAAAGTATTGATGAACTCGATTATGCATAATACTAATTTGATGAATACCATTTGGATTCATTGTAAAAATGCAAAAATAACTAGAGAATTGTGAATAAAATACAAGAATAAGGAAAATCAGAAAATAAGATTATCTTTGGATGCTAGACTATCAATACACATGTTTCTAAACAATTCAGCAAATTAGGTGCGTTGAATTGCTTGGTAAGGATCAGGAAAACCATCTTTTGGCAAATTGTTTATACAAGATTATTCGGCTGGCTGTGACATTGAACAATTTCTTGGACAAAAAATCTGGATTTGAAATGTTCCAATAAATGAACCCAAGCAAGGAAAGCATGAGATTGAATTTGATTTCCTGGAAAAGGTTGATCTCATTGTCAATAGATGAATCAAAATCATCTGAGATTGTGGACCATTCTGTTAAATAATATCTAATGAATTCGCGTATTTTTGCATCAGAAACGGGTGTAATTTGTGATGCTGAACTGGTTCCATTGGCTCGAGCAGCAATATAATTGTTTTCTGTAACACTGAGTTCAGAAAAAAATTTACCCAAATCAAGTCCTCTGAAGCCAGTCTGACAATTTTCAAAGTCAATCAAAAGTGTATCCATTGTTGGTCTACCTTCTGGAGTCTCACTTGGCAAAACTAATATATTGGTTGGATTCAAGTCGAAATGGCCACAGACTTTACGTTGATCAAGATTGTCCATTTTACCGAAAATAAAATTAAGTTGATCTGAATTGACAAAGTTTCGAATCTCAGTGATAAGTTCACGTTCACCAGGAGAAAGATTTGAGTTTAAATGCCCATCTACTTCTGGTATACATTGAGTCTCGAAGTAATTTAACACCTCGTAATGATCAACATCTGGAAGTTCAATTTGAAGTGCATGGAATTGAGCAATTTTATTTGCCAATGAACGGAGATAAGGAGTTGATCGAAGTGTATCAACAGTCGCGAGTGTTGCATTTTCCAGAAATTCATCGATACGACCACCTTCGAATGTAGCATAAACTTTAGGTGCCCTTCCTTTGGACGATAAATGATCCAAAATACGACACTCTAATTCATCCGAGATGGATCTGTACTTATTACCTTCACCAGTGAATTCACTTCCATAGAAACGAACGATAACTTTATTTTGAACTTGACTTTTCTTTAATTCGGTGATGAGTGAAGATTGATTAGAGATGCTTGTAGTTGTCGTTGTGACTGGTGACAAAAGGCCATCATCATGAAACTCAATCTGTTGACGATTATTCACACCATCATAAGACATCAACTCACAAATGTAAAGACGATTCGATTGTCCAGTTTTAATTCGACTGCAACGTATTTGGTCAACTGAGGCTCGCTTCCATGAACTTGAGGGTAACAATTGGCGACAAATAGATTTAGCTTTAAGCTTGAAGTCATCTTCAGTTAAACAATTTAAACTCAAAGACATGGTCAAGAGAAAGTAATGCAACTGTTAAAAGAATGAGAAAAACTAGAAAAAAAAGTGTGGAAAAGGGTTACAACTCTTCAAATACAAATACCAATATGCGCACACCTTTAGTAGGTTGATCCTTATATACAAATTTTTCTGTCAACTCCTTCAATACTTGACAATTGTGTTTTCATTTTCTTATTTATTCAGTGGTTCGATAACGATTATTATAAAAAAATTACTTGATTCTTTTCTCTGTAATTCTCTGTAATTTTTATTAAACCTTGTTATATCCATATTATTATTATAATCATTATCGGTGGAGGTAATATGTTCACAAAGTATGAAGATTTATCCCAAGGTTGCCTGATTATTGAGAGACACAAAAGTGAGAAGAAGATAAGGAAAGAAGAAAAAAGTGAAGCAATTCTGAGATTCTGTTATTTTATATGGCAATTCCAGGTCTTTGCCCTTCAATGTATCTGATAACCTAGAACTCTTTCAATCTTTTGTAACAATTTATGTCAAAAGGGGGGCAAAGACGGTAGAAGCAGAAATATTAAGATGAAACTGGAAAAGATGAAGATGTTTTTTGATACTGGAAAGAGAAAGTAAAATAATCAGATTTAATTGTATCCTATTCAACCTCTAAACAGATATAAATCACACGATTTCACTGATTAATCAGTCTTATCATATTAACCTGAATGCTATTGAGAAATACTCTATTCCGATTTGAATTGGAATCATTTCTGATTCAATTTACTTTCCATTTCCCTATTAAAATCATTATTTTCAATTTTAACCCAAAATTTGACCAAAAATGGGTTTCAATGAAAGTGAAACTCATTTTACAATATCTTGTCATTCATTTACCACTAAATCTAGGTCATTAACTTTACATATCTACTTACATATATTGATAATTAATATACACTTTTGCTTATCTAATGACGATAATTAAGTTATTAAGTGATTTGTTTTTTTCGCTTTTAATTGTAGATACAATTCTGTGTGTTTCAATCGAATCTGAATCCTGGTGAATAAACTTGAATGTTCATTGAAGTATCACATTTGAATAGTTACATTGACACTTGTAGTTGGTTATTAAAGATAATGTCGATGAATACAAAGTGACTTGTTTCTTGTGTTATGTTAATCATCAATAGCTAGTGTTGTTTGTTTCAATTATTCAAGTATTCAAGATAAATTGAGTTCGTTTGCATCTCGACTCACCTTGCATTTATCTGAAATATTTCACTCGAAAGGTTCATGCAACTGTTCAACATCTTGAGATTGTGAAGGTTGAAATTTCTGTTTTTTTTAGTAATTAAGAAAAATTTGTGTTGTGTTGAAGGCTTTGTGTCAAAAAGGTATTAACGATACTTTAGCCAATTGTGAAGCTGGATGTTTAGTAAAATAATGGAAAGGAAGAGAAAAGGTGAAAAAAGGAAAAATATTTAACGAACATTCTTTTCCTTTGTAAAATGTTTGAAAGATGGTCAGTTGTAACCATTAGAGATAAGGTTTAAAGTAAAGGTCAAGGAAAAGGAAAAGGTTTAAGAAGGTCAAAGAAGAGAGAGTTACTGACCAAACGTAGTGCCCTCCATTGATGGGTCATTGTGGTGTGTCATTGACCCTAAACTTGAATATGGCCTTTGGGTTAGTTTTGTATGAATGAAGCAGACTGGCGACTTCCGATGGACAACAACAAGAGAAATTGTTGTTCACTAGATTTTAAGATAAATTTCGGTTCCTTTTTTACTCTACATTTTTCCATCAAATTTCAAGCTCAAAAGCCTTTTCTTTAAAATTTTGTTTACCTCAATCTTTACCTGCATTTTGTTTCCAATCAAAAATCTTTTTTTTTGTATTTTTACTCGGCATTCTTAATTGTAGGTTGAGAGTTGAAACCTTTGTGAAACCAAAACACAAATATGCAACATAGAGCTTTACAAGTTGTTTGACCTGTCAAGTGACCAGTAGAGATGAAAGAGATTTGAAAAGAATTAAAAATGATAAGATGTCAACATGAGTTATTACAGTGCTGGTGATCGCGATACCAGAAGCGAGGCGGAGGCCAATGCAAAGAGAAACCGAAAGAGTTTATTGTAAAGTATTGGTGGGTCATATGTCATTGACCTTTTGTGTCCTAAAATGAATTTAAGATAAACTGTTAATTTTTGAAAAATAAAGACTAAAGACTTTACTTGCAATATTATAAAAATAACTGCTTATCATGAGCAACTAATCATTACAGGTGTTGTAATCAGGACATTAATCCAGTGACATTATCTCGACACACTTATTTTTTGATAGTAATCATAACTGAGAATAAATCTGAATGAACTTTTCTTTCACAGTTCAATGGTAAATGACTTCATCCAAAGACAATGTTGAGTTGATAATTGTGTATAAACACATCATTGAATGATTAAATGATTTTCCCATCAGTTGAATGGAGCCGGCAAAATTGTAGACTAAATTATGATTCATTTTTCTTCATAACCAACAAACAAAAAATACAAAAAAAAGATCGTCCGGGAAAATATTACGGGTGACAAAAATACCAATGTGATGTAGCAAAATGATTAAATTGATTGACATAGAGTGCTTGATGGGATATGATGAACAATTGATGAAAACATGATTAGTTTTCTCTTTCTCTTTTTTTTCTAAAAAAAGAAGATATTAAGAGCAAATTGAATCACCAATCAATTGAAGGCTGGGAATTTAAATTTTTGCTCTGGTGAAAAAAATCCATCAATGTTAACAGGTCATGGTTAATCCTCATTTCGCTCAGTATAAAGGGTATTAAGGTTAAAATAAATATATAAAGGTTGTAAGAGCCTATGGTAAATATATAAATATTGTAAAAAGTTGTGATAGAAAAAAGAAACACTCAATGACAAAGATGAAAGGAAATACGAAAAAAAGGTAACATAATTTTGGTCATGCAAGGGATATTTGGTGTTACATTTATTACTAAGGTTGATTATGTTCCTTAATAACCAGGTAATATCATGTACACTTGAAACCTCTGAAGTTGACCATTCTTGGTTTAATTTCTCTATACAACGAACAGCTTGGCTTCATTACTCTCAATTTCTGTCCAATATTCAAAAAAATACTCAATTTATGATGAAAAAATCAATCTCTGGAGTTTTCTGATTACGAACAGAAATTAAATTAAGTTCGTTATGATTAATTAAACTGGAATGAAATTTAATTAGTCAAAAAACTATCCCGGTTAAAAGTAAATGGACAACTTCAGAGGTGGACAATTTTGTGGTTTAAGTATATTTAGCAGCTAAGATTGTTTGGTGACAAGAGGTGAGATTGTGCCTTTCATGGATTCCATTTTGAAACGCTTTGCAAATCGGAATGACATTGTTTTCGATTTACACCGAGATGAGGCGGAAAAAAATTTCTCAGAATAACGTAAGTCCACGCTTGGCGGGCTGCCTCTTTTTAGTACAGTGTCTCTTGAACTTTGGCCACTTTCATAAAGCCTCTTTGCAAGAAGATTTATGAAATTATCACAAGTTTTGGTCTGACCTTGGTTTTCGTCTTCGACCCAAAAAGGTAAATATCTGAATGCACCTGAATCTTCTTTGTCAACACTGTCTTGAGGTCGTAATATTAATATGAAGAGACTCTCATAACCTATTTGAATAAAATAGAAGAATGATTAGTTAACTGTTAGTTGCAATAGAAGAGTAAATGTTATCTTTTACAAAATTCAATAACATCATTCTTCAAAAATATAGATGAGTCACTGGATTTTACCTGGACATGTTTTAAAGCTTTCTATTGCTTTAATGGCACTGTATTCAACCTTTCCAATGTGTCTGAATGGTTTACGAAGATCGTCTCTTGATCCCGAATATGAACCTGATCGCTGTACACTTGATCTACCAGCGAGCGATGATCGTGAAAATGATGGAGAGCGTTTAACCGATCTTCTTTTACATATCTGTCAATCAGAGTAAAGGAAAAAATGAGTTAGAAATTGTTGAATTATTGAATAAATTATTTATATTTATAAAATTATATCTATTTCTCACCTCTAAAACGTCATTTAATAAGAATAAAGTTAGAAGCATACTGGAACAAGGCACTAATTTACCATCGATGAGTCGTAATTTACGAGCATTCACTTGTCCATTTATTCTATTTGTAGCGGAAATCAATTCAAGAGGCAAATCTTTGATTTTACTCAATTCGGCGAACTGTGCAAGATGACTTTCAGTGGTTCTTTTCTTTTCATTGATGGCTTGTAGAGTTTTATCCATTTCTTCAAGAGCTAAGGAAAGCTGTTCGGAGTCGGGTGAAGATTCTTTAAGATCATCCATAAGTCTTTGAAGCAAATTGCGAACGTGGAAAAGTCTTTGGAATGGACGTGACAACAAATCAGTTAAACTAGCTCTTTTACACTCTGGTCTACTTTCACATTTTTTAAGAAGAGCAAAGAAACGTTCATCTTTACGCGATTTTTCGATGATTTCCCTTCCGGAGTCGAGTGAATTCACATATGATGGATATTTTTCTAAAAGTTTCGGTGCATATTCAATAAAAACCTTGCTTATAGCTGCGATGGCATTTGTTTCTCTCCAATTGGCAGTAATTAACTTTAAATCACAACACATCTGCTGGTGAGATTTCAAAATCTCTGGTAATTTGCCGAAAATTATTCGAACTTGGCCTTCATCGAGTAGTTTTGAGTTGGCAATCTCTCTTTGAATCTCATTGACAAGAGCTTCCAATATTTGTATATAATTTTCCTCTGTTTCTATTAATTCTTCACAAATTAGTCGTCGCTTTGATTTATGAGCTTTTGGAGTTGCCACTGCATCTGATACCGACATTTCCGAGATATCAGCCCTGGTGTAGTCAAGATTTGGACTAAGAACACTTTGTGACATCCTAAACGTCCTTTCTGCCAACGACAATCGGTTATCTGTCCATGGATAAGCATGATCTGTGGCAGATTCTTCAGCTCTCAGTCGTATCTGAAGTGATGTCCAAAACCATTCTTCGTACACAACTTTCACAAATTCATTGGTTGGTTCTAAAACTAAATCCGGGTCTTGCTCTCCAGATATGGCATAAACAACTATATGAGTACATCTTGGATCTTCTGGTTGCACAAAACTACCACCTGAAACAAGAACGATGATTAACAATTTTTTTTTGATAAAATTAATAATTAGTAATCACGAGTATAAATAAAACATAGATAAATATGGAAAAGAGATATGCTTACCATTACAAACAGTGAGCTCCTCCATTTTTTTCAACTCATCTGCAGGAAATTTTACAAAAGCTAGATAGAGAAATTCGAAAGGTTTCAGTCGGAACTTTTCAACTATTTCTAAATCAGTAGCATCAAAATTGACAACAAAACGTTGTTCCCAGCAATAATCTATCCACGCAGGACTCATGATGGGTATATCAGTATTGCTCGCAGTCTGATGAAATTAATTTAAAATAGAAAATAAAAAATCTTGATTAGAATGGTTGATATCTTTGTGCTTGGAAGAAACTATAAACTATTCATTACCCGATACTTATCACCTCCAGATCCGTATGCAACAAGGAATTTAACTTTACTTTCGATCATTTTACGACAAGATCCACCCATGAAATGAACCAAGTCAAGATGACGTTTCTAAAAGGTAAATAGGGAGAATAAATGTTGAAAATATAAGCAAAAACACTTGAAAACTGTGAAATAGATAATAAGTAAGATTTCACAGGTAAAATAACTTTCAAGATCAATTAAGAAATGTTTCCAGCCTCAAGAAGTAACAGTACAATGGAGAAACAACTTACAGCAATATAACGATCCGTAACTTTGCTCATTGCCATGCAAACTTTAGACATTGAAAAGTTGTGAAGAGGATGTTTAGGTAATGTCTAGGGGAAAAAGAAAAAGGATATCATAAGTAGACCCAAAAGATAAGATGTTTGAGTCATTGGGATGTAGTTAAATATTTAATATTTAATATTTTTAATAGAAATTTAAACACTCACCATGATTTCAGAGCCAAAGAGAGTTTGTTTAAGCGCAGTGATTCCATAGATAAACTTTTTAGCTTCCCTTAGTTTGGTAAAATAAGAGCCATCAAAATCATGAACCACATAAAGGTGTTGACAAGTGGGATTATCATCAAAAACTTCATCATGTGTAGCTAGTTTGAAAGCTATATCACGCTCCTAGAGTAAACGAGGAAAACAATAAATTAGATTAATGAACAGAATAGATTGTCACCAATTTAAGAGTAAAAAAATAATTATAGTCATCTTTTTAAAATAAGATATTTTCCGTTTGGTTTGCATAACCTTATTTCACTACCTTTTTAAAACCGTTGTAAACCGGGTAAGTTTTGTGTGTAAATAACTTACCGTTAAATCTTTCACTAGATTGTCACTTAAACCGGGTCCAATCACTAAAATAAACTGGCCATTCATGATGGAAGATGATTCAGGATGATTCATTCAGAACTAAATTCAATTGCCAAAGCAGATTACACACATTCAAGGTCGACCAAAATAACGTTCCGCGCCTCAATTTTTTGAATTAAAACAACTTTCAGGGACTGTTATAGAATTACCAACTGTATTTTCCTTAAGATAAAATTTTTTGTTTTTCTTACAACTTTGCTTCTTTTGTAAACATTTCTTTTTGAATCTGTTGTTTCTTAAAATATAAATTGCTAAATTAAATTTGTTTATTTTTAATTAACAATATATCCATATTGTCAGCGAGTTTCTACTCTATTCTTCAACCCTTATGACAGACTTGTCTTACCTCTGGTCAACTTCTGGTTCGACATTATCGCTCTGAGCTTGTGAATGGTTGTTAAGCTTCAAAACATCAATGGATTTCACTTGTAGTTAAGGATCGGACACTAATTTAAAAATATACACTGGTTAATTCGAATGCTTGATCAACTGGTGAACAGTCTAATGTAATCGTTGGTTTTCAAATGTTGCTTTTGCTGGATTGTGTCTAAAAATGTCTACCCACCCGTGACCATGAAACATTTTTAATAATTTACCATCACATGCAATCTTTTGATTTCTATGGACTGGTGAGACAATCTAAATTGTTTGCTGTTACAACTACTTGACAAGATGACGGAAAGCAAATGACTCAATTTAAACAAGCCTTAAACTAACTTGAAAGGTATTGCTATGTTTATTCTTGATCCTATTAATTTTATAAATTGTCAACTCATCGACAGTTTATTGACCAGAATAGAATCTAATGCATCTATGAAGGTATTTGCATTGGCGTCGTTTCTAATTGCGATCTCACTTTTTGTTTAAATCTATTGAATCGCAACAAGTCTTGGGTTTATATACTGCTCAAGATTTGAAATATCAAGAACGTTAAATACGTAATGAAGCTTTACCTAGCTCATTCAATAGTTATTGTCAACCTTGGTTATTGTTTTTCGCTACCTTGAATGTGAATCGAGTTTTTTTTGTAATTTAATGAAACTTCTATTGTATCAGAATCAAACATGCTGCTTCATTCGCATTATGACAAGTTTTCAATGTCTTAGAATTTGTTAAATATCAATATTAATCTTTTTATTGATACCATTATTCCTTTGGATCTACGTGATGACTTTTCAACAATTCAATCGATTTTGGTGAATTTAATGATGATATCCATTATCTTTAAAATCAAGATCTTTTCAAAAAACTGAAAAAAACAAAAATATTCAAACATGTTGTTGTTTTTACTCATAGTAACCAAGTAACTAGATACATTGGCAATAGTTACCTAGTTACTGGTATAGCGCGCATATTACAGATTCTGTAAGTTACTCAATTCTGACAACAGTTATTAATTGAAATTTCCCTGATGAACATTTGTATCTCACAAATTTCAAGTGTAAAAGTATTGGCTATCACTTATACAAGCAATCAAGTTAACCGAAAGAGTAGTTGGCGTGATTGTTACCATTAATACATAGGGAAAGCTTTGCTCGTTTGAAAGCCTTCTGGTCTCCATTGTTCAAATTAAACATTGTATTTCAGTAATATGACTCCCAAATCTGTTGTCAGTTGTCATACTATTTGATTAACTGTTTACTTGATGGTTTGAGTTATAATATTTTTATTTTCATTCCGCTCATTTCCAAAGTATAGTTTTAATTTGGTCAATCACAAAATTAGTAAGTTTCGTTTGTGGCACCATTTCATTTTTGGATTTTGACATTGGTAGACAATTTTTGTCACCCTACTTTTGTTGCTCATTTCAGTTCCAATGTTAATTACCTTTTTCCATATTCTCTTTTTTAACTAGGTTACTTTCCAATGGTATTTTATTGATGAGTCAAGTCTGATTTCAACTGGAAATGTTTATGGTTAACCGGATTCACTAGGATATTTCATTCGCCATCCTTGTAGACGCAACACTCAAATTTGTCCACTTGTTTCAAGCTTTACTTGGTCTGTTTTTTTCTATGGTGATACATCGATATTGTGGTGATTTTCTGAATCATATATCATATAATTGGAATCCTATCAAACCAATGCTTCATCTAAAATCATCGTCAGGTTTGTTTATAATCAAACTACACTTGTGTATTGTCAGCTATTGGGTTGTCATATTGTCATTATTTTGTGAGTAAATTTCATTTCTCTCAAACTATTGAAACCCTAGAGCGAATTGTTGATTGGTAACAATCAATATAAGCCATATCAGGTGTAGTTAAAATTAAAGTGTCATTTAACTGCGTATATCTGGCAAACATAAATTTAAATTATTTTCCTTTTACTTTTACAGATTGTCAATGCATCTAACTGTACCATCACCATCAACTCGAATAGTAGTGTAACTTGTACCTTGGCAGATAATGTGAAATCTTTTATGAACATTTTCATACATTCATCTAACAACCATTTGAAACCAATTTGATTTTTGCAGCGTTTAAATGTGCAACCAAATCGGTTCAGACGGTGAATCAAATATAATACTTTTGCAACCATTTTGAGGTGAGTGAAACCATCATTATATTAGTTCATAACACAATGTGTTTACCAGTGTGTTTCTGCTAAATATAATGATTGATGATAACAAATCAACGAATAATACATGGAATCGTTGAAAAAAAGATAACAATTCTAAATATAAGAAAGTTATTATATATCATAAACCTTTAGACAATTGAGGTTGAACGTAGTTTCTCACTTAAATACATGATCAACAATAGATGAATCATTAAAATCATCTATGTGAATAGTGTCGATATTATTTGTAATTGCATTTCAACATTTCATGTTTATTGTTACTTTTTTTAGTGTATTGGTCATCAGCTATACTTGAATGGTGTTTGTCATTTTTAAACAACTGCAAAGGATTTGATGAATTGAGTGAGACTTGTTTTGTTTGTCAAAATCACTCACAAATAATGTCAGATATATACATGCAAGATATTAGAATGAAATAGACAGATCAGAACTGAGTGGCCTCTCTTCATTATGACTCTTGCGCTATTCATTTTTTCCTCTCTTTTTTCCCTATTTCACCATCTAAAAATCTTACTCCATTGATCCATTATTTGAAGAAAGAGAGAAAAAGAAAGAGAAATAGACTGATAGAAAGGAAAGGATATCAAAGAGTCCAAAGAGAAGAAAACGAAGATCGAGAAAAACATAATCATTGGCAGGCATAAACATACCCATTCAAGTCTTAATTTTTGTTTATCTATTTGTTTTTAATTAAACGTATGCGTGCTTCAAAATCATTTCAACTAATTTTAATTTTCTTTAATCCATGTTTCCACCATAATCTACAACAGGAATAAAAATAACTCAACTAGTGGTCATGTAATCCATTTGGTTTCCATCAAGCCTTTAAGGTCGTATTGATTATACCAGAAAAGTCACCATACCAAAACAACTCTACCAACATCAACAATGTCCAATTCAACAGGAAACCCTCATGGCTCTAATGCAGGCGGAGGAGGAGGAGGAGGTGGTGGTGGTGGCGGCAGTGGTGGAAGTGGTGGAAGTAATTTTGGTTTAATTGGTTTTGGCACCTTCTCCATTGGAGCAAGTCACGGAGGCTCAATGGTATCTGTTGGAAGTAACTCTGGTTCTCATGGTGGTACATCGTCAAATGAAATGGCCTCTCACTCATTTGAATCACGAATCGACAAGATGAGACGGTTCATTTCATCACCATTAACTCGCCGTAAATCAACTTCTCAAGCATCAACTGAAACAGCTCCTCCATTATCATCAACATCATCCGCCAAAAACCTTGATAGTCATCATTCAAATAAAATTTTCGGTACACCCATTGAAAAGCTTACCCATCAACGATCATTCAATGAAATGTCATCATCATCAATATGCTCATCCTCAACTCACCTATCTGCTGCATCATATTGTACAATGAGATCAATGTCCACTTCAGGATTACCTGGAAACCCATTCTCCTCTCCTTCCTCTTCCTCTCCACTTTCATCATCCACCATCAACATGGGTGATTCATTGGTCTTTGGACAGGCCAGTTTACTTTCTTCTCGAAAAGTCGATAGCGAACAAACCGTTCCCTTTGTTATCACTCGATTGTGCCATTATATTGAGGATAGCCAGGGTTTAATGCAAGAAGGATTATTCCGTACAAGTGGAAATGCCAGATTGATTGAAAAATTGAAAACTTCATTTGATTCCAATGGTGATGCTCCCCTTGAAACTGAAGGTGATATTCCTTCAGCAGCAGCTTTACTCAAACTCTTCCTACGAGAGCTTCCGGTTCCCCTGATACCTCAATCAATACACTGTTTATTTCTAGATACGGTTCAGGATACTCTTAATCGTAAGTCTTTCCTGTTCATCCATTTTAATCTCAGGATTACCCTTAACCCTTGAATCAAGCTCAAAACCATAATCTCTTTCAAGTTATGACATTTCTTGCAATTACAAAACGCACTTCATTTCACTTTTGCGATTGTGAATTTAATTTTTTTAATTACAATCAAAAAGGTTTCTCTTTTTTACCCAACACAATATTTCGACCTTCCAATCAAATTGTATTTCAAACCATTGTTAAATCTTGGCTTAAGTACAACATATTATTGATTAATTTACCTCATTTTCAGCCAATTTTAATATTTAGTAATTGCTAAAATTTTCTCTCTCTCAACACAGTGTCCAATAAATTAGCTTTCAAATTAATCAATAATCCAATGGTTAACAGTTTTCCTCAACTCACATGTTTCCCATAAAATTTGACCAGCAACTCATTTCATTTAAAACAAATTGATTCACATTATTGATTCATTTTATCATTAGATTTTTTCAATCAGCTGCAACTTTAAAATCCTGATTCATGAAATTGAACATAGATTAATATTATATCAACATAACTAATCAAATTAAATAGAAACCCAGCATTTTATTGAAACAAAACAAAAACATTTAAAATCAACTCATGTTTCATTTTTTCAACGACCGTTTGAAAAAGACTCAAACTGTATTAAAATATCGATATATTGATACAAATGATAAAAAGTTGAACTTTTCCTGTTCCAACCTGAGCAATCTTTGACACAAATCTAACCAGTAAATTGTTTTATTGTACTCTTAATTATCATCATTATTACCTTTGCCTTTACCATTGCAAGGATTGATTTACCTGCAACCCTTAAAAACGTGATTTTATTGATAAATCAATAAGAATGCTAAAAATTCAATGAAGAAAAATAATATTTGATTGAAACATTATTTACCAAATAATTAAAGATCAGCCTCAAAAATCAATACAAGATGAAAAGCGAAAGATTGTCGATTAAATCATAATCAAGACAATTTCCACGCTTTTCAAATTATCATCATAATACCTTTTCTTATTGTCAATTTCATGTCAATTGACAATTTTCATTTCCCTGAAAAGTCTGAAATAGTGAAATGGTGAAAATTTTGATGCTAAAGATGAAATTGAATGAAAAGCAAAATAAAATCAAAATTATTTATAACCTTAATCGTACAAACTCTTACAATATTATCTTATTTTTACCTTGTATTACAATTAAATTGATAAATTACATGTCCATAGTAATTTAATTGTTTCTTGCTTGTGACCTACATCCGGTCATCTTGATCCACTTTCCTTGCTTCCGTATCTTCAATTATTGACTTTCATTGTCATGTCAACATTTGAATCTCACTTTCCATTAACGACTCAATTTTTGTTTCCATATTCAATCCTCAACCAAAATTAACCAGTTTAACCAATTTTCAGCTTCAAACGAATTAATAATTTCCATTTAATCCATTCTTTTCCGATTAAACATTGAATCCAAAAATGTTGACAATTCTTGCCATTATGAAGAGAGGAAAAAAGTAGCTTAAGCTTAATAAAAAGGTCAACTGATCATCTTTTGCCTTTCCTTAAATGACCTTTCCTGACATTGTACATTTTTGGTAAATAATCATCTGATTATCAAGTTTACTGATAACTCATAACTGTATTTCATTATTATTATTGTGATAATATTATTTCTCATTTTACCGAGAATCAGGTGCATGAAGTAACAGAGTTTGGTCAATCCAAGCTCTCTGTGTATAAATATCCAGTGAATATCTTGAAAATGATAATCATGGTGATGAAGAAAAAAAATGTTTCAACAGATCGATAAATAACCTTAGCCATTAATTTGTTGATGGCACTGGAATAACTCCTTTTACAGCTCACATTTTAACTCTTTTTGTTTTATTGTCATTGCTTTCTTTACTTACTTCTTGTCCCATCATTTAAATTGTTTTGATTGATTTCTATTAAATAAACTATTCTCAATTGATCACTGACCTATTTGGTGAAAATAATTAACTTGATCAATTGTAATTTCCATGTAAATGCCTGTTTAAATAGTGACTTGGAAAATTAACATTTCATGAAAACAATCAAGTATTTTCATCAATTTTTCGCTCTTTTGCCTTTCATTAACCCAATTTAAAAAGCCAACTATTCAAATATTTTGTTCATCTTCACACATATTTAATTATACGTGTTTTAATGATCATCAGTTTCAATCTGAGACTAAAAATAATATCTTTAGTGTCTGAGAGTTGATTGGAATCGACTGGAAATTTTGTCGTTTTACCAGAAAAGATTGGGTTAAGAAGCATTTTTAGAGTTGATAATCAATGTTACTCGGAATATTAAGGAAATATGAATGAACATTTTAAACATGAAATAATCTTGAATGTTATTTATTCTGAATGCAGTAATAATTGATGGAATAGGAATTACAATAATTTCATTTAAAGGTCAAGTTGAACTTATTATTATTGATCTACTTACATAGCCATTTTTGCCAAATATTTCATTATTAGCTCCATCAATGCCATTACGAATTCGTTAATCATTTTCATCATTTTGGCCATTTTAGACATCTGCATATCAGATTTACCACCAAAGCTGGATAAACTGCTAGCTCCACTGGCAGAACTGAGACCAGGCATAGAACCACCAGAAGCACTAGAGCTACTAGAATCACTAGAGGCACCAGAGCCATCATCAGAATCATCAGAGCTACCCGAACCAAAGGCATTACCTCCAGCACCAGCGAAAGAATTGGCATCATTCGGAAACTGAGCTTTTGAACTTGTGATACATAGCGATAAGGTTAAGAAAAGCGTTAAAGTAAGAAGGGAATTCATTTTGATGAGAAGTTAATGAAGATTTTGTCAAGTCAAATTGATGATGAGACAATGGTTTAGACTCTTTATATAACAAAAAAGAAGTGTTTATTTATTTCCAGCCACATGTGCTTGAATGCTGAGTAAATTGTTTCACCGTAATCATCAATAATCATCAATTTAATTCAATTCTCGAATGAATGACAAATTGACTGTTTAAAGCATCGAAAAGTTGATCTATTTTTCATTTGCATACTAATAGAAGACTAGATCATTGGTCATGAAAATGCGTTTTAATTGTTGGTCATTTCATCTTTCAAGCATTCAATTTCAATTGAGATTAATCTTTATCGAATCGTCTTTTTTAGCCTTTTGTTTATCCAATAGCTCGATGACCAAACAGAATTAATTGAATATTTAAATTTTTCATTCAGCAAGTGCATCTACTTAAATTGAATCCTGTAACTTATTGATTTAGCCAATTCTTTGTGAGCAAATATGAATAATCTAAAATCAGAATAACCTAATAACAAGCTAATTAAATGAAAAGCCTAAATTGTGAACAACAACAAAAATTGAAAGATTGTTCTCGTGCAAAATTAAGTGTAACTAAACGTAACTAAATGTTATAAACTAATTTTTTAATTGTATATTGATTGTCAATTTATCCGTCTTTTCTTGAAAAATAGATGATTTTGTTTATTTTCAGGAAAACGCAATTGAATAGCTGATTAATTGCTTCTTGAACAGTAAATAAAGCAATTAACAAAATACAGTTGCAATGAATTCACTTTGAAATGTATAAAATAAATTGGTGAATCTTGTCAACTTGAGGTCAACATCAAATTTGAATTCCTGGTCAAGCATGAATGTTTATTATTGAATAATGGATAAAAAGAGCATTTTAATGCTTTTAATCTTGATTTACGTCTTTTATTGTAACCAGCTGATTCAATATTAGTCAAAGTAAATTTCAACTTAGCATTCAGTCCAAAAGAGGAAAAGAGTTTTGTTCATTTCAAAGCTATCTTTATTCAGATATTCAATGCTTATTTTTTGAGCCAAAAATTCAACAACAATGTATTAAGTTTGCTTTTCATTATCAAAGTTGAATACAAATCTGGTCATATGCAAGTCTTTATTGATTGCCATGAATTATCGTGTCAATTAATGATGAAAACAAGTTCTCAATTTCACCAATTACAATTGTAGACTAATTGCAACCATTAAGACAACGTCCATAAGACTATCAAATTAATGATAATGTGTGTTCGCTTAATCTTTAAATTGTCAACCCTCTCTTAATCAGCCAAATCAATCATGTAAGTTATTTTCATTGCCAAGGTTTTCCAATCAATGGATCACTTGATTTTAAGTTTAATATTTCTGGCAACAACAACATTGAATTTAAATAGATTTGTATAGCTTCAAAAATGGCGCAAATCAATTAATGGTTGAAATGGTAAACTAATTGAACCCAATTTTAACCAGATTTACCTTTGGTTCATCTTTTGCATAAAAGCATTGATAAAGAGTATGTACTGAAGATGAAAAGGTTTGTCTTGTTAACCATTAGCTTTGAAGGTCTTTTTTCACCCAAATTTTTCCATTGAGAAGATGAAATGTAAACAAGTTCATGTTATCATGTAAACCCTTGAAAAATGACTTTGAATATAAGAAGGCCAAAGTTGACCAGAATTGTGTTTAAAAATGTTATCGATTGATACATTTAAAGATGTTCCCATTGTCCATCAGCTTATCAAATTGTTTAAAAAGATTCAAGTTCTCATGATTATCATTGATTCACCTGTAACCCATTTTCATTTTGATTAATTTACAGAGGGAAGTTTATACAATAAAGATGCTTTCATTGGACGTCTCAAGATGTTGGTTGAAAATTTACCTGATGAAAATTATTTTCTCCTCAAATATTTATCTCGCTTTCTTCATCAAGTTGCTCGCCATGAAACTTACAACCGAATGAATCCATCGTCTCTTGGAATCATTTTTGGACCCAACATTTTCAGGTAATTTATCAGTGAATACACATTTTACTTTGTCCATCCAAACATTTATAAATAACAAGTGAACACCAGAAATAACAATATCCAAACAATTTGGTCTCTCAATGTTTCTCTATTTACTTTCAACGCAATACTTATCCATGAAAGATTAACCTTTCATGGTAAACATCTTTATAATGATTATTTCATCTGAAAAACATTGAAAATGTTCAATTTAGATTGAAGAGCTTCTATAATGTTACAGCTTTTCCTGTTTCCTAATTTGTATTGACAAAAATATTCTCAATGTTTTTCAATAAGACAATCATTTTTGGCAACAAAAAGTGCTATTTTTTTTCTTCTTCTCATGTACACTTGAATAGATTGTCTGAAAATGTTGAAAATCATTTATGATAATCAATCAAACAGTTGGCCAATAATATGTAATTAACCTTGACTCAACACCAATCTGAAAACAAAAAGGTAATCACAAATCAATGATTACCAGTTGGATTATGTCATTGAGCGTTTCACAATAGATTCAATAGTTGCCTTCAATCGCTTAATCTCGTATTAATCTTGACAAATCTGGATTATCAACATTTCCAATTTACAGCCATTTATGCCATGTATTTCAAGTTTAGCCCTGTTAGGCCTAAACCTCCTTACCTTTAATCAATGGTTAATGTTGACTTGTGTCGGTACAACAATCCAGGGTTAATCACAAATGATAGATATGATTATGATTATCATGATTTTGGATTCTTTATGCTGGGAAGGGCATGAAAATATGTATCCAAAATTAGACTCAAGTAGAGAAAAAGAAAGTCAAGAGAACAAAAAAGTGAACCCATTTTTTGTGGGTTTCTGGAAATGCTATAAAAAGCAATCTCTTTGTCTTACCCTTTTCCTAAATGCTGGATGGCAATCAATAGATATCATCTTGTAACCATAACCAAATAAATCAGAAATTATCAAAGAAATTCATTGATTTAGTTGATCAAATGCTGTAAATAAAATGAAAATACAAATGGCTTTATTTCAGATTGTTTCACCGTATAAGCTTGCTCTTTAACCAAATGTTCATTTTTGAAAGGATTCCTTTAATATCTCATGCAATAATTATTCAACAATTTTACTTCAATCTTGTTTTACTCCTTTCATCATCTTACTCACTTATCTCTCTCTTCTCATCTTCCTTGCTCTTTCTCTGACGTTATCATCCCAATTTCCCTCCCACTTTTCATCTTCATCTTGTGAGCAAATGAATTTTTTTCAGCAAAAAAAAAGAAAAACATTTTTCACATCTTAATATTTGTAACTGTCAAGTTAATTACAATTGACATTTCAAGTTATTCATCGATTAACCATTTTAAATCTCACTCGTTTCTGGTTGTTTGTTGATTTATCATTTCTTACATCCATTAACCTTGCATTTGAATATTTATTATTATTTGTAGAAAGTTGAACTGCTATTTACTCTTGTTTTGTTTTCACTGTTGTTTAAATGATCATCTAATTTTACCCTTTACTTTTCTTTCTCTTTTATCTTTTCTTGTTTTCTGGTTCCTTGGATTTCTCATTATTCAGAGTTGCTGCTGAAGACTATAAAGGATTACGTGAACAGTCTTTAACTAATCAAGTTGTTACGTTTTTTATTACTGATTACGAGGCAATATTTGGAAAAGATTCACCAGACAACGAAGAATCAACCAATTTATTAACTAACCAAGATCAAGATTCACTGGAAGAAACCCGAAAACTGGAGGGAAACACTAAGGATAAAGTTATTATTGTTTCAATTGAATCAAATGATTTACACCAGATGACAGGGAAACATCAAGGTGAATCATCATTTTGTTCATTATCATCATCATCATCATCACCCTCAAATAAAACCATAATGGCAAAAGAAGATGATGTCAACAATTTGGACAATGTTTCAGCTAAAGCAGCTGAAATTAGCTTATCTGGTGATGACCATTATACGGCCCTTCAAATTGATATACCTCCAATTGATTGTGAACCTTCTGATAGTTCATCAATAAGTCCAAACACTTTTGCTTGTTCAAGTATTTCACCTTGTCCAGTTGGGTCAAAGGAATATCTTTTGTCTATAGATTCATCAGCAACAGATTCAACTGCAACTCTACCAACAATTACACCGAAAAAGACGCAACCTCAACCTTCGGAAGGTTTTAAACGGAAAGACCGTAAATCTGTCCTATCCTCGTCTAGTCCAGTTATGAGATCAAGCTCAGAGGAGAGGAAACCATTTGCTTTTCCTGATCAAATGGAAAGTAATCAGGCCAATCAAGATGTTCGCCGATGCAACTCGTATCAAGATGTTAGTAAAGATGATCATAAAGAACTGACATTTTTATCTGATCAACAACACCAAACATTCAAGTCTAACAATTTATCCTCCGATAGTGTTACTCAATCGCCTAGACCTAAAAGACGAGAAACTGAATCAGTTAAAGCAAGATTGTCTCGGTCAATTTTATCCTTTGAATGTAGACCTACTTCCCTTGATTTAAGTGGCAGATCAAACTCTATGGAATCAAAATCAGAGCCAATGATGCGGAATAAATCATCCCATATTTATACAGAAGATTCATCATCTAAACCTTTAACATTGAACGAACAACCAGTTGACGAGAATAAATCAAAATATATTCCATTATCATTTTCTAAATCTTATTCCAAAGGTTCTCAACAGACCAACACTGAAACCAGTCATCACAATGTTGAGAATCGCCAGATTTCATCTTGTCAATCATCCCAACAATCTGAACCAGATTTATCCAGAGCATCATCATCATCAAAAATACCATTAACATCTTCATGTTCCTCTTCATTACCTCACATTGATTTGAATGCGCTGCATAAAAATGCGGAAGGTGAATCAGCAATGGTTTCTGATTTAAGGTACAGTTGGTCACCAGTTAATGAATCATTGTCTACTGAAAGTCTGATAGATGCAGATAATGGTGCTTCTGATGATGATACTTCAGAAACTCAATCAGATCCTAGATTGTTGGATGCCAAATCTAATGAGCCTGTTCAAAATGCTGCCATTCAAATATTGCGTCGCCGTAATACTTATGAGGCACCTTTATCTCCTAGTGCTTACAGAGGTTTCTTGGGTCAGCGAGCTCCACACCTAGATCATACTATTCCACCTTCACCTCCGGGTGAACAGGAACACCATTTTCAGAGCTATAAAGCTTCATACAACCAAGAAAGTCAGGCTGTTAAGGAGGCAAAGCGAAAGATTCATAATTTAAAGCGTCGATTAAAACAGTTTGAAAAAGATTTCGAAAAAGAAACTGGATATCGACCTTCTCATGAACAAAAAATGAAATCTGATGTTGCCCAGCCTATATTATTTGAATTGAACAAATTTCGTAAAATATTGCGTGAATGCAAAGAAGATGCTAGATTAACACTTGAATTTTATGGTAAGTTCATTTCTATCAAGATTTAATATTCCTGATTATTGTTAATTATTATTAATTTTATCTCTTTTTTTCACTGAGTCTAGAAGGAGTTTTCAATGAGATGCAAAGAAGCTTAAAAGAAAGACGATGTGTTGTCGGCAGGCCTGAAACAATTGAGGAAATGAGCATTGATCAAATAGTTGAAGAGAAACTTGATTTACAAAAGTCACTTCTCAAATATGAAAGTGTTTTTGGTCGACCCAGTAGAAAAGAAGATCGAACTGTGATGAAACCACTTTATGATCGCTATCGGACAATTCGTAATTTGGTCGCTAAAATACCTAAAAACAAAGAACCCACTGATTTACAGCCAATTTTGGAGCATGTTGCAATGAACTTTTCATCGCCATCTCATTCACCAGGAAGTTCATTGGATGCTAAAGATGAAAGTGATGATGATATTAACAATAACAAGGAGAAAAAATTGGATGGATCAAGAAAAGGAGAAGTCAAAGGAAAGAAAAAAGACGACGATAGTGAAGATGACGGTGATGAAGAAGAAGAAGAAGAGGGATATGACCAAGAAAATAGTAATAATAATGCTAATCTTAATAGTAATAATGTGAATAGTGATGACAATAATAACCAGGTTGTTGTTGATAATAATAATCCAAGCAAATTTGAGCTCACTGATAGTATTACAAGGACTCAGCCCAGGCCTGAAGCAACTCACCAAATTAAAGTGAAGGAATCGAGTCTGTCAAGGTACACCAAAGTATCTACTTTAGCCGGTGAAAAACTTGCAGTTCCCATCTCTTCACATAAACTTTGTCATAATCTTCATGAGCTTCCTCCAAATGAACTGGTTAAAGAATTGGCTGTTGTACGGCGAGAAAAGAATGAACTTCGTAAAATAATTCGTTCCTTTGAAGAGGAATTTAATCGGACTCATGGGAGAAAAGTTAGTGATTTAGAAAAATCTCAGCTGGATTCTGTATACACCAATTATAAGGTAATGGACACAGAAAAAGAAAGTCAATTTAACTCCTTTGTCCTCAACTGATTCAATTACAATCAAGAGTTACTTTTGTTGCTTCTTTGCTTCATCCAACATGAAACATTTACCTGCCAAATTCATGATAAGTTGAGTTATCACGATAGCAGTAGCAATTTTGTGTCTCTTGAAAAAAAAGAAGTAGCAACAAGGTCGCATCACTGTCAGCATTATATTATTTCCGTATTAACTATTAATAATTTTCCTGTCTCAGCGAAATGTATATATTTAGTTTGTTTAGGCTATTACATGAATTATTATCTTTAAATTTTCATTAATATTAATATTAACTTTATCACCATCAGATAGGAAAACATGATTAATAACAAGCATGAAGTTTGCAGTTTTGTTTTTGTTTTTACCTTCTGGCTGATTCATCGTCTTGAAATAGAATTTGAAAGCTCGTGTTAAATGTGTCTGATGAAATAATTCTTGGCTGTTCAAATGATTGACTGATTGTTGTTTTGTTGAAAAACACAAAGCAGAAATGAAGCAAAGCGAAAAAAACAAAGTGACGATTCATTGTTAATCTCAAACTTGCTCTTGACTCCTTTCAACTCTGATTGAGCCATTAAGAATTTAGTCTCTCTCGTCTAAATTGTAATCACTAATGTTACCCCTTAGCAATTAATTTTGGCATTCATTCCAATTTTACTCTTACCCTGGAATCAGAACTCATTTTCCTTTCTCTCGTTGCGTCATTTGTTCATTAAGGCTTTTGCGCCCTTGACTTTGTTTTGTTAAGCCTACTTTTCAAATCCAGACAACCTTTTAGGAATTTTTAACTCATTTCTAATCTACTTTTTTCTTTCTCTTCACAGGCTTGCAAAAAGAAACTCAGATTGCTCGAGGTTTTCATCGAAAAGTATGAAAAAAGAAAAATGGATTCATAATCGTCACGTTGATTTATTATTCATAAACACAAAGGAAAAAAATTATTCATTGTTGATCTGGTTTTACTTGGCTTTAATTTTAGCTTGTTCAACTAAATACTGTTTTAAATATACATATATATATAAATATATATAAAGATGTTACCCGTGAAAAGAACAGCAAATTTACAAATCTTTTATCATTCACTGAATATACTATATTATGTATATAAAGCTTTGTAAAGGGATGGAATCCAAGTGATGCTGATTATGGTACAAATCATATTTGAAAAAATTTGTTTCGCTCTTTAATATTTGTCTTAAATTAAATGATCTCTCCAATAATAAATTAACACTGGATGGTGAAGCTAAACGTTTAAACCAAATGATGGATAATAATTTTATTGTATATTTTATTGTTGAATGGTTCAAAAAAAAGATTACGAACAAAAGATTATGATTTGTTTTGAAAATGATCAAAATATTGATGAAGATGGAAAAGTAAAGATGATAATGTAAAATTAAGAATGAAAGATTCTATTTGAAAATTATATTGTTTTCTTTTCGCAGAAAATAATGTACAGAAAATCTGATAAAAAATGGACACAAAATATCTCTTCGAATAAAATTGGTCACCATCTTTCAATGTAAACTATAATGTTATAAAATGAAAGATTGGCTTTAATTAGAGACATCACATGTCATTTATTTATTTCCCGTGATACATTTTAAGCAAATTATGTAATTCAAAGTAATTGTTCATGATATTTTCACCATTAAAATTTGGCTGGCGAATAACAGTTTCTTGAAGTTTAGTTCTAGACATTTGAATTATAAAATAAATAGGACTCTAATGTTTTTGAGTGCAAATTTTAAAAGTTTCTTGATGATCAGATCTTAAACATAATGGGTTTTGGAATGGAAATAATTAATACCAACCGCGTCAATCGTCAATATTGTCAAATCTTAATCGCTTAGCCATAGATGAAATATTGTCTCCTTGTCTTTTACGTTCTAATCCTGTTTGAGGTTTCTCATCTTGAGATTTTGTCCGAGGCATGAACTGAGGCTGTGTTGGGGCTGGTTTATTGATAAAATAGGGCATTTTCAGAGCTTGGCTGCATGTACATCGATCGAGTGGATCATATATCAACATTTTATTCATCATTTCAAGAAGATCATCTGAAACGGCTGTAAATATATCACGTAAAGGAGTTCCAACACAAGGTTTGAAGACCACAAAATCGGGTAAGTGTTCAACGTTCTAATCAATTGAAATAAATGTAGTTCAAGTATTAGAAAAATAAAGAAATGTGAAAATAATCAAAGTTCTTACAGGCCAATTGTGTTGATTTGGAGTTCCCAAAACTTGAACAATTTTGTCCAATTGGTCTAAATCAGTTTCTCCAGGTAGAAAAGGTCTTCGAAGCAAAAGCTCGGCGAGTATACAACCCAATGCCCAAATATCTACACCGGTTCCATACATCCTGGAACCGAATAGAAGTTCAGGAGCTCGATACCAACGAGTAACAACTTGATGAGTATAAAGTCTAGTGGGAGATCCAAAACTTCTGGCAAGACCGAAATCACCAATTTTTAAGACACCATTTCCATCAATCAGAAGATTGTTGGGTTTCAAATCCTATCAAAAATTCAAATTGAAATCATGATAAAAAAATTTCAAACCAATAGGTTTAATAAATTCCGAGAAAACGGAATATTAAGCTGTCCAAAAATATCTACATATAACTTACACGATGCAATATCCAATTTAGATGTAAATATTCTAAGCCTTGTAAAGTCATTAACATGTAAGATTTGATTATAGCTGGTGTTAATATGATACTCATGTCTTTAATTATAACCTCCAAGTCAGTTTCCATAAAGTCAAAAACCAAGGAAACATTTGAACGATGTCCAAAAACATCACGAAGCTGAATATTAAAAGATATCAGGCATCAGATAATTAGTCAAAATAATAGAATTTCTTTATCGAGAATAATAAAGAAGATTACTAAAGACGAAATTGAGTTTGTTACTTACACCTATTATATTTTCATGGTGAAGCTCTTGAAGTAATTTAATCTCACGTAACGCAGTTCTATTGATACCATCTTTAGCCTCAGCTCGTGTTCCTAGTTTAATTTTTTTCACGGCAACCATGGTGTCATTCTGATTATCACGAGCCTTGTAAACAGTGGCAAACTAAAAAGATTGATAGATGAAAAAGATAAATAGGTAATAGGCAAAAATACCAAACCAATAGGTATTTGCTTAAAACAGTAAAATATTTACCTGTCCTTCTCCAAGATATTTGATCTTTTCATAGCGGCTTTTTGAGCTCATAGATGGTACCATGATTTCAAAGATTAACTGTAAACAAAATAAGATTAACAAAGTTTAAGAACTAACTAACATTGATTGAAAACAACAAACTACAAAAGACTCTTGAAGACTCTCATCAAAACACTCATGGCAGTCAGCAGTTAGAAAGTTGTCCATTTAAATTTTTCAAATTCTGGCGCTTTAGATTTTGTAACCACCAGTAACCGACTAGTTTCTTTTATTCAACACAAGATGGCATCTTGCTTCAAATTTTGAATAAGGATTTCGGTGAAATCAGTTCGGAACAAGCTGGTCAGAAAGTTTTGTAGTTAAAGTATTTTCCTCGTTTTTTTAAAAAGGAATCTGACTTTTATTAAAATATCTTTTAATTGTTGACAAATCGTGCTCCCAAAAGTTCGGTGCTTAAAGTGGCCAAATTTATAATTTCTGTGCAATTTTACTTTCAATGTTGACTCATTCGGACGCGTTATTATTGTTTTGATTATTAATGGTGCAACATGTTTTTTTAGTAAATAAGTTTCGAGTCCATTGGTCCTACTTCTGGTCATTTAGCTTTCATCATTTTAGTTCAACTTTTAACCCTTGGATCAGCGATTTGCGTTTAATGGGATTCTAATTTCCCATTTACAAAATTGTATCTTTAAGTGTCTCTAGCTCTGCCAATCAAAGTGACTATCAAAACCGTTTTTTCATCATTCTGGACTGTCTTGAACAATTTTGGTATAATTGTTGTAGAATAATCAAATTTTAGTTTTATTAAAATAGTTTGCCATGGAAAAAGGTAATACAGTGAATGTGAATAGTAAAAAGGCGGTTATCTCGGCTGGTGACCATCTTTTCATCTTTATTAGTCCAAAACAAATGTATCCATTGAAAGTTGTTCCAAAAGAAACTTTTCAAACTAAATTTGGACCAATTAAACATAATGATTTGATTGGAGTAAAATATGGAACCAAGTTGAATCTTTCAAAAGGTTGGGTTTATGTCCTACCATTTACTCCTGAACTTTGGACATTAAATTTACCCCATCGAACGCAAATATTGTACTCAACAGATATAAGTATGATTACTTGCCAGCTTAATTTAAAACCAGGCTCAGTAGTCATTGAATCAGGAACCGGATCAGGAAGTTTATCGCATGCAATAATCAGAACGATTGCTCCAGATGGTTTTCTTCATACATTTGACTTTCACTTGGCTCGGGCAAATGAAGCAAGAAAAGAGTTTGACGATCATGGATTAACAAGTTTAGTTAGAGTTGAAAATCGAGACGTTTGCCAAGACGGTTTTGGACTGAAAGCAATTGCCGATGCTCTGTTTCTCGATTTACCTCACCCATGGACTGCAATTCCGTTCGCATATGAAGCAATGAAACCATTTGGTGAGATTGGAAATGAATCCTAAGAAAATTTTAATTTAAATTTCTAACAACAAAGTTTCATTGCATTCTTAGAAATTTTGTGTTTGGAAAATTTATGATAAATTTGAGTATCAAGAAACTAATTTTTCCTATTTTATATTTCATTTCACCAGGTTCAAGGATTTGCTGTTTTTCACCGTGCATTGAACAAGTGCAGAAAACGGTGCAAGCATTACAATCGATGTGTTTTATGGACATTGGAACTATGGAATTGGTTTCAAGACCGTTTGAAACGAAACAAATGAAAATGGAGAAATTTTGTTTCACTGAAACACCTGAAAGTGAGAGTAACACAACGAACGATGTCAAAGCTGTCCCATCAATCCAAATTGCCGGCCACACTGGATTTTTAACATTTGCTACAAAAATTTGAATATCATATCATTATAGCCTAGAATTACCATTTGTGCGAAATTTTTATTTCGTTCAAAAATCCCTTTTCATTGTTACCACAATTTAATTTATAATTGTTAGTAAAATTGAAAGACTGAAAAACATGTTTTACTTAAGCGATAAAATATTTACATATCTGTTCGCTCCAAAAATTTGTCTCTGATTTTGGTCTTCTGATGGCGGCTTTCTGAACTTATGAAGATGATACCATAGTTATGAATAAGGGAGTAAAAATAGGAATAAGATAAAAAGTTCACACACAGATTCAAAACAAATTACAAAAACCTTTTGTCAAAAGGTTTTTGAAGACTTTATAATGAAAAGTTCAGCTGCATGGAAGCTTTCATTTAAATTTTCGCTCCGAAAATTTCTAATGTAACTATGACTACAGCCGCCAATTATAAAAATCAGATTGAAGGAATAACAATTAAGTCTAATTTTAATCATGCAATCATTAGAATTGTGCATTCAGATGAAGTGGTGCGTCAGTTGCTTAGTTTCTTCAATAACTATTGGAGTTTTCAATATGAGAAGCTGAAAATGATTTTTAATAATCCATTTAAAGACTTGCATCTGATCGAATCAATTTACTTCCTAGAAGATCTAATCTTTGTTTGTTTCGTTTTAATTCATCCATTAGATGATCATATTTCACTTCTGAGGAAATATTTTAACAATGCTAAATCATAATTATTAATTGCTAATAGCTCAGCGTTAAAACGCCCATGGCTGATTCAGTCAAGTTTTCATTTTTAGTTTTAAATTTCAATCTAATAAATAACCAAGTTTTACAGATGACGAACTCTTAATTATCTCTGGAACAAGATTATCTGATAATTTTTTAAAATTACTGTTTTACTTTTGCTTCTTTCGGTTAAGATTACGCCTTGAAAGGAGAATGAACCCGAGAAGGTTGTCTGCAAAATATTGTGTCTCTAGACTGCAACAAGAGCGCTTGAACGACTGTTCAACCAAGTTTAGCTTTAATCTCGTTCCCTCCTCATCTTATTATTTCGTTACCTCTTTTAAAAATGTTCAATTCTGATTAATGATGTTTACTGCTTTTTTAATTAAATCCCGATCAATAGAAGTATCATCAGAAATCTTATTCTCTCATCTTTCTTACTAAGAATACACACATCTCTTGGTTTCAGCTGTTGTTTACGTGTGTTAACTCTTTGTATAAATTCACAGTGTTCAAGTGGCTACAGTTTTCTTTATTGTTTAAGTCTTATTATTCTATTGTTATCACTGGAATTTTGTTTTTATTATTTGATGGTATAATCTTTGTTTAAATGAATTCATAGTGTTCATGATTGTTGTTTATGATAGTCACCGAAATTTATAAATCAAGGTAAGTTTCTTCCTGGTTTCTTTTCTCACGTTAACTGATAAAATTTTGCTTTCTTACAAAGGTTAAATATTTGATTTTAAATGGAAGCCATGTCATCGGAGTCCAGTCCTCTTTTGGGACCAAAAAAGAAAGAAAAACGTAAAAAAGGATCAAGACCTCGATTTGAAGAGTTGACTGATCCTTGTTCCTCCAAAGGTTGGTTGATTTTCACTCATACACATTGTCAGCTGGGTGAAAATTGGTAACATTTATTCTTGATTATCGTCGTAACTCAATCTCAATCTAGGCCTGAGAATGTCTTGTCCATCTTTAATGGTATATTTTTCATTGCCATGGTTGTTTTGTTACGAAAGATTTACCTCTATAATTCAATCTCGTACTGCAATATAATGAACTATGAAATACATATGATAACAGTCTGTTCAACATTTATCTTTTCAGAAAGTGCCTATTCGGATCAGGATCCAACACATTATGGCTCAAAACACGAAAACCCTCCACCCTATTCGGTTGAAGATGTATCCCCTTCTGCTCCTCCACTGCCTCATCCACCAGCTTCATCTACCGATGTGCGATTAAGAATTCCAGAAGACCCCAGCTTGACAAGCAAAAAACAATTGATCCGCCATTCATATTCACTTCTTGCTGGACAATGGTCTCTTTTCTCCGGCTTGACACTTCTTCTTGTCGAGATGTCAGTATTAAATTGAATGCATATTTAATATTCAACACGAATTGCACTTTCAACTAATATTTTTGTCATTTTATTACAGCCCTCATTTGCGAAAAATTATCCGTAAAAATTTTTTCGATAAGCTATTTTTGACTTCATCATTTGGGTTAGTTTCTTTATATTTTCCGTACTTGAATGACAATTACAAATTCCTTATTTTTCCCCAGATTCCCATTGGCAATACTTATGGTTGTTTTATTCATTTTCCCAGCCCTTCGACGTCAATTTGCATGGATTACATTACTTATTTTGGTGCGTTATTGAACAATTCCCCGTATAGTTGACAATTTTTTATACTAATTTAACTCTTATTTCATATTACCTTTACAGACTGTTTCTATGAGTCTACTTTTGGCCTACGTGGTTAGTATTGAAAGTGCAACTGCAATGTTTTATACCACTTTGAGTGCAGATGTCTCCTGCTTCGGTGTCATTGGTTCTACTTTTATTCCTCGTTTCGACATTTCATCATCTAAACTAGCACTTCTTGGTATGCCATTGACAATGCTGTCAAGTAGTGCTGCAATATCTTCTTTAACGCACTTGAAAGTATCAAAATGGTTACCAGCATCATCCGCAGTTACTCTTTTAATGTGTCATCTTGCTTATAATACAAGATCGATTTTCAAAGACAATAGGCTCAACTTGAGCCCTAACGAATATGCCTTTGCTGCGTCAAATTTATACCTCAATTGTGATCTTGTAAAGTGGATAAAGGGACGCTCTTCATCGTCCAATTACCGATCACTTCCAGAAATATAGTCATTCAAATTCCACCATTCTTTTGGTGTGAAATAATAAATGCATTTTTAAATTTACAGAGCTTAATCAGTAATATTATTGCAATTTAAATGAAAATTTAACCAAATTTTTTAAATATTTTAAATCTATGTCATTGCATTTAAATTGCATTTGATTTATTTTCAATTGAATAAATTGTTAATTGAATAAAATGAATTCAATGTGCTCAATTATTTCTTGATGTGATGATTTTGTTTCTAAATTCAAATGCATTTACAATGAATCCTGGAGTTTTTGCTAAAAGAGTAATAATATCTGGTGATTATATCAATACAGTCAAAATTTACTGGACAATCAATCGTTAATTTATGTAAAAATAATAATGAACAAATTTAACAATAAAAAAATAAAATCTAGATTACAATCTAAATTTAACACACCATTTTTTTCTTTAAATTCATTCGATCAGCTTCAAACTGTTCATTCTAAATTTAGTTTACTTTGCTTTCTAATCAACTTACCAGTTTGAGTTCAAAAAAGCAAAAGCAAATAAGAAAAAAATTTAATACCAATTAAATTCACACTTTTTATACAAGTTATCGAGGAGTAAAAACTGCATTATTACCGATTAAACTGATAATCAGTCAGGCTCACTTTATTTACCCATGACTACAAAAATCGATTGAAGTTTCGATTTTAAACGTGGCTTACCGAAAATTATCGTTCAAAAAATTTTACAATCCGTCAAATGAACGACTTTTGTGTAAACGATAATTGACCAATCGGTTTAAACCGATTTCTGTATTAAACCTTAGGACACTGCTTTATGTAACACAAGATGGCGCAGTCTGTTCATCAAAATCGACTAAACTTAATTTAACTTTATATTGTTATGAATTATATAATTTAGTATTTGCCTGTTTGATCTCGATACACTCAATTAACTAACTCAAAATATAATGTAATTAATGAACTGAATATGTAATAAAATGAACAAAAATTAAAAACATCTTTAGTTACTTCGCCCATCGCAATAGCAATCCCAGCTTTCCAGTTCTTAAGTTAACATAAGCAATTTAATAAACGGACTTTTGTTGAAGCAAACAATACTATCATCTATTGATTCATCATTGCTTTTCATTATTTCAAATGGCTTATTCTCAAATTTGTAAACTCACTCGCTGACTGCAATTGTCCAAATTTTTCAGATCACTTATTCATCTAACTTATTCAACTAACTATACTATAACTATAGTTTAATATATGTTTTTATAATTAAATTGCAATAAAAATGTTTCTGTAGCTTAACTCCAAGCTCTATAAACCATTCCTGGATAGTTAATAGCACATTGCATAAATTAAATGTTTTTATGAATTTAGCTGCTAATAAAAGTGATTGATTGAATTTTGATAGTGTTTCATGGTGTGCTGAACACCTGTATTTATTTGTTCAAAAGTTTGTTCGAAAATAGTTAAAATTATAAACATTTTCGTCCATTTTTTAACAGCAAACTTTGGCCCAAGTTCAATAGAACTAAGCATAATTTGGATAGTAAGAGATGAACATCTTTTTATCAATTGACGATCCAGAGCAAGAAGCGCAATTTGTACCAATAATGTTTGGTTACTGTTAAATCAAGACACAGAAAAAAACCAAAATTTTGATTCCACATTTGATCAAGACTTAAATTTAAAATTATCCTGAAAGTGTCTTTTCCATCATCAAATTCAGAGCGACTTTACTTTATATCATTTGATCATTCAGCATTGAATCTAATATAGCATTTGACTATTAATAGTTGAGATATCAAATGTTTATTGATATTAAAAGATGCAACTTCTCGTAATTATCATCAAAATTGATAGTCTTCCCAATGTATGTTGGTTAAATGCTCATTTCTAGTTTATGATAATCATGTTGAAATGATCTTCTTGGCCCAACAACCTTTATTCGTGAATCTCGTGATTCTCGTCTCCAAAGGAAAAGTCAATGAAACATGAAAATGCAAAATGATCAAGTAGCTCCCATAGTTGAAACTGTCCAGCTACTGAATTGTTTTTTTACAGTTATTTGATCACGTTAATCGAGAGCGTGTAAATTGATGTGATAAACAAAACGCAGTCAGAGAGAGTGAGTGATCATGATAAGTGAAGGAAGTAGTAAAAGTAAAGAAACATAAACAAGCCAAAAACATGCAGAATTATCCAGAGTAGCTGATTCACGAGCTCGTGTTGGCCGTGAAAAAATCCCTTTTTCCCCTCACCTTCATCTTTATCCTCATCTTTACCATCTTCATCTGCAAGTTGGTCACATGAAAATAGTCAACAATTCCTGGTTCAATGTTAATCGTGAATAACTGGCCATTTACACTTGTTCATGGGAACAAGATTCTCTATTCATTGGTGCGATCATCAATTTGGATGAAACCAGGAGAAGGAAAAAGTCGTGAATATACATCTTCTCATCATTTTCCATGATAAATCTCTTCTTCCCTCACGGACTTATCTAGGTAATACTTTAACTCTGTGACCGTACTTGTGTTGCCTTCAAGTTGAAACATTTTTCTTGCAATTCCTGAGCTCTTGTTGAGTGTTGATGGTTAAAAATGTAAATGAAAAGGTAAAATTGAAGAGCGTGAGTGTAAAAGTATTAAATGTATACTTTGAAAGTGACCAGCAAAAGTCAAGTCCCGTTGAGAAGGGAAAGTGTGTAAAAATGATTAGACGATTATGTCTAGTTACTTTGTGTGTTTACCTTTTTCCTATTTTGCTTGTGGGTAACATGGAAGTAAGACTTAAGACACTGACCGTTATAACGACTGCACGAGTTTAACCACGAAAAATCATGATTCAGTACACGTTTCAATGGCTTTCTATTAATAAAATCATCTCGCAACTTTGTGCTCGCTGTTTACTCATCCATTCATAAAACCGTGATTTTACTGAAAAAATATTGGTGAAAACCTTCTTACCGTTAACTTTACAATCAAATTCCTGATTCACACATTTTCGCACGCAGTTTAATCACAGGTCAGCTTCTGTGATCACAACTCTACTTTTACTTTTACTCTTGAAAATAGTTGCTTTTGGTTGATCAAATTTGCTTCCTTTCACTGGTTTCACCTCAATTCAATGAGAGTCACTAGATTTTATTCAGCATTTTATAATTGCAATCATAACCAGAAACTAAAATTTAATGTTTAATAGCAGACTCATAGATATTAAGGCATTACAATAACATTTGTCCTAAAATATTGTGTAAAAGTATTCATTTTTCATTATAAAACAATAAACTCAATCAAAAAGCAATGCATTTGATGCTAAAAAGACTCAATAAACACATTTGCAACATTTATGCATCAAACTTGTGAACGTAATGGCCAAAAACGGCCAAAAATTCATTTCTTGCAAATTTAAACACTGTTAGTTTGTAGAGAAATGAAAACTACGATCATTAGTACTATTAAAAAACTTCTCCGATCGCCAGTTAACGAGAAAATTGAGGTCAAAGTTGAAACTTCGATCGTATATTGTACAGTTGTCTGAGCAGATTTTTTCATGAAACTCATTTCCCTCAAGTTAATTTTGATGCCCAACCAGAAAATGCCCTTAGTTTGAGAGATGGAATTTTCTATTTTCTGTAAAATCCATAAGTTCGATTTTCAATCAAACCGACCGATTTCGATGACCACAATAGTGG